CTACAGAGCGAGTTCCAGGACAGAGAAACCCTGTCTCGAAAACAAAACAAACAAAAAGAATTATTTGCTTCCCCCACCTCCAGTTATGTGTGGATTTGGCAAAGATTTTCACTCATTCTTTAGACTGTCTATCTGCAAATTGCTTTGTTTGTTGTGCTGCCTTCAAATTGCCCTTAATTTTAGCTGTCCCTGTATCCTTTCCCTCACCCTTCTCTTCCTTTCCCCTCCCCATTAGATCCTCCTGTTCCAGTCCATCCATCTGCCCACCCCACTCACCCATCCATCACAACCTGTTCTGACTGGTTTTGTGTGCCAACTTGACACAAGCGAGAGTCATCGGAGGAAGGAGCCTCAGCTGAGGAAGTGCCTCCTTGAGCCAGCTGTAAGACATTTTCTCAGTTAGTGACCAATGGGGGAGGGCCCAGCCCATGCTGGGTGGTGCCATCCCTGGGCTGGTCGTCCTTGGTTTCTATATGAAAGCAGGCTGAACAAGCCAGAGGAGCAAGCCAGTACTTGCCTTGAGCATGGCCTGTGCATCAGCTCCTGCCTCCTGTTTGAGCTCCTGTCCTGACTTCCTTCAGAGGTGAGGAGCAATGCTGAAGTGTAAGCCAAATAAACCCTTTCCTTCCCAATTAACTTTTGGTCATTTGTTTTGTTGCAGCATAGAACCCCAAATTAAGACATAAGCCATCTCCTAGAGACCTCATTATTGTTTATCCCATGATATAAAAATGCCTGCAGCATGAACAGGAAACTGGAAGCTCATCTTTGGAGAGAAAGTTAATTGGGAACTCCATATGGCTACTCACTGACTTTCTGTTAGGTGGTTGTAAGCCTCCCATTTTAAAAGACTTATTCCCATCCTCTCTGCTGGCTGATGATATAGGCTCCTAATTTGGGGATGCTTTCATATCTGTTGTTTTTAATCTATCTGTTATTTGTTATTTATTTAATTTATTTTGTTTTATTGAGACAGGTTCTCCCTATGGAGGCCTAGCTGTCCTAGAACTCACAATGTAGATCAGGCTGGCCTCAAACTCAGAGTTCCCGCCTGCCTCTGCCTCCTGAGTGCTGAGATTAAAGGTATACATGTGTCACCATGTCTGGTTTTTATGTTTTAAAAGATTAAATTTTTTTAAGTGTATGTCAATGTCTTTCTGTATGTTTGCTGGTGCCTGAGGAAGTCAGAAGAAGGTTCTGGAGTCCCTAGAGCTGGAGTTACAGATGGGTGGAAACCACCGGCACATCTGCTGGGGACAAAACTCAGATCCTCTAGAAGAGCAGGAAGCAGATAATGTACTCCTACATGAATACAGAATAAAAGGATAAATGTAAAAGAAGATACGAAAACACTTCATGAAACTAAGTGAAACACATGCACAAACAATGTGATGAAATAAGAACAGGGCAAATCACAGAGAAAATTCTAAAATGTACTTCTAAATACAATAATAAAAATTTAGAAATTATGGGCTGGAGAGATGCCTCAGCATTTAAGAGCACTGGCTGCTCTTCCAGAGGATCCAGGTTCAATTCCCAGCACCCACATGGCAGCTCATAACTGCCTGTAACTCCAGTTTCAGGGGATCCGATGCTTTTAAAGATATATATGCAGGTGAAACAGAAAAGTATATGAGATAAAAATAAATAAATTAGAAAAAAGGATTAAAATATTAGAAATGACATGGACATAAATGTATGATAGGACATATCAACATGAGAATTTTTAAAATTTAAACTGTCAATTGACATAGCAAATAGATAAGTAATCAAACTACACCAGTTCTCTTTTGAGTGTGGTGACTTGAATAAGAATGCCCTCCCATTGAGGGCTGGAGATATAGTTCAGTGGTTAAGAGCACTGATTGCTTTTCTAGAGGACCAGGGTTCAATTCCCAGCACCCACATGGCACCTCACAACTGTCTGTAATCCAGCTCCAAGTGACCTGACACCCTCACCCAGTCATACTTGGAGGCAACACAGAAATGCACATAAAGTAAATCATTTCAAAAGAAAAAAGATTGACTCCTGTCTCAGTTAGGGTTTCTACTGTTGTGAAGAGATACCACAACCACAGCAACACTTTTTTTTTAAAAACAGTTTTTAGATTTACTTACTTAGTATACAGCATCTGTTGGTATGCCAGAAAGCCAAAAGAGGGCATCAGATCTCATTACAGATGGTTGTGAACCACCATGTGGTTGCTGAGAATTGAACTCAGATCTTCTGGAAGAACAGCCAATGCTCATCCTGTGAGCCAGCTCTCCAGCCCCCCCATGGCAACTCTTCTAAAGGAGAAACATTTAAATGGGACTGGCTTATGGTTCAGATGTTTAGTTTATTATTGTCGTGGTGGGAAGCATGGCAGCACACAGGCAGCCATGGTATGGGAGAAGAAGCTGAGAGCTCTACATCTTGATCCACAGGCAGCAGGAGGAGACTGTGCGCCACTAAGCCTGGTTTAAGTGCCTGATACCTCAAAGCCACCCCATTCACACACCTCTACCTGCAAAGCCCCACCCACTCCAACAAGGCCACACCTCCTAAAAATACCCCTCCCTATGACCCTTTGGGGGCCATTTTCATTCAAACTACCACAATCCTCATAGTTGCATATATTTGAATACTTAGTCACCAGAGAGTAGATCTCTTTGAAAAGATTAGAAGGATTAGGAGGTGTGACATTGGAGTAGGTGTCACTTCACAGCAATAGAACTGCAACCAAGACAATGAGTTAACACACCTATTTAACCACTGATTAAAATATAGACACAGACTAAACAGACTAGAGAGATGGCTCAGCAGTTAACAACACTGACTGTTCTGCCAGAGGACCTGGATTCTACTTCCCACACTGTCATGGAGGCTCACAACTGTCCATAACTCCAGTTGTAGGGGATATCATGCCCTCTTCTTGTCTTCACCTACATCAGGCATGCACATGATGCACAGACATACATGCAGCCAAAACAAAAAGTATTATCCACACATAAACATGCCTGGGTTAGGTATATAGATCAATGGTAATCTGCTTGTGTAATGTGCACAGCCTTGGGCTCAACTCCCAGCACAAAAAGATTGTGTGTGTGTGTGTGTGTGTGTGTGTGTGTGTGTGTGTGTGTGTTAAATGTATTTGCTTATGAGACTGGGAGCGTATAGCTCAATGAGAAAAGGGATTGCTATGCAAACATGAGGATGAATTCAGTCTCTAATACCCTCATAAAAGCAGGCTATGGTGATGTCCAGTGTTCCCAGGACTGGGAAGAAGGAGAGAGGATTCCTTGGGCTCACTGGCCAGCCAGTCAGGCCTAAGTGTTGAGTTCCAGGTCAATGGGAGAGTTTGAAGAACTGATATTATTAAAAATTCCAACTAACTAAAGTTAATGCAACCTCATAAAAATATCAACAACATTCTTCATACATCTAGAAAAAATAATCCTAGCTGGGTGGTGGCGGCTCATGCCTTTAATGCCAGCACTCAGGAGGCAGAGGCAGGTGGATATCTGTGAGTTTCAAGGCCAGCCTGGTCTCCAAGAGGTAGTTCTAGGATAGCTAAGGCTACACAGACAAACCCTGTCTCAAAAACAAAACAAATTAAATAAAAACAAAACCAAAAACCAAAAAAAAATCCCTAATAGCCAGATTAATGTTGACCAAAAAGAGAAAAGCTCAAGGCCACACTCTACCTAATTTCAAGACATACACAGAACCATAGTAACAAGACAGTTACTGTCTTGGTATAAAGACAGACTCTTCATCAAATGCTGCTTAGAAAACAGGGTATGCACTTAACTACCACCTTAAACAGTAACTCTAGGGCTGGGAAAGATGGCTCAGCAGGTAAAGGTACTCGCTGTTAAGTTAGGTGACCTGGGTTGAACTGGAAACAGCGTGGTGGAAGGAGAGAACAGGCTGCTAGAAAGTTGGCTGCTCCAAATCCAAGCCATAGACGTGCGTCCTTACACAAATAGACACACGTTAAAAAAACCCAAAACCTCAAGATGAGTCAAAGATGCTAATACCCCAAACCCTAAAACAATCACAAGAAAACGTATGGGCAGTACTTAAAAGATAGTGCTATAGCTAATGATTTTTTTCTGGATAGGACTCCAAATGCACAGGAAGCAAAAATTTAAAAATAGCAAGTGGAATTACATAAAAGTTTTTGCATATCAAAGGAGACAAAGAGAAGAGGTGAGCATATTTTCTGGCTAGTTATATAAAAGAGGACTAATATCCAGAATTTATAAAGAGGTAAAAAGAAAAAAAAAAGAACAACAAATAAGTAATTCCATTGACGATTGGGCAAATGAACTAAATAGATGTGTCTCAAGAGAAGAAATAAAATTTGTACAAGTGACCCCCCCAAAAAAATGCTCCATAGTTTCCTACTAGGAAAAAATTTTTATTTCTCCAGTATTCTCGTTTACTGATGGCAGTCAACGCCTTCCTTTTAGATCTACCGAGGGCTCCTCCAGGGAGAATTAGGTTTTGTTTTGGACTTGTTATTTTATGACCGTTTCACTTACATGTATGTAGGTGCACCGCGTGTGTACCTGCCTGGTGCCCACGGAAACAAGAAGAGGGTGTCAGTTCCCTAGGAACTGGAGTCACCCAGGGTTGAGTCACCCTGTATGTGATGGGGACTCGAACTAGGGTCCTCTACAAAAGCTCTTCACAGCCAAGTCCCGTAGGTGTAGGTGTTGTTGCTTGCCCGGGAACTCAAAGACAAGCACCTAAGGAAGCGATGGTGGAGAAGAGGCTACTGAGCTGATGAGAGGGCAGGAAGGAGCCGGGCGGGGAGAAGGACCCTTGGGAGAAGAGGGAGAACAGGGCAAACTTGGAACGGGAAGAGCACTCTCGCAGACAGGCAGGGGTCTCTCTGTACGCAGGCGCGAAGCTGCCCAGGAGGCGGAGCCTGGGAACCCCTAGGAGCTGCACGAAGCATGCGCGGTGGGGCGCTCCCGCCGTCGCGTCTTCAGGACGCGGCTTCGTTGAGGCGGGCACGGCCTCCTCGCCTCGGCTCCGGATTCCCGCAGGCTCTGCTGACTTCAGCGGGAGGTAACGGCCTTGGAATCCTCCCCAGGCAGTGTGTCCCCGCGAGTCCCGCCTCGCTGTGGGACCCCGTTTTCCCGCTCCGGTCTTCCCTGGCCTTCCAGGCGCCGCCCTCCCCGCAGCGTCTCCCGCACCTCCTCGGGGGACCTTCGGGCCACTCTTCGGCCACACTCTCACGAGGAAACTTGTGAGCTGACCCTAGCCGGCGACGGAGCAGCCAGGAATGGACGCGGTTCCCGAGCATCCTCGGTGGCAGAAACCCCGGAAAGTCAATGGCTCCCTTGAAATTCCCTCGGATTTGTTTGAAATGAAGGTACCCTTTCCCCCATCCCCGTAGACTTGACAGATTGCTCCTGTTCCGTATTTTTGCATGATCCAGCGAATTCCCCCCCCCCCCTCAGTTCTTGCCTGTTGTGTGGCGCTTGGTCTCTATCCAGTAGCTGTTTTGAGAGGTGATGCATTATGCGTCAGAAATGATGTTTGCTGCGTCCCGGAGGTGACTTTTCGAATTGTAAATGATGGAAGATTATATGATCCAGTAGGACTCTATCCCAAAATCGTGAAGTGGTTTGCAGTCCTTTACGTTTTACTTGCAAAATATAAGTCTACGTATTTCCAAGCAAACCCTTGGCATAAATACATAAGTGTTTATCTTTCATATCTAGAAGTAAGGACTCATTAAACAAAACCAAAACTAAAAAATTATTGTCTCTAGTAGAGTCTATTAGAATAGTCACCGATAGTTGCCTCTTTTTTTGCATAAGCGTTTCAAAAATAATATAATTAAATATGTACTTTTGTTTAGATTATCCAGTTGTTTATGCTTTGCCATATTTTATCGTTTATACATGTGCATACACATAGTATTTAGGAGTTACTAACTACTTAGAAATAACTTTCTTTTTTTAAATTAATTTACTTATTTTTATTATACAGTGTTCTGTCTGCATATTTGCCTGCACACCAGAAGAGGGCACTAGATCTCATGATAGATGGTTGTGAGCTACCATGTGGTTGCTGGAAATTGAACTCAGGACCTCTGGAAGAGCAGTCCAGTGCTCTTAACCTCTGAGCCATCTCTCCAGCCCCTAGAAATAGCTTTCTAAACGTTTTGACGACGAATTGCATATATTGTACATTCTTATTCTCTCTTCAAATTTAGTTTATTGCATATCACTAGTAATGCTTTTTTATGTAGCAAGTAGTCATCAAATTTAGGAAACAGCATTGAGTAATGTTGTTTATAGCAATTTGTGTCATCTGACGCAAGATAAAATACTGCATTTGTTTTGTCTTGTGTAGCTAAATCATCTTTAATTTGGAACGCCTGACCTTTTGTTAGGTGACACTGGTTAGCTAGTTTTCTGTCAGTTAACACAAGTTAGAATCATTTGGGAAGAAAGAACCTCAACTGAGAAAATGCTGCCATTTCACCCCATTGGAACTGTGGCCAAGCCTGTGTAGCATTTTCTTGGTTGATATGAGATGGCTCAGCTCACTGTGGGTGGTGCCACCCTTGGGGGGGCTAGTACGGGGTGTATGAGAAAGCAGGCTGAACTATGGGAAGCAAGTCAGTCAGCAGCAATCTTGAGTGGTCTCAGCATCAGCTCCTGCCTCCAGATTCCTGTCTCGAATTTCTCCCCTTACTTCCCTGGATGATGAACTACAAGCTATAACTCTTTTATTCCCCAAGTTGTTTTTTTTTTTTAAAGATTTATTTATTACAAACACAACACCCTGCCTCCATGTACATCTACACACCAGAAGAGGGCACTAGATCTCATTACAGATGGTTGTGAGCCACCATGTGGTTGCTGGGAATTGAACTCATGACTTCTGGAAGAGCAGTCAGTGCTCTTAACCTCTGAGCCATCGCTCCAGCCCTCCCCAAGTTGTTTTTGGTTACGGTGTTTTAACACAGCAATAGAAATCTTTTTTTTTTTTTTTTTTTTTTTGGTTTTTTCGAGACAGGGTTTCTCTGTAGCTTTGGAGGCTGTCCTGGAACTCACTTTGTAGACCAGGCTGGCCTCGAACTCACAGAAATCCGCCTGCCTCTGCCTCCCGAGTGCTGGGAGCAATAGAAATCTTAACTAAGATGGAAATTGCTACCAGGTCACGGGGTTCTGCTGTGACAGACCTGACCGTATGTTTTTGGGAGGATTGTGATGGCATTTGTATTTTGGGCTGGAAAGGTGCTCAGAGCTCCGTGGACTGTTTTGTTGGAAGGACAGAATGTTGGGCAGAAATGCAGATGATGGAGGCCTGGCTTGTGAAGCACAGAAGGAAGCAAAACTCTTACCGGGGTCATTCAAGTGACACTTGGAATTAAGAACTGCTCAGGTGAAATCTTTGCTTTGCTGGGACAATTGATACTGGTCAGCTGGGGCTGAAGGATCAACTTATTGAGACCAGCGAAATTTCCTCCAGGTCGGCACACTGATGTTATGGTCCAAAGAAGGTCAAAGATGTATGTATCTTGTGCTGGCCACCATACTTGGTAGTGTGTAAATTTCCTAGTTGGCACTGATTTGAAGGCATGAAGGGGTCATGGAGAGAAGCTGAGCTTTTTGGTTAAGATATTACCCCTGCCCCCCCTCCCCACACACTGTATTTCAGGAGACTCTATCCAGGGTAGCCTGGGGGGCTGGGGCTGGGGCTGAGGATATAGCTCACTTGGTTGAGTGCTTGCCCAGTGTATACAACATCCTATTCACAATACCACAAGATCAGGTATGGTTGTGCAGGGAGGTCTATAATCCTATCTGGAAATAGAGACAGGAGAATCACAAGTTCAAAAGTCATCTTTAACTGCATAGGGAGTATGAGGCAATCCTGACCTCCATGAGACCCTTTCTTCAAACAAACAAACAAAAAAGAAGTCCACAGAAGGGTTGCTAAGATGGCTTAGTGGGTGCATGAGGACCTGAGTTTGAACTCCCAGTACCAACTTAGAAATTTGGGTATAGTTGACTGTGCCTGTACTTCCTGTGCTGGGAGGCAGAGACAGCTGGATTCCAGGAGCACAGTGACTAGTCAGCCTAGCCGGATGGCCATCCGCAAACTTCCAGTTCACTGAGAGATCCTGTCTTGAAGCATAAGACAAAAAGCAATAGAGGAAGATGGACAGTGCCCTCCTCTGGCCTCTGCATGGGCATACAAACACGCGTATGTACAATGTAAAGCAGGCCAACAACAACAAACATTAAAACCAAAATAAGTAAATAAACTTCAGAGAAAATTAATTTATCACAACCATTTAATATTTGTTTTCAAAAAAAGAAAACTACAACATATCACAATTAAAGTTTCACTAAAAATATACACCAAAAAACGATTTTAGTGGTACTACTTATAATCGATGCAGTGACTCCAATTATCCCTTAACAGGTGTATATAGATATTAACTCTGCTCTACTCAGTGAAACACAATATTATAAGGAACTTCTGTTACGTATATCAACTTAAATAAATTTAAAAGATATTAAAATATTTGTTTTCTAGATTTTCCAGTTGTTTAGTTTTTTTTAATATAAAGAATGATGAATCCTATAATTGCATTTAGTTGCCTACTGTTCATTTGCTGCTTACCTTTCATGACCTAGACTCCACTGAAGGTCACAAGTTAGTTCTTTTGTAAATGTCCCTCATTTTGGGTTTATCCAATGCCTCTTTATGATTATGTTATACATTGTTACCTGTAATTGTAAGATTTTTTTTTTTTTTTTGCTTTTTGATCTTTTTGAGGGGCCCCGCCACCCAACTCCCAGGTAAATCACACACGGAGGTTTATTCTTAGTTATGAATGCTTGGCTTGTTTTTTGCCAGCCTCTGGCCTTTTATCTTTCTCTGTTTCTGTATACCTTACATTCACTCTTACTCCATTGCTGGCTGGGCCACTGACCCCTGATAGCCTCCTCCTCCTGTCCTCTTGCTGCTTCCTCCTTGCTTGTTTCTGCCCATCAGCCCTACCTATCCTTGTTCCTGCCTCGCTATTGGCTGGGCCATTTAGCTCTTTTTTTTTTTTTTTTTTTTTTTTTTTTTTTTGGTTTTTCGAGACAGGGTTTCTCTGTGGCTTTGGAGGCTGTCCTGGAACTAGCTCTTGTAGACCAGGCTGGTCTCGACTCACAGAGATCCACCTGCCTCTGCCTCCTGAGTGCTGGGATTAAAGGCATGCACCATCAACACCTAGCCCATTTAGCTCTTTATTAGGGCCACCAGGCGTTTTAGACATGGATAGTTAACACAGCTTCAGAGTTAAACAAATGCAGCATAAACAAAAGTCACTCACCTTAAAATAATATTCCCCAATAGTTATCAGTTTATGCCTCTTCAAAACAAATGTTACTATTGAAGCACTGATAAGATCTTCTCATTTTACCTATTAGATAGTATGTGACTTCCAATTGTCACATTTCTGATAGTATTCATTTTAGTCACTGGATTAAATGGATTCTGCCTGATACTATGCAAATCTCATCACTCCTTCAGTAAGGATTCAGTATCCTGTTTTGATTCATAGGTTTTAATCCATTAGTTTTATTTGTTTGTTTGTTTATTTATTTTATTTGGTTTTTCGAGACAGGGTTTCTCTGGCTTTGGAGGCTGTCCTGGAACCAGACAGGGTTTCTCTGTGGCTTTGGAGGCTGTCCTGGAACTAGCTCTTTTTTTTTTTTTTTTTTTTTTTTTTTTTTTGGTTTTTACGAGACAGGGTTTCTCTGTGGAACTAGCTCTTTTAGACCAGGCTGGTCTCAGATTTACAGAGATCTGCCTGCCTCTCCCTCCCAAATGCTGGGATTAAAGGCATGTGCCACCAACACCAGGCATGCATATTGTTCTTTTTTTTTTTTTAAGATTTTATTTATTATGACTTCAACATCTTGCTTCATGTATGTCTGCAGGTCAGAAGAGGGTGCCAGATCTCATCACAGATGGTTGTGAGTCACCATGTGGTTGCTGGGAATTGAACTCAGGACCTCTGGAAGAGCAGTCAGTGCTCTTAACCTCTGAGCCATCTCTCCAGCCCTGCATATTGTTCTTGTTCTTGTTTTGATCAGTGAGATTCCCTTTCTGAGTGATTTCCCTCTGCTTGGGTTCAGGTATAGTTTCAGGTGAACTGTTCTACAGAGTGATCAAGACAGGGTTTCTCTGCATAGCTTAGAAGCCTGTCCTGGAAGTCTCTCTGTAGACCAGCCTGGCCTTGAACTCACAGAGATCCACCTGCCACTGCCTCCCGAGTGCTGGAATTAAAGGCATAAACCACCACCACCTGGTGGCTTTCATTTTTAGATGAGCAAAACAGTTTGCTAACCTGGTGACAGGAGTTTCATAACTATCTCCAGAGATTGTTTTCTCACCTTTTGTGATTTAGCTTTGAAAATCCATAGCATCACTTCTCTTATACTTTCTTGTCCACAATCTACCTTAATGTCATGGGAAGAAGCAGAGGAGTAGCAAAGTCAGAATAAGAAAGAGCACAAGACTGGATATCTGACCTTCTGTATAAAATACAGTCAGCTACACTGAGAAATGCAACTCATATGGAGAAATGATCATCAGTATCCTTCCTGCTTTATGTCGTTGTCTGAGAAGTAATGTGTAAAGAAAGCAAATGTGTTTTGACTCTGTTCAGGTTTTGGGTACAATACACACCACAATTTCCTACCTGAAAAAAAGGAATTACTATAAGCTGTTGAAAAAAATTAAAAATTCTTGAAATTCTAAATTCTAAATGTTCAGTGTTATCATTTGAACTTCAAATGTTTCCTATAGACTCATTTTCTTGACTACTTTGTTCCCAGTTTGTGGTGCTATTTTGGGAAGTTCTGGAAACTTCAGGAAATTTCAGGGGTTTGGTCTAGTTAGAGGACATAGATCACTGGGGGGGGGGGAGTACACCCTCAAAGGTTATACATTTTCCACTGTCCCTACTCCATTTTCTTTCTCCTGTGAGGTGAAGACTCTCCTCTCTGCTCTAAAGCCAGATGAATGTGGCCAACAAACTGTGAGTTGGGTCTTCTGAAACTGAGCTACAGTAAATCTTTCTTACCTTCCTTAGGTGGTTTCTATCCAGTTGTCACAGTGTTGAGAAAAGTAACTTTCTCTGTAAATATTATGGGCTGCTTATTATTATTGTTATTATTCACAGGACCTTGTGACTGCCTTTGCTTAATTGGTCATTGGTATCTCAGCAAGCATGGAGATAAGATTAGAAGTTTTGACATCAACAAGTATCAAGCAGAAAAAACCCTGGCCCAGAGTTTCCTGGTTGGGTCAAGTGAGTTTTTCTTTATTCATATATTAATGGTTTTACAATTGTTAAATTTGTGTTTTTCCTGTAAGATGTAGGAATATTCTGTGGCCTTAATCCCCCCCCCAAAATCCCCAAATAACACATCATATTCAGAAGATCACCTGTCCCCTGAACAGGATTTTCTGTGTGTGTGCGGAGGGGTGGCATGTATGTGTTAAGTTATAATGTACAAGTTACCATTTACAGAAAATTGAATCATCTGTCGAGGTAAAAGGTTTTGCTTTCAATTTTTTCTTTCATATCATGTTTAAAGGGGGAGTTGAATTTCCTACACTTGCCCTACCAAAACAGTGGAGTGTTTCCTAATATTGTGTCTTTAAAGTAACCTCAGGGATGGAACAGGAGAGGTGGGCCATAAGGCATTAATAATCTAGGAATGCCATTCATAATATGTGAATTCATAATCTACACCTTAGAATGGGCAAACCTATGGAATCCCCTTTTAATTTATAATAATTGTTGACATAAAGACTCAAGTATTCAGTGAGAAAGTCTACCATTAACTTCCCTGTAACAAGAGTTCTCTACTGTTTTTCTTTCTTTCTTTCTTTTTTTTTTTCTGTGTATGAGTATTTTCCTTTCATGTACTACATGCATGGTTGGTTCACACACAGGCCAGAAGAGGGTGTCAGGTCCCATGGAGCTGGAATTTCATAGGGTTGTGAGCTACCACATGGGTTTTGGGAATTAAACCCAGGCTGGTCTCCTGGAAGACTGGCAAGTACTCTTAACCACTGAGTCATCCTCCAGCCTAGGAGTTTTCAGCTTTTGCACTCATCAGAATCATCTAGACAGGTGAAATATATTCAGCCACAAAGAAGAACTTTTGAGGGATAATGTGTGAACTAGAGATTACCCCGTTAGACAAAAGAAGCCTGACATGGAAAGACACATGCTGCATGCTTTTTCACAAAATTAAAAAATCTGCATTTAAAAATAACTGTGTATAGGATGTGAAAGTAGGAAGGAGATCATGTGGGAGGAAAAGGGGGCCCAGTGGGAGGGGGACAAGATGAAAGAGGGTAGTGGGAGAGGGAAAAAGATAAACATGGTGTGTTTTTTCTCGTCTTCCATCTACACTTTATATGTGTGAATAAAGCAGAAGGGGAGTTCTTGGATGTAGGAAAGGGACAAGGAAGGATAATGGGCCCATACAAGCAAAATATGTGTGATAAGTATGTTTGAAAATATGTTGTAATGAAACCCATACATTGCACACTAACTAAACTAATAAAAAAACAGATTGCGAAGTTCCATAGTATTTCCAGCTTGGTAAGTCTAGGCTCGGTAATTTTTTTTTGTTTATTTTCTTTTTTTAAGGTTTAGAATGTTTCAAAATATTGCTTATATGTTTTATGAATATATAAGTGTTTTGTGTGCATGTATGCCTGCATCCGAAAGAGGGTATCAGATTTCATGAAAATTCCATGAGAGTACAATTGAATCAGGACCTCAAGAAGAGCAGCCAGTGCTTTTAAGTACAAAGCCATCTCTTCAGTCCTGATAATTTGTGTTTTTTAGTAGGTTCTGACGTTTCGCTGTTGCTGGCTCCACAAACTTCATCCAAAATACCTTAATTTTTCTAGACAAAGTGAAAAGGGATCTGTCTGAGTCATGAGCTTATGGATTTCCAAAGCCATATTCATTTTAATCTAATCAAATAGTGTAAAAACTTGTCCAGCCTGGTGGTGGCAGTGAATGCCTTTAATCCCAGCAGTTGGGAGGCAGAGGCAGGCAGATCTCTGAGTTCAAGACCAGAGTGGGCTACAGAGCAAGTTCCAGTATAGCCAGGACTACACAGAGAAACCCTGACTCGAAAATCCAAAACCAAACAAAAAGCTTCTCCAAACAGATACTCACATGAGTAGGACAATAAATAATTTTGGCCTGCAGAATTGGAAAATGGTTCCAGAGTGTTAGCCTTTAAAGAGCTTTAAATGCAGCCATTAGAACACCTTACCCTGTAACTTTAGCAAGGGGTATTTTATTATTATTTCATACTTTCTTAGTACTAGATATAGAATATATAGATGTAGAATCAGGACCTCATTGCTAGACAAGCAGTCTATCCCTGAGCTACACCAGAATCCAGGTGTTAATTCAGACTAAACAATGTTTAGGTAATGGGTTTAATGTTTACTTTATATTTATGGTATAAATTATGCTTCTCTTTAAATGTTATTTTGTTTTCCTTTCTAGAGTAATTCATGTAGACAAGATTGAATTAACTTTTGGAACCATCTAAGTACTTCACATGTTTTTTTTTTTTTTCTCTTAGGAGAATGAAGCTGTTTTTCTTTTGGATAAGAAATTCATAAATGAGATTAATTTACTGTCTGGAAGAACAAAGAAGAAGATTCCTAGTCTGCAGCCTTTGTTGAAGGATGTTTTTTTTCTGGCAACATCCAGTAATGGTTAAGTACTACTGATATGTTCTTTTTTTTTTTTTTTTTTTTTTTTTTTTTGGTTTTTCGAGACAGGGTTTCTCTGTATTGTTTTGGAGGCTGTCCTGGAACTCACTCTGTAGACAGGCTGGCCTCGAACTCACAGAGATCCGCCTGCCTCTGCCTCCCGAGTGCTGGGATTAAAGGCGTGCGCCACCACTGCCCGGCCTACTGATATGTTCTAAAGGCTAGCTTACTATGATTTTTCAAGAAAAAACAAGTGGGTGATAGTGTGTTAAAAATTGCATTTCATTTTTGAACAGATGTGTGGCTCTCTGGAGTCCTCACTACAGGAGAGGTTTTCCTGTGGAACAAAGATCAAGACTGCTTGAAAATGATACAAGTCACTGAAAAACCTAAAGAAGTTATTAAAGCTACAATAGGTAGGGATTTTAAAATTTTTGTTTGACTGGAAAAAGACTGAAATTTTTCATATTACTATTTTGATAATGTAACTCTGTTTATGTACATATGCATATTTCTGTCTATATAAGGTTCACTCTGAAATTTGGTTGGTGCCTTTTTGTACCTCATTAACGTGAAGAAGAAAACCTGGTATGCCTGTCATTGCTGTGATAATGGGTTCCTGATGTTATATAACAGTGCAGGTCTTGTGGTGTGAGGAGGCCGGTTTGCTTTAGTTTTAACATCCTGAATGGTAACACAGCTTGAGTTTCTCATTGCAGGGGTAGCTAATCTTGCTAGGCAAGCATTTGGGATGCTGAAGTAGGAGGATCTCAGAGAGTTTGAGGCCAACCTGGGCTAGCTATAGAATGAGACCTTATTGCATAAAAGTCAAAAAGGAAAAGAAAATTATATGCTTTCATGAAAAATTCAGATTTTGGAAGTTTTATTTTTCTTCTTTGTTTTGTGTTAATTAGCAAGCTCTTCAAGGCTATACTTATATGTACCTGAAAATGGGAAAAGAGTTCTGCTTATTACATCTTCTGGCTGCATACTTCTGTGGGAATATTTGGAATTGAAGAATATCTTATCTTCTAAAAGCCTCCCATTGGTTGGTCAGTGGTTCCAGATAATACCTGAAGAGGCCGTTTTATTGCCTTCCTCTAAAGATAAAGAAGCTGTAGTGGATGCTGTTTTTGTCAAAAATGAGGTAAAATCCAAAGGAGACACTATGCAGTAGACCTCTTACGCTTTAAGAACAGTCTCTATTTGAGACACTATTTAGTCAGGGGTATAATTGCATATAATTGTCACTAGTCAGAGCAGTTGTAAAACTACTGTTTGGAAAAGATATTTTTAAAAATGGTTTCAAATTAAAACTTCCTTTCCCTTAGTATAATATGACTTGTAATGAACATTGAGGTGAACATGGTAGTATGTACTTGCATTCCAAGCTCTTGGGAGGCAGATTAGGATAGTTAACATGGTAGTACATACATACCTGCAATCCAAGCATTTGGGAGACAGAGTTCAAGGCCAGCCTGGGTTACAAATTGAACTCCAGGCTGTCTTGGCTACATACAAGGCCTTATCTTAAACAATCAAGTTAAAATAAAATGTGTTCATGTTCTATAAGTTAATAAGCTAGAACTGGTAGTGTTCCATAAGATCTTAAATTCTCAGTATATAATGGATTCGTTGTTCAAATAAAAATTTTAAATAGCATTATATAGTCTCTGTGCATGAACTTTCATCTATTACCAAATCCACCTTTGTTAGAAATTGTTTTGAAGTTAAGCTTGCTGGCACATGCCAATCTCAGCACTATGGAAATAGAGACAAGATGATAAGTTCAGACCACCCTGGACTATGTGACAGCCTCTCTTTAAAAAAAAAAAATCATTGGGCCCTTTAACTCCAGTACTCAAGAGGCAGAGGCAGGAAGATCTCTGTGAGTTCAAGACCAGCCTGGCCTACAAAATGAGTTCCAAGGCAGCCAGGGCTACACAGAGAAACCCTGCCTCTAATCTCCCTCCCCACCAAGAAAAAATTGCATTTGAAATTTTATTGGTCCCTCCCAATAAGCTGATACTCTAATAGAAATAGCATAATACTACAAAAGAAGAACCTTCCCAGCAGTAGTAAATGGCAGTATATCTTTTCAAACTAATATTCGAACACATTTATGATGGCATGTAGTACTTCTGTAACATTTGTATATTATAGTCAAATAAACATTTCTGTTTCTCAAGCATTAAATGCATGTTGGGAATTTTACTCTCTTTAAGTCACTTTGATAATATTTTTATTATCTTTTTTTTCAAAGATTTATTTGTTTTATGGGTATAAGTGTTCTATCTGCATGTATGACTTTAAGCCAGAAGAAGACATCAGATCCAACTATAGAGGGGTTTGAGCCACCATGTGGATGCTGGGAAATGAACTCAGGACCTAGGACCTCTAGAAGAACAGTCAGTGCTCTTAACCGCTGAGCTATCTCTCCAGCCCCTTTTATATTTTATATTGTCAATTGTAATATTGATAATATGGTTAGCAGTTGCCCCATAGTGCTAGGAATACCAGTACAAATCTCCCTGCTTTGGTATCCCTTACTGAATTTGAGTTGTAAACAAGATGCTCAAGGCCCTGGGTTTTCTCCCCAGCCCCAAAAGAACTCTTCATGTTGTTAGGCTGATTTTTCCATTAGGACCTTGTATCTGGCAAAGAAAAAATTACTTAATCTTTAGCTTACTATTTATTAAGAATGAAAATATATGAGACATTTTCATATATCAATTTATTTTCAGATTAATTTTATACTAAACTATTAAATTTATTTGCAGTTATTTGGCGACTGCTGCCTATGTTCTTTTACTTTTTATTCTGGAGAATGCTTGAAGTTAACATTTCTGGCCATTCAGTGGTATGAGAATGTATTTACATCTGTAAGGTGAGGTAAATATTTCCCTACTTACTTTCTACTTTTAAACAAGCTTTGTCATTTTGTCATTGACCAGTATATATTTAAGATTTTTAGGTCCTAATTTCTGTTTTTTAAAGCTTTGTAGACCTTCCCTTCTACCTTTCACTTTTAAACATTTAATCTAGAAAGTTTCTTTCTTTTTTTTTTTCTTAGAAGGGGAAACATGAAAGAGATAGTATAGTTTGTGATATATTTGTCTTGACTCATTGAACATAATTACTTTGAAAGGAATTGAACTTTAAAGGGGCAAGAATATTTTAATTTACGGTTGTACATTCAAATGTTCAACTGTTATGTTTTGTTTTGTGTTTTTGGACAAAGTCTCACTGCACTGGCTATCCTGGAACTCTGTGTGATCGTGCTGGTCTTGAACCCAAGAGATCTCTTGTCTCTGCATCCCAAATGCTGGAGACACCAGGACTATCCTCAAGTATTGTTTGTTTGTTTTTTAATAATAAAATAGTTTGTATTCTAAGTTCCATAGAACAGAGCAAAAAATATTAAAAGCTTATATTACTTAAGATTTAGGAAAGTAATATGACTTTTATGAATTTTTTATGTTAGCAGTCCTTTAATTTATAAAAAGTAAAATAAGTTTGTAAGTAGGTTGATCACTATCTATATACACCTATTTAATTATCCCTTAAAACAAATGTAGGAAATTGACATAATCTAAAAAGAGTTCTGTTTCCCCTACTTTTTTCTGAGTTTTTAAACTATACATTAATTGCATAAAAATAAAATTTTCCTTATGACATTTCATTTGATCATATTCATATCCCTATTGTCCTCATTCCTCTCCCCTATTTTTATGATTGCAGTAAATAGTTTGCTGTTATGTAAAAATGTTTAAACATTTAGATGAAACAAGTATATTTAGGTTTGATTGTGGAATATAACTCTACTTAGAAAATTCCAATACTGAACTAGATTTACTGACAGTTACTGAACAGTCACTGATGTGTCATACATATATGTACATCCACACTGAGATTTAGATGGACCCTTTTTTTGTTATATGAACTTGGCATGTATGCCTGTAGAGTTTGTTACTTAGGTGACTGATGAAGAGACTCACTTGAACCCAGAAGTTCAACTCCAGTCTGGGTTGTATATTGAGACCTCATCGCAAAAACATCAAAAGTAAGTATGTACATAAAGTCATTAATCCTTGACAGGCAGTGGTGGTGCACTCCTTTAATCCCAGCATTTGGGAGGCAGAGGCAGATCTCTGAGTTTGAGGCTGGCCTCATGTACAGAGCTAGTTCCAGGACAGCCAGGGCTACCCAGAGAAACCCTGTTGAACCTTGCTGTCATTAATTTCATTGCTTTCTTAGGTCGTTGCCGTTCCGTGTTCACTGGACACAACAGGAATGTCTCCTGTGCAGTCTGACGCCCAAGTGTGAGTCAGTGAAGTCAAGAGGAGCTCTGATCTCGGCCTTCTCAAGAGATGGCCTTGCCCTGGCTGTAACTCTTAATCAGAAAGACCCAAAGGTCAGAAACTAGCGTCTGTCCTTAGGGCTACTTTATGTTTTTTAAAGTAATGTTTTCAGTCTATTGTGGTTTGGTAAAGTTATATAAATCAGCTGTCATCATTTTCAAGAGCTGTTTTGAAGAAATGTAAAATTAAAAATCTTATCTTAGTGACAAATACTGGTAATCCCAGCACTCTGCACACTGGGGCAGGAGGGTTTGAGTTCAATGTCAGCCTGAGTTACATAGTAAAACCTGGTCTCAAACTCAACAAAACAAAGTAAGAAGTGAAAAGATAAAGCTGCTAATCCCAGCTGTGGGAGGATTTCAAGTGTAGGGCTACTCTGAACAATTTAAAAGGGCTGTCAGTACTGCTTGGCATAGAAAGATTACTTATTTGTTAGTATAATAACAGCTCTTTCAACTTCTAGGAAATAATATACACAGAAGGTAATGTCATTGGTTATGTCATGTTTTCACCCTTCTAGGCAACTCAGGTATTGTTTATAAACACACTGAATTTTGTTACTCTCTGTGGTGGTCTTAAAGGATGTAGTAACAAGAATCCTGTGGTCCCAGCTACACTTACCAGGTAAGAAAATATGTGCTTATTTCTGGGGACGGTTGTTGAAGTTGGAAACTCTACTAATTACATAAATATATTTAGATAAAAAAATGTGATTTACTTTCTTTTTTGTTTGTTTTGTTTTTGAGACAGGGTTTCTCTTTCTCTGTGTAACTTTGGAGGCTGACCTCAAACTCACAGAGATCTACTGCCTCCCCAGTGCTGGGATTAAAGGCTTACGCCACCACACCTAACTTGTATACATCTTATAGCTCATGTGTTATCTAAAAATCACCACGGATGTGGTGTTTAAAAATCTATGAATACCCTAGCCTTCCTGAATGAATGATGGTCCCCCCTCTTGAGATTTCATCTTACTCTTCCTTACAAAACCTTGTTTTGCTCTACCTACTAAAATTCTATTCCTAAGAAGATAGAAAAAAACAGTGAAGAAGAAAATGCATTTATATATTCTCTACTCTACCTTTCTTTTAAAAGTATTTGAGACTTTGTATAAAGCAACTTTTAGAAGTTACCAAATACAGCAGGGCCATGGTGCACACATCTTTAATCCCAGCACTGGGAGGCCATCAGGCCTGGTCTACAAAGCAAAAGATCCAGGATTGTCCTGGATCTTTTTCCAAAACCCTGTCTTGGAAAAAGATGGCTGACTATTGGCTCAACTTGAGGCAATATTTTCATTTCTAAATTGCTTATAAATCCTAGTAAACTTCTAATGGGAATATTGTTGGAGTAGATATATGTAAGCTTTTTTTTTCAAAGTAAAATTAACAAAATTTATGTTACAGTAGCCTACTATCCAGTTCTTTCTAAAACTGTCATTTGCTCTTTTTAGGTCATATTGGGTAGCTGACATCAGCTGGACACATGACAGTCTTTTTCTGTCTTGTGTACTGAAACGTGGCTCCCTGGTTTTATTGACCTGCTTAGGTGAATTGCTAACGTTAGTTACACTTGGTTGCTCTATAGAATTTGGGCCAGCTGAGTTTATTCCTCTTCATCCACTAATAACATATAGGTGAGACATTTGAATTGTTTTATTTACAGAACTCATTTTCTTTGGTGATTAATTTTACAAAAACAATTTCATCTCCAAATTTGTTTTTTTCTTACTGTGAGTCTATTATGTCAATATGTCTGTTTCTTATTTGTTCCTAATTATTTATAGTTTTCTTCCTATTTCTTTTTGTGGCATAATCCTGGTGAAAATTTGACATTGTGACTATGTAAGTATAAAATTATTTAAATATTTAATAGTACTGAGAACTTATCTTTACTATAAAAGATAATAAAACATGACATTATTTTAAAAGTGTAGCACTTAGTAACTCAAAATTAACATATTTTCTCAAAGGACAAAAACTGTTACTAGCCGGGCGGTGGTGGCGCACGCCTTTAGTCCCAGAACTCGGGAGGCAGAGGCAGGCGGATCTCTGTGAGTTCGAGGCCAGGCTGGACCGACTGCCTCCAAAACAATACAGAGAAACCCTGTCTCGTAAAACCAAAAAAAAAAAAAAAAAAAAAAACTGTTACTAATAGATTGAAGAGTTTAGCCATATTTGGATTTTAATTGTAGTCAGACAAATCAAGTTTCTAATACTAGTTTTTATATTTCCTGATTGTATACATGAATAAATTGTTCTTTAAGCCTTTTCTTGTGAAATGAGGATGACAGTAATTGTCTTATAGGATTGAGGGAATGAAGTAAGTCTATGTGGTTCTTGTATAAAATAAGTGCTGAGTAACTTTTTTATTTACTATATATAGCTAGATATATGTAGAGAGCTATTTTAAAAATTAATTCACGCCGGGCGTTGGTGGCGCACGCCTTTAGTCCCAGAACTCGGGAGGCAGAGGCAGGCAGATCACTGTGAGTTCGAGACCAGCCTGGTCTACCGAGCGAGTTCCAGGACAGCCTCCAAAGCCACAGGGAAACCCTGTCTCGAAAAACCAAAAAAAAAAAAAAAAAAAAATTTTAATTCACTCCAGTGGTGGTGGTTCACCTTTAATCCGAGCATTTGGTAGGCAGAGGCAGGTGGATCTCTGAGTTTGAGGCCAGCCTGGTCTACAGAGCTAGTTCCAGAATAACTAGGGCTACACAGAGAAACCCTGTCTTGAAAAACAAAACAAACAAAAAAAATTAATTAATTTGCCTTAAAAATTGTGTGTGGGCGTGGGTGCAGTAACCTTGGAGGTTAGAGGCCTCAGATGCTCCTGGAGCTGGTGGTTATGACTGGCATGGTTGCTGGGAATCAAACTCCAGCCTTCTGGTAGAGCAGGAAAAAGTTCTTAACTGCTGAGTCATCTCTCCAGCTCTAAGAGCTAGAATTACTGCTAGCAGAAAACTGTGTCAATTCCTGCTGTGAAAGTTGTAGGTTTTTTTTTTCCAGTTTTTTGGCCTTCATCTTTTATTTTATGTGTATGGGTATTTGTCTGCATGTATGTCTGAATTTTGTGCATTCTGTGCCCAGGGAGGCCAGATGAGGGTGATAGATCCTGTGGGACTGGAGTCACACACAGACGTCATGAACCTCCATGTGGGTGCTGAGGATGACCTTTAGGCCCTTATTTGTTTCTACTGTAATTTCCTCACACCATTCTCCTTTAAAGTTAGTATTTTAAGGCTTTTCTAACTCTTTTTCTAATAGATATTCATTACTTGAAAAAATAAAATATGGTTGGGGAGTGGTAGCACACGCCTTTAATCCCAGCCTGGTCTACAAGAGCTAGTGCCAGGACAGCCTCCAAAGCCACAGAGAAACCCTGTCTTGAAAAACCAAAAAAAAAAAAAAAAAAAAAAAAAAGAAAAAAGATACTCATATTGCATTTATAATAATAGTAATGTGCTAGTTTCTTTCAACATATGATGACTTACATGAAATGTGTTTATTTTTGTAACTTAAAAATTTTTATTTTAATATTCTGTGTGTATATATGTGTGGTTATGATGTCATGTGTGGGCACTTGTATGCCCCAGTGCACAAATGGAAGCAATTCTCTCCTTCCACCTTAACATGTCAGGCTTGTGTGGCAAGTGCTTTTACTCCCTGAGTTCAGTGGGTAACTCTCTCTGTCTCTCGGAAATTGTATGCTCTGACATTTATGCAGGCAAAACTCCATACACATAAAACAAAAAACAATTAACCTTTAGGTTAAAGAGAATAAAAGAAAAATGCTTCCACTGCACTAAATGTTAGTTTCCTATTAGCATTTATCTGTCACTAAAAATTAGGCCTTGTTATTTTGCTAAACACAGTCAAGCACATACCCACAATCATTTCCCTTTTTCTTTCTTTCTTTCTTTCTTCCTTCCTTTCTTTCTTTCTTTTTGTTTGGTTTTTCAAGACAGGGTTTCTCTGTGGCTTTGGAGGCTGTCCTGGAACTAGCTCTTGTAGACCAGGCTGGCCTTGAATTCACAGTGCTCCACCTGCCTCTGCCTTCTAAGTGCTGGAATTAAAGTCGTGTGCCACCACCGCCCGGCTCACTTTCTTTTCTATAGACTGATACAGTCTGCAGTTAACATGTTTTTTAATGGTTCCTTACATTTCTCTAATTAACCTATTGTGGGACATTTAGTTAATGAAAAGCAATCTATATTTGAGATCTTGGGCATCCTCACTTATTTTCTGCAATGCTAGAGATCAGACTAAGGGCCTTGCACACAGTAGGAAAATGCTTTATCAACCAGATCTCCCAATCTGTATTTTAATAGTTCTCTAGTCTAAAAACCTGTAATATATTAATGTGTCTCCTTTTATGTTTATAAAACATTAAATGTAATAAGCAGCTATCAGAACCCAATGTAGAATTATGACACATATTTATGTGAGAGACATTTAATTTTAAATTCATAAAATGTCACTCACCACTATATTCTCCAAATGCCCTATTTTTTCCTCCTTTATAACAATTGTACTAATTCTAATTCTTGCAATTCTATTCCTCTATCTACATTATTTTAGAAAGAAAGCTAGCTACTTAATTCTTTAATAATAAAAGTAAGATGCCGGGGCTGGAAAGATGGCTCAGCAGTTAAGATTACTGACTGTTCTTCCAGAGGTCCTGAGTTCAATTCCCAGCAACCACATGGTGGCTCACAACCACCTTGAATGAGATCTGGTGCTTTCTGCTGGTACGCAGGCAGAAGACTGTATACATAATAAATAAATAAAATATTTTTAAAAAAGTAAGATGCCATAATTCTTAAACAGGTTGCATATAATTCAAAACAAAACATAATAAATGTCACAAAATCTAGGGATAAAATGGAAACATGTAAAGACATGTTTTGGTCACCATTGTAATTCCTGGAAGTCAATTATACAAACTTAATGGTTTCATGTCTGTTTATCTGCTTGCTTTCTCATCATTCTATGTGGTTTCTTTGCCATTTATTTTGAATAATATGACTACTTCCTTTAAGATCCTTCTCTTGCTGATTCTTGGCTTTTCATGTTTGTTTGCTAGACCACAGCAGTTTACATTTCAAGATTCAAATAATTCTGTAGATTCATCAGCTTCTGAGAGTGACCCTCTGAGACAGAGGTTTTCTATAAAAGCACACTCACGGCTACCCTACCTCATTATTTCTGATGGATATATGGTCACAACCCTTCGGTTTCTTGATGACCAGTCTCCAACAGCGCTCATGAGGTCCTTGCTAATTGATTCAACCCAGAGGCTTGAGAAAGCATACCAAAGTATGATGCTCTCTAAGGTACAGTGCCTTTTGGTATTCCTTTCAAAGTTAAAACTGTACCAACAGTAATACTAGTCTTTTTGACACTAGAAGTTTTAATTGCTTTGGAATTACAGATAAAATTTTGTGCTTGGAAATCATCTGTCTTTCTTCCCATAGCCAAAGCACAAAGGCCTGAACTTGCGATCACTGGATTCCTTAAGGTCTAGCCTGTTAAAGCATCAAGGAAAGGAGGGTTCAGTACATGGCACTGTCCCTAGATTTCTACAGGCAGAAGAAACAGTGAAGTTAAATGAAACTACAGATGTTCAGGTACTTATTAGTACATACTGATCTTACCTGAGAAATTCGTTGATCTTGTTGTTGTTGTTAAAGGAAAGAGAAGTTTAAGAACAATACAGTGATCCTATGCATAAGGCTTGAATGATATTAGATATAATTTTTCCCCTTGTGTTTAGGATTCTGAAGGAGAAGAAGCTAATGAAGTTGAACAATTTCCAAACAATTCATTTCCTTTTTGTAACCAAAGAAAAGATCTAAGATTTAGCATTATCAAGGAAGGAAGATTGGAATTTGCATCTATGTTTGATACAGTTCATGCAAAGGATGATTCCAAGGAGACAGACAGAACTACTGCAGAACTACATTGTATCCAGAAAAAACTACTTGCAGCTTGGACTATAGGAATTTCAAAAAATGTAACAGAAAAAAACTTGATGTTAAATTACACAGTACTTTGCATCACTCACTTTTTCTATGTTCTTCAGTTTATAAAATGTCCTCTGCCGAAGTTTGACCTGTTTTTAAATGAGAGTCTGAAGCATAATGAGTGGGTCATTTGTGTCTTTCAACTTTTCCATCAGTGTCTATCAGTTCACTATTGGGATTTGAGGTACAGACAAGACATAGGCCATTTGATAACGCTGACCTCAAATACTGTAAAGCTTTTTCTGACTCAGCAACAAAAAAATGGGCTCTTCTCAGAGAAGCTTTTAGCTTGCCTTTCTTTACTCCAAATGGTTGCTGACCATTTAGATGGCATCTGCAGTCTTCAGCCTGAGGCCGTTTCAGCTTCAGCTGATGGAAGGAGAACAGCTGAGCTGGACTCACTAATGGTCCCACTTTTTCCATCTTCGAAGGAACGTTGGTCCTGGAACTCACCTTTGAAGATTTGTCCCCACATCACCAATCTTGTTCAAAAGCCAGGCCACAGGTATGAAAAGTAATTCTATTACTATGACAACACTGGATTTCTTATGCTATAGTAAGAAGTGTATAATATGGTAAGTTTAGTATATTTATAAGGTTTTAAACTGTTAGTACTAATCCCAGAATAGTTTTTACTCCAGAGGGAAACTTTGTAACCATGTGGATCCCACCATTAAAATATGTTACTTTAAAAATATTTAAGTCCTTGTTTTAGAGTAATAGATTATCCCTGATATAGCTATCTGATTTTTAAACATTTATTTTTTTGTTTTATTTTATGTGTATGTATGGAGGGGGGCTGCCTGTGGTGGCCAGAAGTGGGCATTGGATGCTCTGGAGCTGAAGATGCAGGCAGTTGTGAGCCGCCCAATATTGTGCTCTGGAAGAGGATCAAATGCTCTTAACCCCCAAGGCATCTCTCCAGCCTCTCTATATAAATATTTTTCTATATATAAATTTTATGTGTCAATCAAAAATTGCTCCCGGTTTTTTTTTTCCCCAAACATAAAAAAAAACCACACACTTTTTTTTGGTCTTGGGCAGTCATAATGATCTTGAATTAAAGTTAAGTATATATGAAAAATATATGCAGGTTCATAAAACATTTGTGAAAGTCTTGTTGTCCAGCCGGGCATTGGTGGCGCACGACTTTAATCCCAGCACTCAGGAGGCAGAGGCAGGCGGATCTCTGTGAGTTTGAGGCCAGCCTGGTCTACAGAGTGAGTTCAGAACAACCTCCAAAACAATACACAGAAATCCTGTCTCAAAAAACCAAAAAAAAAAAAAAATCTTGTTGTCCTTATATGAATTTGTCACTGAACTACGACTACTAGCTGGGTCAGTATGTTGCTTCTGAACATAAACTTGTTGTCATTACTCATGGAATTTGGTTTTGACCATTATCTAATTTTGTGTACAGATTGATTGCTCTTTGGAGACTATTGTACAAAAAAACTTTATGGTATCAAGCACAGTTAAGCCGAAGAATTCCTGATGGTGACATCCAGTTAACTGAAAACATAACACATGAAGTATCTTTTGTCAAGTCTCTGTTATGTCATCTACAGACTAACTTGCAAATGGCTGGGGATAGCTTGAATCAAGCCTTAGAACTTACACCTATCAATGGTCAGTATCTTATAAACAGTTTCTAACTCCTTGGGTATGTGAAATGATAACTGGACTTTGGTTTTTCAAAATGAATTGCACTTACCTGATTTTCAGAATAATTCAGGCTGGAGATGAATCTATTGCATTTTAAAACAAAGTAAACAAAAGTAATGTAATCACTTGTAACTAACTGTTGGGTAAAATAACCCTTAGGTGAAGAGTGCTTTTTGTTAGGATCATATGAAAAATCAGTTCATCTGTGGAAGAAGGCTCTACAAGAAACCCAAGAGAAAGGTAAGGGATATTTAAAAACCTATATTGGTAAGAATATAAATTAATATTCTGCAGAAATTAAAAATAGCCTCAGAGTGTTCACTTTATCTTACTGTTCAGTAAGATGCAGATTGTAGGGAACTTGACTGTCAGAAACACTGTACTGTATTTTAAATTATTCTTGATTTTTAAAATCTTTTCAATGCTGTCTAGTTAAGTTTCCCTACCCACCTTGTTTAGTGATAAAACCTGCAGTTGAATGTTAAATGGAAAAGAAATGAGATTTATATACTGAACATTTTTTTTCCCTTTTAAAGGCACTACAAATATCTAAATGGGAAACTATACATCAGATATTCTGCCACCTTCCTACAGACATTCCTACATCTCTCAAACCACAGAGCTAAGCCTCCAGGCCTTTAAGAGATTAGAGAGTTTCAGGTTGAATAGAGAGTTGGAGTTAAGTATGATTTGGATGGGGATTTTTGTAATGACATAGGACTCTAGGTTCCAGAAACTGATGATGTCTTATAGGGCTGAAGGTGTGACTAAGATGATAAAAGTTCCTAGGTGGCAGCTCTGTATGTGGCCTGAGTGTAGTTACTGCCTGGTCAGAGTGCCGGGTTTTACATTTGTTTTCTGACTATTAGCTTTGCATACTTCCGTTTTTCATCTACCAGTGTTTTCTCAGTGCCTGCTGTAGCCCAGCTCTGCACACTAGATATACCAAAAGCGTACCTTTTGTTACAGTCACTTGTGTGGGCTGGGAGCACAGTCTAAGCCTGAAGGTATGGATCAGCATCAGGGAACCATATAGAGACTGGTGTTTGAAGTTGAGTTGAAATTGGACAGTGAAAATGTTTGGACAGAACTGGGTGGTAGTGGCCCACACCATTAATCCCAGCACTTGGGAGCAGAGGTAGGCTGATCTCTGTGAATTTGAGGAGAGCCAGGGTTACACAGAGAAATCCTGTCTCAAAAACCAAACAAAGTTGGTAGGATGGTTTAACAGAGGATATACATTCTTCATGAATTTAGATCCTAAATAAGCTATGTCAACTGAGTCACACCTTTATCCCTGCACCATAAAAGGTGTCACAAGTTTCTTGGATCTGGAGAAACCAAAACCCTGAGAAAGTAAAAGAATTTGTCAAAATGCAAATATGTGATTTAGTTATGTAATAATATTAGTGGTAGGTCAATAATGGTGGCAGGGAACAGGAGTGCTATGAAAAGACAGTAGGATCAGGTAAGACTTAAAAACAAACAAACAAACAAACAAACAAAAAACCATGGCCTCACTTTGTAGGTCTGGCTGTCCTGGAACTTACTATGTAGACCAGGCTGCCCTTGAACTCAGAGTTCTGCCTACCTCTTTTTCCTGAGTGCTGGGATTACAGACCAATTTTTAAAACTACATTTAGGGATACACATTTGCTACAGCATACCTGTGGAAGTCAGAGAATGACTTGTAGTTCTCTCCCTCCTCCATGTTGGAACTGGGGCTCAAACTCAGGTTGTCAGACTTGGTGGCAAACACCTTTGCCCTTAGAGCCATCTTATTGGCCCAAGACACATTTTATAAGGAAAAAGCTGTTCAAATTAATACAGAAGGTCTCTGATTTATGATAGCTTAACTTAAACTTTTAAACTTTGTGATGGCATGAAAGCCATATGTATTCAATTTTTCCTGAGCTAGAAGTAGTGCTATGTAAAGTATGTGTCTTAGGTTTTATTACAGTGACAAGATACCATGACCATGGCAACTCGTGTAGCAGAAAGCATTTAGTTGGGCTTGCTTACAGTTTCAAGGTTTTGTCCATGATCATCATGGTGGGACATGGCAGTGTGCAGGCAGACAGGGTGCTGGGAGAAGGAGCTGAGAGTTCTACATCTTGATCCACAGCAAGCAGAAGGAGACTCTGTACCACACTAGCCATAGCCTGAGCATATGAGACCTCAAAGCCTGTCCCCACAGTGACACACTGGCTGGCCTCAAACTGAGAAATCCTCCTGCATGTACTAGATTCAGTGCATGCACCACCATGTCCCATTGCTGCCCTGTTTTTCAGTAAATCCTTTATTGAAGTATAAAACAGATGCAAAAAACCTGTCTATGTGGGTGGTACTAGCCACAGAGTAGCCCCTTGGAACCGTGCTTGTCAGTTTAACTGTGCTGTTTTAGGAGGAAGAAGGACGTACTTTCTTCAGTTGCGGTACTATCTCTCTCTCTTGTATTGCCACCTCTACCGCTATAATTTGAACGATGCTCAAGGATTATGTGATCACCTAGTAAGACAGATACTCAACTGGTCCCAGGTACCTGTAAAAGACAGTAAAGATTGCTCAGGTATGCTTTTTAAAATTTGTCTGTCTATATATCTGTCTGTCATGGTTTTCTGAGACAGGATTTCTTTGTGTAATAGCCCTGACTGTCCTAGAACTCACTTTGTACAACAGGCTGGCCTTGAACTCACAGAAATCTGCCTGCCTCTGGCTCCCAATGCTGGGATTGAAGATGTGTGCCACCACCACCTGGCTTGTTTCTTTTTTTGAAACGGGGTCTTGCTGTGTTTCTCTCTGATTTTACTGGTATTTATGTAATCAGCCTCTTGCTGGCCTGAGTCCTGTGAGAACTGGGGTTATAGGCATGTGCTGTCCCATTGGCTTAGTAGCATCAATTTTTATTTATGAGTTTAGAGAAAAAATAGTTCATAGATCTGGGGCACTTACCCAGCTGGATACCCTAGGATGTGATTCTGGATGGACCTGGGCATGTATAGCAGTTCTGGGAGGGGCCTAGGAGACTCTTCTGGGTGGTTTGCACTCCAGGGTGACACTGCTTGGGCCTGAGAGTGGAGTTGTCTTAAGTAAGTTTTACTTCTTTATAGTTTGTTGAGACTCTCCTGTTGGTGTGCTATATTCCTTAGATTCCGAGAAGTCTCATTGTGGGTTTGCAGTGAGTAGAAATGTACATCCTGAGGTGGCAGTCCGAGTTATCCAGTGCATGGCCCGTTTCATGGCTGCCTATTTCACCAATGAACCACTCTGCATTCTGCCCCCTCACAGTGTGAATGTTCTTCCGCCACTTCATATTAAAACAGGTATATGGTAAACAAATATTCTCCTACCTTGCTTTTTACACATGCTATCTAAAGTCAGTATCCTGTGTGATTGCACTGTTTTAAATTGTTACTCAAGCTTGTCTTCATTCCTGAACCCATTGTTATTTATTTTAGCCTCCCGACTAATTGAGATTATAGGTGTGAGCTGCTACTCATAGCTCACATTAATTGACCTTCCTTTCTTTCATCTTCCTCCCTCCCTCCCTCCCTCCCTCCCTCCCTCCCTCCCTCCCTCCCTCCCTCCCTCCCTCCCTCCCTCCACTCTGGCGGTATGAGGTATTGAAGCCAGAGCATCATGCATAATTGGCAAGTGCTCTATCAACCTCTTTTCTGTTGTTGCTTGTTGAGACAAGGTTTCATGTAGCCCATGTGGGCCTTAAGCTCACTGTGTAACCAACCTTGAACATCTTTTAATCCTCTTGCCTCTGCTTCCCAAGTACTATGAGTGACATGTACTGTACCTGACTGCCGGCTGGTCGGTGTCTGTGTGTGTGTGTGTGTGTGTGTGTGTGTTTGAGTTGGGACAGGGTCTCTCACTGGGTTGAAATACACCACATAGACCGGCCGGATTGGTGGCCCTGCAACTCAGGATCAGTATACCTATGCTGTCTCAGTCCACACTAGCATGCCTGCCTTATCTTAATATGGGTGCTGGAGCTCAAACTCAGATCTTCACATGTGTAAGGAAAGCACTTTAGTGACTAAACACTCTGCCCATGGGTGCTTGTGAGTTGCTCATCATGTATGCTGCCATCTGAACCCTGATTTTGTAGAGTAGTCTGTGCTGTCAACCACTGAGCCATCTCTGTAGCCCCTGATCTGGTACACATGTATGTACATTTTATCTAACTCATAATACTCACCTTATTTTGTGTAATGCACTCATTCTATTCTGCTGTGTTTCTTCATTTTTTTTAAGAATGTCTATATTTTATGCATAGCCCATTTAAGGAAACACATATTTCTAAAACTATTTTTTTTCATTCTGTATGTCTCTTTATTGTTTTAGAAAATATTAACTAAAGAAATTTAATTATGTAAGGAGGCGAGAGTTGTGATATAATTTTCTCTAATTCACAGAGCATTCCCTACGATTTATTCCTCTACAACACTCTAAAGTGGCCAGTTTTGTTAGAGATCAGAATCTCTCAAGTGTATGGACAGTTGAATATGCCCTCGAATTATTATTTATTGGTGGCCTGATTCCAGAGGCTGTGTGGTTGGCACATAAACTTGGAGACTGGAAGACATCTGTTTCCATTGGTGTGGCCTTCCAGGTTTTCTGTAAGAATGATCGCAATTTTGTGAGGTATGAATTCTTGAAGTACACACACACACACACACACACACACACACACACACACACACACACACACGTATCACAGTACCTATGAGGTCAGAGGACAAGTTATGGGAGTCACGTCTCTCCTTCTACCATGTGTGAAGTCAGGTCATAAGGCTTGGCAGCAGGTGCTTTTACCTCCTAAGCCATCTCACCATCCCAAGGTGTAGATTTTGGAATAAACTTCAAGTATTGCATAATAATACCATCTTAAGTATTTTTGTATTTTTCTTGTTGATATTTACGTATGTGGAATTCTTCATTCTGCATTGTTTGATAGGACCTCTTTCTATTGTTTTTGTCCTTGCTGCATAGAGTGGTAACTGTTGAGCTTTTCAAATGTGGCGAATGAGACCAAGGAGTTGAATTTTTCAATTTAAAGTAGAAGCAAATAACTGTCTGCTACAGTGATTACTGTGTTGGACAGTAGCTTAGTGACTTACTTTTGCTGAAGCACTTATTTAGCATATTTATGTTAGTAATATCCTAAAAAGTCAACTAGATAGTTGGGGAGTTTGTCCCAAATAGGATTTGGAGCTTGTTTTTTTTTCCTTTCCTGCCCTATCTTTTACTTTGTTTTTCCCCTTATACCTCCCATGCCTTGGTATTTGCCAGTCTCCTCTTTCTGGATAGAATCTTGCTACATAGTATATATAAGCTGGCCTCAAACTCACTGTCCTGCTTCAGTCTCTTGAATGCTGGGACTATAGGCATGCAGCCCCGAAGTGGATGGGGATTTAAATTTAGGCTAAGTAAACTAATCTCTTGTTTTCTGTTTTGAGACAGGGTTTCTTCTGTTATTTCATAGTGGGCAGTCTTTTATGTAGCTTGAATCTATGATCCAACATATATTCAGCACACAGCTTGTCACATATATTTTAATGGATGTAATTTGTTTTTTTTTTTCAAGACAGGGTTTCACTGTGTAGTCTGGCTGTCCTGGAACTTGCTTTGTACACCAGGCTGGCCTTCAACTCATAAAGATCTGCCTGCCTCTGTCTTCCGGGTGCTTTTAAGGCATGAGCCACCACCGCCTGGCTTGGATATAAGTTTTTTTGTTTTTGTTTTTTTGTTTATTCAAGACAGGGCTTCTCTCTGGCTTTGGAGCCTGTCCTGGAACTAGCTCTTGTAGAACAGGCTGGTCTTGAACTCACAGAGATCCTTCTGCCTCTGCCTCCCAAATGCTGGGATTAAAGGCATGCGTGTGTGCGTGCACCCACCAATGCCCGGCTGGATATAAACATTTTAAGGTGCTTAGATTCTTATCATAAATAGGACAAAACATTATAAAATTTGCATAGTGTATTAGACAACTTCCAACAACATAATGGAGGGAATGGGAATCACAAGTGAGGGGAAGGCCAGAAACATTCTGTGTGGGAAGTGTCCTTTCAGATGAACACTGAGGGGTAGATAGCGCTTTGATGAACTGAGTAGCCGAGGAGTAAGAACATCCTAGGTGTGAGCAAACGCATTTGGCAAAGAAGTTTTGAGTTATTTTGAGTGGAGTACATATGAAGGGTGGCAAGTGTCCTCTGAAAACCCTCAACATAGTGTTTCATTTCTGTAAGCAGGGTTAACAAAGCAAGTAACTCCATATTTTCTTAAATACATTTACTTCTTGATGTAAAATCTTTTTTTCTAAAAATATTATTTCTCTTAATTTGATGTCATTTCAGGTTCAAGAAAAAGGGTATGGACCTACCATTAAATATGATACCAGCACAGATTTTCCAGGAAAAACTACAGTATTTTTTAGGTCAGCCAGTCTCTTTGGGAGCAAAAAATGAAAAGGGCTCAAAATATAAGCAATTTACAGGTAGGTGCGTTACCTATATTCTTTCTAAGTGTATCAGGTTATTATAAACCTGTGCTATTACAAAAGCTTATGAATATTTAGAAATACGAACACCGTGACAAAATTATCACCGATTTGAAGCTATTTATCCTTAGTCGTGGGAGCACCTAAAACTGATGTCAGGCAAGCTAGCATGTAGCTCAGGGACACAGCTCTTGCCTGGTGTGTGCTTTGCTTGAGTCTGATCCTGAGCACAGCAAGAGGAAGGAAAATTGGTGTCAGCTGAAACATACTTGTTTTGTTTGACATGTAAGAGGCCCTGGATTCAATCTTCAGCATTGCCAAAAACAAAACAGAATTATATTTTGTTTGTCTTGTACATATATTTATACTTACTATTATCTTGGTGATGGGGTCTTGCTCTGTATCCCAGTGTGCCCTTGGACATTCATCCCTTCTGCCTTGGGCTACTTCTCAGTGCTGGGACTATAGACATGAGCTGCCATACCTGGCTAATGTTGACTTGGTTCATGTTTGATAGATCCCATTGAAGAAGAAGATGCTAATCTGCTGTTTGGGTCTGTGCAAGAAGTGCTAAAAGCATCAGTCATGGCTGATGCAGATGTGGTTTCGGAGACACTGCAGCTATTGATGGACTCTGCCAAGGACTTCAGTAAGAAGCTGTGGGGCTTGGTGCCTGTTGACTTGTATCTTCCAGCACCTCCGTTGTATTGTCCCCAGCCAGCTGTTCTTAGTGAAGTAAGCTCAGTGCACTCTTGTCTTCGTTAAAGTTGATTTTGTCTACTTTAAAAAATAATCTGATAATAGTGATCTTGTTACAAACGCAAGAGCTGAAGATAAACTTCTGGTTTCCAGCAAAGTATGGCCTTAGGTAACATACCAAACAGCTGTCTAATTAATAGGTAACTGTTCTGTTGTCCTCAGGAACATGGTGACAATCTTCTTTTAAAAGCTGAAAAAAATAATCGCCAAAAGCTGTCTGGAATCCTGCAGCGAGTGCTCTTACTTTTCCGGGCAGCTCGATGCTCTTTTGCTGTAGCGCAGTGGTACATCTTGCAACTGAGGTGGGCCAGAAAAGTCATGCAGAAGGTACGGGCTGTCTTAGTCATTCAAGTGCTGTGTAAGACTCTTGAGATGTCCTCACATTCACTCCAAGTGCTTCCCTAGCGACTCCTGCCTTGTGAGTCTACATATCTTGGGCTTATTTACAGCAAACAACTCAGGCAGGGTTTATCTGTGAAGTGAGTTTCTGGGTTAGCTCACTTTGTATTGCAATAGAAAGTAGATTCTTCCAGATTATTCTCATTCCAACCCTAAAGCATGGAAGATTTCTTCTGCTTAGGACTCCTCCTCCCCCATTTGCCCTGGAAGTAAGATCTGTGTTCTGTGATAACTTCAGTAGTTTCAGGTGTGGAAAACTAAGAGTGAATTCTTGACTGTTTGCTATCAGGAGTCTTTTTCACTGCCTAGGACTTCCTTTGCTGTCTCTGAGATGTGCAGTTTGATTCTGGGCCTCCATCCTGATTTCCTTCCATCCTGATTTCTACTGACTCAAGCTGATTAGGTATTAGATATGTCTCATTATCCATGTGCAAGTCCTTATTTGTGAAAATTGGTCCCCTTTTTTTTTTTTGTTTTGTTTTTTTAAAAGAGGACAAAAATCTCATTGTATAACCCAGGTTAGCTTTAAACTCAGGCTTCTGAATGCTAGTATTCACCTCAGCAGGCATGCACCACCATGCTTGACTAAAATTAGCTTTAAAATAACTTTATATAGGCTGGTCGGTGGTGTGCACCTTTAATCCCAGTACTCGGGAGGCAGAGGCAGGCGAATCTCTGTGAATTCGAGTCCAGTCTGGTCTACAGAGCGAGTTCAGGATAGCAGGGCTACACAAAGAAACCCTGTCTCGGAAAAACCAAAAACCAAACCAAACCAAAATGAAACTTTATATAGGTATGATATATATGTCTGCATGTGGTTTGTGTTTGTGAAAACTGGTGTGTGCATGTCATGGTGTGCGTGAAAGGACACCTCAGGTCTCATCTTCCTCCTTGTTTGTAACAGTTTGCTACTGCACATGCCAAGCTAGCTGGCTCACAAGCTTCCAGCAATTCTCATGTCTCCACCTGTCATCTTGCCCTGAGAGCACTGGGATTACAAATTCATTCCATGTTCTGCTTAGTGTGGATCCTGGAGATAAGAATTGAGGTCCTATCAGTAACATAGCAAGCACTTTATCAATTGAGCCATTCCTTAGCCTCAAATTAGCTTTGATTTGTTTGTTTTGACATGTGCAGCTCTGGCTGACCTGCTTCTGCTTCCTGAGCACTGAGATTTAAACATGTTCACCATGATGCCTTTAAATAAACAGAAAAATGAGGTTTAAAAATTCACCTCCCTTAAAAGTATCTTAAAACTGTTCATTGTCATTACAATGGAGACAAGGTCTGGAGAAGGGGGAAACAGAGAGAAAGTGTATGTATATGGAGAGGAAGAGACAGAGAGAGAGAGAGAGACAGAAAGAGAGAGTGAGAGTGTAAGTGTGTGGTATTGATGAAAAAGTTCTCTTTTTTAAAAATAATTATTTATTTATTATGTATACAGTGTTCTGCCCAGGTCAGAAGAGGGTACCAGGTCACATTACAGATGGTGTGAGTCACCATGTGGTTGCTGGGGATTGAACTCAGGACCTCTGGAAGAGCAGCCAGTGCTCTTAACCTCTGAGCCATCTCTCCAGCCCTTGATGAAAAAGTTCTTGAATTAGACAGTTATTATTTATGGTTGACTAACTGATTATAGCGAAACCAGCTAGGTAGCTATCACTTATAAAGATGAACTTTATAAAGCTTTTAAATTTTTTTGAGCTTTTTAAATTTTAATTCCAGTTTAGAAATGATACCAAATTAAGTATCTGCACCATATTAGTTTTCTATTTCATTTTTGCAAATTGCCAAAATTTTGTGACTTAATACCACGCCCACTTATCTCACTGTGCTTTAGAAGTCCTGTGAGCTAAGCTGATTCTTTCACAAAGCACTCAAGGATAACAGCAGAACTGTGCTGCCTTCCAGTATCTTGATGGGAGAACCCATTTCCAGACTCATTCAAGTTGTTGACAATTCAGTTCATGTGGCCGTAGGACTGAGGCTCCCATTTTCTTCCTGGGTCTATCTCTTAGAACTATCCCACTGCGCCTGGCGGTGGTGGCGCATGCCTTTAATCCCAGCACTCGGGGAGGCAGAGGCAGGCGGATCTCTGTGAGTTTGAGACCAGCCTGGTCTGCAGAGCAAGTTCCAGGACAGCCTCCAAAGACACAGAGAAACCTTGCCTCGAAAATCCTCCCCCCCCGCAAAAAAAAAAGAACTATCCAGCTAATAAAGTGTTTGATGGAGGGGCTGCCGTTTGCATGTTTACAGAACATTTGATTAGATCCCATCTTTCTTGTAGTGACAGATAGAAGGAGGCTGTAAACTTACTGTTCAACTTTTCTCTTGGTATCTATAACAGCATCCTCTTTAAAAAGAAAAAGCCCTTGTTATGTTAGAGAAGCAGTGTGATTGTTCTGTAATGTATACTACGTTTGTGATCATTTCTTCATCTAATGCCATTTAGCTTGTTCATTTCACTGATGTACAGAGGTTTGAGTAGATCCAGGCTCAGATCTTCTTGAAAAGAATCCTTTGGAAATACTGTGTACTTCACTGTGGCCCCACAGTTTTAAAAGTGAACTAGCTCAAGGAATTTGGGTCATGTCAGACCCTGTATCAAGTTCCCCATAAACCCACCAACTTCTTGACATTTTATTGATAGTCCTTTCCTAGAGTCATTGCTTTTTAGGACTTGCCTATTGATGACTTTCCATTTCTGTCATTTATAGATTCACTTTTTAAAAGTTATATATGTAAGTTTTTTGTTTGTTTTGGTTTTTGGAAGGTTTGTTTCTTTGTTTTTTTTTTTTTTTTTCTTTTTTTGAGACAGGGTTTCTCTGAATGGCCTTGACTGTCCTGGAACTCACTTTTTGTAGGCTAGGATGGCCTCAAATTCAGAGAGATTCTCTTGCCTCTGCTTCCAAGTGCTGGGAGGCATTTGTCACCACTGCCCCATGTAAGAAGGTTTTTTCCTTGGTTGGTTCAGGTACTACAAAGTTCATTTCAGATGAGATTTAAATATTTTCTTGCTCATAACTGTAGGGAAAGCAGATGACTATAGGAGACCAGAGTGACAAAAGAACGCAAATGGTTTATGCCCTTTTCTTTTCAGACACAGTGTGGTGATGGATGTTGAATTAGACCTGTGAATGAGTCTCTGAGAGTGCAGCTCAATGGAGCAGGGGACTTATGCTGTAGCAGAGGACCTTTGCTGCTTATGTGCTGTGTGGGTTTCTTGACTATCTTGCCTTGTAGTTTGCTGTAAAGCTTGTTTGCTACTGATGACTAATATATTCTATCATTCTTTTCAGATTCGAATGAAAGGGTCCCTTCCTTCGCTTAGTTCCTTTCCCGAATCCTTACTTAATTACTGTAAAGGAAGGATAGCATTCATTAGACCTGGAGCAGCTGGAGACCACAAGCTTGATGAAGTTTCCATCAAAGCACTAGGTTTGTCAGAAATGAGCTACTGGGTTAGAACTCAGCTGCATGTGAACTATAATATGCATTTCATCTGGTCTGGGAAAGTTTCTAAACTATCGACTCTAGTTTGCTCTTGATACTCTATTTAGGGTTTACACTTAGACACTCTGACATGTATGTATGTAGATGGCTTTATAGGTATGATAGTAAATTAAAATTTTATATTTAGAACAAATCGTGCTAACTGTGACACTGTTGTTGCTTCCTTGTTTAAATTTGGAATTTTAGCACTCAAGAATGCCTTTCTTGTAGTCATTTCTTTGCAATGAAGATATGCTTATTGCCACACTGTTAAGTGGGCAGGCTTTGAACCTGTCTGTATAGATGAACCAATTTTGTTTCCTGTTTTCTTGATTTAACTTATTCTACTTAGACTTCTCCCTTATCTTAATATTCATTAGTATGAATTTTTATGACTTTTATTAGCAGACATTAAATTGCTTCTGGCATATTAATTCTGAGGTTTTTTTTATTTTAAGATGTTTCTTTAGAGTCTCAGCAATGTAATTTCTGAGTTGATAAATTTAGTTATCTTTTGAAATAGTATGCCAGATTTTATTTGGTGCCAAAAATTGTCAGCTGTACATTACTACACCCATGTTTTTGAGGTGTCATCTCCCTCAGATAGTTTTGTTTTGATATGTCTTTATTTGATTTTATGTTTTGGGATAGACTCTCCTGCCCTGTATCCCATACTAGCCTGAGCTCATAATCCTCTCCTTAGTCTTCTGAGAGCTGGTGTTGCTCATGTGTATCACCATGCCAAGCAAATCAAGATGTCTTTCTTAGGACTAATTGTCTTGTCCATTTAGTAATTATTTGCGTTTTCTTGTATAAATTAATTTCCAGTGTTCATAATTTGTGTCCAGTTACATGCTTGACAGGCCTTAAAGGTTAGTAAAACTTTGGAAGATATAGAGAAAGAGAGGGAGGGAGAAATGAGGGAGAGAGAAAGTATGTGTGTGTCTGTGTGTGTGTGTGTGTGTGTGTGTGTGTGTGTGTGTGTGTGTGTGTGTGTGTGTGTGTGTGTGTTGCAGCATCAGGAGTAAATCTCAGGGCTAGGTCTGAAGACGGCCATGCCCTCAGGCCTTATGATGTGTTTAATAGATTAGTATTCTGGGTCTGTGCAGTGGCTCATAGGTTAAGGTTCTTACAGCTTCATCTGACAACCTAATTCAATCCTTGAAACCCATATGGTAGAAAGAGAGCTGACTCTTGGATGTTGTCCTCTGATGTCCATATGAAAGCCTGTAGGACATGCACAATCATACAAACTCAGAATTTGGAAATTTACCTGTACCGGGAAGTGGTGGTGTATGCCTTTAATCCCAGCACTCGGGAGGCAGAGGCAGGCGGATCTCTGTGGTTCGAGACCAGCCTGGTCTACAAGAGCTAGTTCCAGGACAGCCTCCAAAGCCACAGAGAATCCCTGCCTCGAAAAACCAAAAAAAAAAAAAAGAAATTTACCTGCTAGGTATGAGGCCCTGGGTTCAATTCTAAGTGCTATAGAAATAAGTGGTATTCTGGATGATATACAGTATAGAGTTTGTGTTGGAACTGAAAATTATCCACAATATACTATGAATTTATAAAGCAAGCAAATCAGAAATAAGTGAATTCAATCATTTACTTTGTTTTCATACCGTCATGCAACTGATATTTATAAAATATTCTAGAATAATAGATATTAAAATTCTGGAAGGATCTCCATGACTTTTATATAAGGTGTTTATAATGAACACAATTTTGTTTTTGTTGTTTTGGAATGTGAATGTGTGTATTCAGAGTTACATGTTTATGTGTGTGTACTTGTAAGCATGTGTATGCGTATGGAAGCCAGAGGTTGACATCAGGTATCTTTCTTGATCGCTCTCCATCTGATACATTGAGGTGCCTTAGTTGATTTGGTCAGTCTAGCTAGCCACCTTACTCTGGGAATCCTCCATCCCCATCTCTTTTTCTTTTTTTTTTCCAAGACAGGGTTTCTCTATGTTGCCTTGGCTGACCTGGAACTCTCTGTAAACCAGGCTGTTTTTGAACTCAGAGAGCAACCTGCCTCTGCTTCCAAGGTGCTGGAATTAAAGGAGTGCACCACCACTGCCCAGCCCATCCCCACCTCTTTTTTTTTTCATCCCCATCTCATAAGTGCCAGAGTTACCGTATACTGCCACACCTGCCCAGAATTTACATGGGCGTTTCAGGCCCAAACTCCGATCCTCATACTTGCATCGTAGCAAACACTTTACTCATTGAGCTATCTAACCAGCCCACGCATTTTTTATAATCACCAGAGCAAGTGCATTTGTTTTGAAAACAGATAGCCTGCAGATGTAACACATAATTTTCTTTTACATTTATACTTTTTAGGTTGCTTCAGAGAACTTTGTGCTTTGTGCTGGATGTTGCATATCCGGGATAAATTATCATATAGTTGCAGGCAGTATCAGAAGGCAAGAGAAAATGTGAATGTGGAAAAGGTATTTATCAACTCAAGAATAGAAAATAAACATTACTCAGAAAATTATTGCTTAATAAAAGACTTTACTCTTTGTAGTACAGCATCTTTTGTATTCATTCTGATCTGTCCATGTAAACTGAAAAGACAATCTTCTCCATGTCCACCTAGGACCTCGAATTGGAATTTGATTCTTGTGTGGTTGAGCACTGTTTTCACGCACTGGAATGGGCCTATAGAATGCTACCATTCTCTCGGTTTTTTAATATGGAAGAACTTATTCAGGATATAATTTTGAGCCTTATTGGAGAACTGCCACCAGTCAGGAAGGTAATATGTTGGTAAAAAAAAAAAAAAAACTAAATCTGAATCATAGATCCTAAGGGATTTCTGTTTTAGTTAGAGATGATGTTGCCTTTTCCTATCTGACTGATTGCACTTTGAATAATGTCCTCCAGGTTCAGAGAGACAAGTATGATCTCACAGGTGGACTAAAGCTCATGGAAGCAGAGAAAAGAATGGTAGTTGCCAGGCTAAGGGAGTATAGAAATAGGGGGATGTTAGAAGTATAGTTAAAAAGGGGTCATGTCACCCCTCACTAGTCATCATCCTTCTCAAACCTCTAGTATCTTCTCTGTTTCTTGGAACAGCGTTTCCATAGCTCCTTAAGGTTAATGGACTGATCTCTATCAGTGTAATATTTTCCACAGGAGATTTTTTTTTGTGTTTCTGAATGCATAGAGAAAAATGAAGTATTTCATGATTTTTTTTAAGTGGAGGGGATGAGGAGATGTTGACTTAAAGATCCATATTTGCATTTATAAGATGAATTAATTCTAGGAGCTAGGGTACAGCATCATGACTGTAGTTAATGACATGCTGTGATTTCCCTGAAATTTGATAAAGGAGATCTTAGGTGTCTTATACTATATGTGCACACATGCAGGGATTTCTATGTTTGGTGATTGACATGCTACTTTGGCTAAGATATTCAACATGAATTATATATCAGACCATCACATCCTATACCTTGAATATATATAATTTTATCAAATACTTTAAAATATAATAAAAAGGAAGAAAACCCATGCTGATTTCTGGTAGTTTGGTTGAACATCAAAAGATTATTAAATAGGCATGTATGTTTGAAGAATTAAAAAGAAAGTGACTGATGTTGGTCATAAAACATTATTTTTTCTTTCTGAAGGTAGCAGAAATTTTTGTGAAAGCATTTCCCAATCCTGAGGCCATAAGGGTTCCTTTAAGAGAAAAGTACCACTCTCTTCAACAGAAACTCAGACATGGTGTTGTGAAAGGTATTTGCTATTTCTCATGTTTGATGGATACAATGTTGAAGATTTATTTTTGTTTATGTGTATATGCCATGTGTGTGCAAGTGCCTTTGGAGAACTCGGTTGCCCTAGAACTGCAGTTATAGGTAGTGTGCATGCTGGGAACTGAACCTAGTCTTCTGGAAGAACAGCAGGTAGTCTTACCTGCTAAGCCATCTCTTTAGCCCCATGATGCTCTTATCTTGAAAGTATTGTCTGCTCCCTAAGTATCTGAATTTCTGTCTTTCCCTAATGGTGGAGAATGAGCAAATGAATGCATTGCCCCACTTCAGAACTAATTAATTATGTTAGTCTGCTGCTAGATGGAGCTGACTTCACATCATAACTCTGTTGGTAACTCTGTGTTAGGCAAGTTGCTCAATCTCTCGAGGCCTCATTTCCTTATTTATAAGCGAAATGGTTATTCTATTACCTCCTTGATCAATATGTATTGAGAGAGGATTAAACAAGGTAAGAGATAGATATAAAACAGCAGATAGTCTAGGGTGCCCTGTAAGGAGAATCACTTGAGCCCGTGCTTTCAAAACCATCCTGGTCAACACAGAAAGATTTCACTTGAAAAATGAAATGAAATAGAGCATATGGTCTTTGCATACTTCATGTATTTATTGAAAACTGGTATTTTTTTCTCTTTGCTTATAGTTATTTATGTTTTTGATTTTATCCTGTACATTCAAGATAGCCTTGTAGATTTTTTTAATATGGCAAAATGTATAGAACATAAAACCTACCATTTAACCTTTCTCCTTCTTTCTTTCCATTTGCCATGATGGAGAACAGACTCTTGTCCTCTTGGCTTCTTGTCCATGCTCTACCAACAAACTACAGCAGCCATGGAAAATCTTAAATGTCATCTTCTTCTTTTATGGAAGTACAGCCTGCTGTGTACTTTGAGTTGTGCACTGCACAGTTGTACTTACAAATTTCTAAAATATCTTCTATGTATTAGTAATGGATAAATTTTTAATAGACAATCCTGGAAACCTTAACCTTGCTGTCATTTCTCATTACATGGAGTAGAAAGTCTTAATTCTTTTTTTTTCCCTTTCATTAGGAATAGAAAATAATCTTTGTTATTCTTTATTCATAATTATATCTCTTTTTTAAGAAGATGAGGCTGCTTTTATTTGCTTATTTCTTTTTTTTTAAGATTTTATTTATTTATTATTAAATACACAGTGTTCTGCCTGCATGCCAGGAGAGGGCACCCGATCTCGTTACAGATGGTTGCGAGTCATCATGTGGTTGCTGGGAATTGAACTCTGGACCTCTGGAAGAGCAACCAGTGCTCTTAACCTCTTAGCCATCTCTCCAGCCCTATTTGCTCATTTCTTACATTGAGGTGCTTTTCGGTGACACCATTGACCTGAGATTTTTTTTTTTTTTTTTTTTTTTTTTTGCCGTGGTCCTTTCCTACTACACAATTGTAACCAGTCATTTTATGGGGCTTTTCCTTGAAACCAGTTTTGCAGAGACTTACCTATCCCTCAATTTCTCTTAGTCATCAACTTTATGTAGGATGATTTGGTGCTCTGTACAAAGGACCTCAACTGTCTTCACATAGCAGCTTCTCATGGAGGGATGCCAGCACAGAAAGATGGGGTTGGTTCCTGTCTAAGGCTTTCAGCAGCTTTGTGAGTTAGGCCATCAGATTGAAGGAGATTTCAGAGCCTTGTAGAAAGTCATATGAATATCCATTACACCTGCATCAGAAATACCTTCTTCAGCTGTGGTGGGTTTTGTTTGTTTGGTTGGTTTTTAGATGTGGCTGACATCCTGTAGTAGCCTCCTGAGTTGGTACAAAATTAACCAAAAATTATTTTCCTTGATGATATACTTTTTAAAAAGGGGAGAAAGGGAATCTTGGTTCCTTGCCTTTTCTTGTTCCTTAATGAAACTTACTCAGCTTCCAAAGTCCTGTTTTTTTTGTTGTTTTCTTTTTTTTTTTTTATGGGCTATAGTTTTCCAACAAATACCAAAACAAAACAAAACAAAACAAAACAAAAAAACCAAACCAAAACAAAAAAACCAAAAACCAAAACCCAATCTGTAAGAAGGTGGAAATAAGCCTTAGTAGTTAAATTCCATGTCCCCTGACAGACTTAGGTCCCTCTCACCCTTCCTTGCTTTGATACAGCCTTGCTATATAGCTGTGGATGGCCTGGAACTTAGTGTGTAGGCAAGGCTGGCCAGAACCTGTTCTGAGCCTCCTGACTTTGTCCCCTGAATTGCTGGGATTACAGGCATGCACTGTACTGTGCCTGGTCTTAAATCTTGAGTTAAAACATTTTAATGACCCCTAAGGTCTTTGGTCCTTTTCCCCTAGGTCCTCAGACTGAAGAACTGATGTCTGTGGTCATGCGTTCTGTTCGTAAAGTGAGGGTAAAAGCCCTGAAACGTGTGCAGAGGAACATAGGTGCTTCTGAGATGAACCTCTGGGAACCTGATGAAGACGAAAAACCAAATGCTGATCCTGCCTCTGACAGGTTCTCCCTGGGGACTAGTTTGAGCAGAAGTACACTCACAGAACTGGGCGGTTCCCTGGTTCACAGTGATGCAGACACACTTTCTGAAACCTTGTCTTTTGAAGAAAAACCTTGGATACACTTATATCAAAGGTACACCTGGGAGCCCCTAATACATTTGCCCACTCCTAGAAGAGTGAAAGTGATGAGCTAATATCCAATCCAGAGACCTCAGCAAAATAAAAAGTAGACAAGTGTCAGCCTCTATACTCACAAGGGTATTACAAGTTTGTAAACTTTTTTTTTTTTTTTTTTTTGGTTTTTACGAGACAGGGTTTCTCTATATTGTTTTGGAGGCTATCGGTCCAGCCCGGCCTCGAACTCACAGAGATCCACAAGTTTGTAAACTTAAGAATTCATTGTAACTATTACTGACATTACTGAATGACTTTGACATCTAAGGTGACAATCAATCAAATGAATAGACAAAGTCCACTGGGAGAATTTTGAGTTCTTTATTTTTTAGTAATCTTTAGATTTATTTAGTGTGTATATGTATGGTGTGTGTGTGTGTGTGTGTGTGTTTATTTTGAGACAGGATCTTATTATGTAGCACTAGCAGGACTGGAACTCCAAGATCTGCCTGCCTCTGCATCCTTAGTGCTGGGATTAAAGGTCTGACTACCATGCCCAGCTTAATCTTTAGATTTAAATACAAGTTGAACATACTTAATTTAAAAACGAAAAATATGAAATTCTGCTTTAAGATCCAGTAAAATACTGAAAGTTGAAAATTCATGCTTGATTTCCTATGACAAGTCAAAGTCAAAATGGAGGCATACTAAGAATACTATATAAACTTTTTTTTCCGGTCACTAGGTGTACGAATTCTGGGATTATTTGAAATGTAAATGAATCTTGTGTTTGTTTTAGTGCTGGAGCTAGAACCCAGGCCCTTGAACATTACATTACAGATAATTGTTACATCCCTAAATTACCATACTTAGACCTTAGCCCCAAGATATCTCATTACATACATGCAAATATTAGTGGCTCCCCAACCCATCCACACTCAAAATATTTCTAGTCCCAAGAATTTCAAATAAGGGATACATACCTAGAGTTTGACATGATTGGATTAGCCATATTATGGTTTGAGGACCCAAAGGTAGGAGCTTGCACACTTGTCTTTAGAACTTGTTCATAAATTCTTTGCTTGTTGTATAAATCAGTGATTTAAGCCATTGGATTTTGCTTTGATTAAAATTCTAGTAACTATAATGAAATATATCCTCTTGTAACCATATAATCAATAATAACTTTCATATTAAGTTAAATTACCATATCTACTGCAAACATGCTTGAACGAAGTCTAACAACATTTTGGGCTGGAGAGATGGCTCTAACAGCATTTTAATAGTGTGTTTGTTTAGCAAAGCAGCTGTGTTTAAATACACAGGCATACCTTGCAGGCTGCTTTTGTGCATTCTGGGTGTGCAGACTTGCATTCACCTTGGCCCAGGTACCTCACAGCTTTTCTCTTACTGAGGAATCTGAGAATCTAGCAACTGTGCTGAAAAGTCACCTGACAGTTGTGACTTACAGTAAGGTTCCTGCAAACAGATTTCATAGCAGTTGTTCTCACTGTAGTTTGAAGAGACCCAAGTATTTGTGGCGTGAAACTTAAGAAATTGAACTACTTGTTCACACTGTATGGGGGTAGGGGTTGACAGAGACAGTGGAAAGAGAAGCATATGGAACACTAGATGTATATTGATGACTTGTGATTTTTGTTGACTTTAATTTTCCAAAATAGGACCATTTTTCACCTTCTGAATGAACATTTCTGCTTTTTATATTTATTTATTTGTGTGTGTGTGTGTGTGTGTGTAGTGTATGGGGGATAAGCACGTGCCATGGCATTCCTGTGGAGTTCAGAGGACAACTTGAGAGAATTGGCTCTCTCCCTCCACTATGTGGATTTCAGGGATCAAACTCAGGACATGAGGTTTGGTTGCAAGTGCTTTTACCCACTGAACCGTCATCCCAGCCCTCTTGTTCTGTCTTTGGTGAACTTTACATGAATAAACTTTGATTTCTTTTAACGCCTAGTTACCCTTTGCATATTGTACTTTTGAAACTATTCATTTTTACTTCATGTGTATGTAAGCGTACCATGTGTGTGCTTGGTTCCTGTGGAGATAAGAAGAAAGCATTTGATCTCCTGAAACTGAAATTACAGGTAGTTTATACTGCCTTCATGGGGGCTCGGAGCAGCAGTGCTCTCAGCTGTGGAACCATCTCTCCAGCCCACTGTCCTTTTGACCTTATAGATTTGTCCTCTTCTTAGAGATCATGTTACTTCATCATGCTTCATTTGAAGGATAGGTAATTGAAACACACAAAGTGATACATGACTTGATCAATACAGAAAATGTTTTTAAAATCTTTATAAGACCAATTTTAATAAACAATGGTTAAATTTATCTTGTTCTTTTTTTTTTAAACCATAGACATGCCCCAAGTCATATGGAATTACCGTTGGTTGGTAAGCCCAGTGATAAAAAGAAAACGTGTAATCAGAAAGAAAGCTCCCAAAGGAAAGAAGATCATGAAATGTTAGGGAAAAAAGTACTTCCAACAGTTGGTGTTTGGGAATTTGAGCGAGATGATGATGAATACATTAACTTTCTTGAGCTCTTCTTGAGTTATGTTCTTGAGAGAGACCTTTGTTCCAGTGATCCTGGCATTCCATTTCTGACAAGTTTTTCTGGGCACCTCAGAGAACACGAACTGAATTCTTTACTTTTTGATGTGCATACAACATTAAAACGACGCCAGAGCAAGACCAGAAGCGAGAATGTGTATAGAGCTGGTTCTTGCTTTGCTGTCATTCCTGAGCCACATGAATGTGAGAAACTGTTCTCTCTAAATAGCATGTGTGCCAAAAATGTAGAAAGCCAGGCACTTTCAGCTCCAGAACTAGTTAGCCAGTCAGTGAGCACTTCAGAGAACCCTCTACCTGAAGTTACGGGAAATAAAAGAAAGGCGGGATTGTTTGGCCTAAAACAAAAGCCAATTTATAGAAGTCAGGATGACAAAAGAGAGAAGCCTCGAATGCAGAGACCATCAAACCACTCCTTTTGGATTCCCATGTCCATTGAAACTGGAGGATACTGTTTCCAAGCAGTTGAGTGCAGTGCTGCCAGCCTTCAAGACGACCTTCCTCTGGCCCTTGAGAGCATGTTCGGCCACGTTGGGAGACTGGTGGAGTGGATGGTTCGGTGGTCTGAGCGAAGACTCCTCTGTGACTCTGGAGTTACTCAGTCGTCCTATAAATATAGTCCAATCATTCGTGTAAAGACCTCGACAGCTGCCATTCTTACCTCATTATGGCTTCTGCAGCAACCCTACTGTGCTGCATATAGGACGAAAAATGGCGTTATTAAGGTAATTACATCAACCACTTACTACAAATGGAGAAAGGACCATTTTAGACCAGGCTTGGTCTCGAACTCACAGAGATCCGCCTGCCTCTGCCTCCCTAGTGCTGGGATTAAAGGCATGCACCACCACTGCCCAGCGAGTATCTTTTTCTTAAAGAGATTACTTTCATTCTTTAATAAAATTATGGTGGCCTGACCAGTGGAAGTGTATACCTTTAATTCCAGCACTCAGGAGGCAGAGGCAGGTGGAGTTTGAGGCCGACCTGGTCTACAGAGTGAGTTCCAGAACAGCCAGGGCTACACAGAAAAAAATTTCTCAAAAAACAAACAAAAATGTCAAAATAACAACAACAACAAAATTACAATGAAAGTTCTTTTAGGGAGGCTGTGAGGGTTTTAGGTTTTATGTTGTCTGTACACAATATAAAGGGAAGAATATGATTTGGTGACATTATTGGTAACAAGCTTTTGCTGAAGGAGACTCCTGAATAGCGGGGGTTTCCTCCCAGACCCCGGGTTAGGCACAAACCACACCCAAACACCTGTTTTCACAGAGTGATGCTTATTAAGCAGGGAAGAAAGGTCAAAGTGGCTGCTTTCTGACTCAGGCGGAAAAATAGCAGCAAATGACCTTGCAGGTGTCATTCTTAAGAGGAGGGGGGTATCTGTGTTAGAATGGGCTGGGATATGGTATCAAAGGAGACGGGACAGGGAGAAGGGAAGTGGGACAGGGCTGTTTGTTCAGGAGGGACAAAGGTCTGCCTCTGAATAGAGAGGAGACAGATGTGGCACATAGGCACATGGTGGTTTATAAAGGGAGAAACCTGTTAGGACGAGGTGTTTTATTTTAGCTGGGCATGTTAATAGTAGGGGACTTATGATTGCTGGACTTTGGTAGTCAGCCTCAGGAGGAGGAAGTGGCCGAGTAAGGAACTAAACCTTAGTGGCCAGCTTCAGGAATGTAATCTAAGGGATTTTAGCAAAGTGAGGGAAATGGGGGAGAAGGTTAAGGCCTGCCAGAGCCATGCTGGCCACACTTAAGCTGACCAGAGTTCCTTCAGTTATGTTTGTATTTTTTCTTTAAAAAGGTTTCAGGGTTAGTTGATATAAAGGACTGGGCTACCCAGTACTTATTACTGAAGTTTTCATCAAATGCTTTAGGGGATGTTTTTACTTGCATTCTTGAGACAGACAAGGTTGGATAAACTTGACCAAGAAAAACATCTGTGGAGGAACAATGTTGATCAGTTAATTAGTTCTTCTTTCACTTGTTAATGACAAAGACCTTCATTCTAAAGTAGTGCTGAAGAAACGTGTGCATGTGTGTGTGTACATTAATTTTTGTGTGTGTGTGTGTGTGTGTGTGGTTTTTTTTTTTTTTTTTTTTTTGGTTTTTACGAGACAGGGTTTCTCTGTATTGTTTTGGAGGCTGTCGGTTCAGCCTGGCCTCGAACTCACAGAGATCCGCCTGCCTCTGCCTCCCGAGTGCTGGGATTAAAGGCGTGCACCACCACCGCCCGGCAATTTTTGTGTTTTTTAATGGATTTTTTTTCTTTCCTTTTTCTTTTTAATATCAGTTTCTGTTATTTTAAGGTATGAAGTTTATGTGAAATGAATGAGGGTACTTGTTTAGGAAGTCAAATTTACTTTTTCCAGGTAGATTAAAGAATTGACCATTGCTTCTAGAAACAAATAATTGGCTATACAAATGCAGTAAATACTTACTTAATGAATGTTTAAGAGAAATAATCAGCTCTATAACCCATATGAATGATTTAAAAGTGTATTTTAAAATGTGGTTTGATACTCCTTCTAGAACTCTATACATGGTTTCTTTAGGTGCTAGAGAATCATTATGCTGAGTCTCAAGTGGTAGCTGAGGAGAAGAGCAATACTCATGTTGACTCCCCAGTTGCAGCGGCAGTTCAGACTGGAGCTGAGGAGAGAAATGACCAGAATGAATGTTGTCAGAGCATCTGGAAGTAAGTTGCTATGTGTACCCTCCTTTTCAACAAAGTCTGTTGGCTTAAGAGGAAGACTTGAGCTCTTAAAAATGAAAGGAGTGAGCATTTCCTTGAATTAGAGGAACAGAAAGTAAGTAAGCTTCCTGAAGTACTTAGGCAATTCATTGTTAACTGTGTTTCTTCCATATTGACCTAACATGTATCTCCTGAGGGAGGCTTCCTCCTGAAAGACCCCTTTATGGGTCCCTAAGAGGGACACACATGGAGGCTCCCAGGAAGAGAAAATAGTTAAGATCTCTTGGGTAAACTTGGGAGGGGAGGGAGTAGAAGGAAGAGGATGTGGAATGGGAACATGGGGGACTGAAATGGCCCTGAAGGAGACATGGAGGGGGAGAGCAATGAAAGAGATATCTCCATAGAGGGAGCCATTATAGGGTTAGGGAGAAACCTGGTGCTAGGGAAACTCCCAGGAATCCACAGGGATGACTCCAGCTCAGACTCCTAGCAATGGTGGAGAGGGTTTCTGAAAGGGCCTCCGGTTTTAATTAGATTAGTGACTACTCTAATTGTCATCATAGAACCTACATCCAGTAACTGATGGAAGTAGACACATCGACCCACAACCAAGCACTGGGTTGAGCTCCTGGAGTTCAGTTGAAGAGAGGGAGGAGGGATCATATATGAACAAGGGGCATCAAGATCATGATTGGGAAAACCACAGAGACAGCTGACCCAAGCTAGTAGGAGCTGCATGGGACCGAACTAGGCCCTCTGAATGTGGGCAACAAGTATGTGGCTTGATCTGTTGTGGGGTAGGACACCTGGCGGTGGGACCAGGACCTATTCCAGATGTATGAACTGTTTTTTTTGGAGCCTATTCCCTATGGTGGGATACCTTGCTCAGCCTGGATGCAGGGGGGAGGGGTTAGGTCCTGCTTCAACTTGATTTTGTTTTTTGTTTTCTTTTTTTTGTTGTTTTTTTTTTTTTTCCATTTTTCGAGACAGGGTTTCTCTATATTGTTTTGGAGGCTGTCCTGGAACTCGCTCTGTAGACCAGGCTGGCCTCGAACTCACAGAGATCCACCTGCATCTGCCTCCCGAGTTCTGGGATTAAAGGTGTGCACCACCAACGCCTGGTGATTTGCTTTGAGTTTGTTTTTGTTTTTGTTTTTTTCTGCTTCAACTTGAAATGCCAGACTTTGTTGACTCCCTAAAGAAGGTGTTACTCCCTCTAAGAAATGGAGGGGAAAGGTGGAAGAGGGGGAGGGAGAGGGAACTAGGGTTAGTATATAAAATTTTAAAAAATTTAAATAAAAGAGGAGAGGGAGAAAAAGGAAAGACCCCTTTACTATGAGGCAACAGTAGGAACAGTAGTATTACTTTTGAACAGTTAGTTTTCTGTCACTATAATTATATACTTTTTAAAAAAGATTTATTTATTATATATACAGTGTTCGGCCTGCATATATCCCTGTATATCCCTGCACACTAGAAGAGCGCACCAGATCTCATTACATGGTTGTGAGCCACCATGTGGTTGCTGGGAATTGAACTCAGGTCCTCTGGAAAAGCAGCCAGTGCTCTTAACCTGAGCCATCTCTCCAGCCCCTGTAATGATATGCTTGAGGTAGCCAGCTTACAGAGAAAGTGTTTATTTTGACCTACTGTGTTAGTGATTCCACCCCATGGTTGGTGGACTTATTGCTTTAGGTCTGTGGCACACACTTTATGATGGAAGTAGATGGTAGAGGAAATCCACCACCTCTTGGCCAGGAAACAAAACAGAGAGAGGAAGGGACCAGGTGTCAAGACCCTCTTCAAAGGCTCACATGCAGTGACTTGGGAACCTCCCCAAGGGCCCTGCCTCTCCAAGCCTCCTCCTTCTCCCAGCAGTGCTGCTCTTAGCTAAGCCTTGGATAGGAGCCATGGAGGGACTGTAACCTGCATGTGACGGCTACCGTAGCGAAAGCCCTCATAACATGAGGACACTAACTTTAGATTAGCTGAATTTACTCTAGAGCTTCCAGTAAGTGAAAACTAGGACCTTCCATGTATCAGAAATGGGAGACATGTTTTTTTTAAAAAAGACTTAGAAAATATGAAAATGACATTTGTTCATTGCTGAAAAGAACATATTAAATGAAAGGAAGCTGTTTGTCTCCAAGAATGGGTTGTAATTTTCAGCATTTTGTTATCAGAATGCCTGATGAAGCAGAAAATCCTGAAGTGAAAGAAATTGATGATGAGATTGTTCCCATCACTCATAAGGCTGAGAAAGAATTTGTAGATGTTGGCAAGAATCATTCAGAAGTAGAAACATTTACTCGGGATGAAATGGATATGCACATCTCAGACTGTGAAGGTCAGTTCTTGTAGATCTTAATTTCCTTTGATGTTACTAATTTAAAAAGTTAATGTCTAAAATAACTCTTTGATTCTTAAATGTGTTGACATTGCCTAGAACTAAAAAAAATTTCCCCCAGCCCCCAGACAGAGTTTCTCTGTGTAACAGCCCTGACTGTCCTGGAACTGGCTCTGTGGTCCAAGCTGGCCTTGAACTCACAGAGATTTGCCTGCCTCTGCCTCCCTAATATTGAGATTAAAGGCATGTGCCATCATGCCCAACTAGAACTAAAATTTAAGTGGTATTTTTTGAAATGCTGAGCATATTAACTTGTACCTTGGTTTTCAGATAAAACATTTTTATGTTAGTAGCTTTCTGAGCTGAATTTCTTGTCATGCCTAGGTAGTGATTTAACCTCTTGATTCCTGTGAGCCGACTGAACCTCTTCCCAGCTGTGATCCTTTCCCCAGCTGAGAGCCTCTTCCCCAGCTGTGAGCCTCTTCCCCAGCTGTGAGCCTCTTCCCCACCTGAGAGCCTCTTCCCCAGCTGTGAGCCTCTTCCCCAGCTGTGAGCCTCTTCCCCAGCTGAGAGTCTCTTCCCCAGCTGTGAGCCTCTTCCCCAGCTGTGAGCCTCTTCCCCAGCTGAGAGCCTCTTCCCCAGCTGAGAGCCTCTTCCCCAGCTGAGAGCCTCTTGCCCAGCTGTGAGCCTCTTCCCCAGGTGTGAGCCTCTTCCCCAGCTGTGAGCCTCTTCCCCAGGTGTGAGCCTCTTCCCCAGCTATGAGCCTTTTTTCCATCTGAGAGTCTCTTCCCAGCTGTGATCCTTTCCCCAGATGTGAGCCTCTTCCCCAGGTGTGAGCCTCTATTGGAAAGAATCCCAGGAACTTTGCTTGGATTTATACAAACTTACACAAGATCTCACAGGGCTCTCCTGGGATTTATGGATGAAGAGGAAGTAGTCTTTAGGTATTTTTTGAAATGTATTTGTATGGGATTAGAAAATATTTCTGTTACATTGTTTTCTGTAACATCCCCTAAACCTTAGAGAAAAAGTGAAAAGATTATCTTTAAAGGTTGACATTCCCTTCCTTTCTAAACTTAGTTCTAGAAGAACCTGTTGGGAGTCTTGGAGGTCCCAGTGCTGCCATCTGCATGCCAGTGTCAGAACTCTCACTAGAGGTAAGCCAGTGAACAGCATACATGACCATGCAAGTTTGGCTTAGTACTGAAATTGCTCCTAAGTGTGCCTACCCCATTGGACAGAACTGTAAGGCAAAACTGCTGTCTGCTATAGTATGCTGACTTGTAGACTATATGCTGGATTGCTTTTCTCTGAGGTTGTGTACAGTGCTTTCAGACCCTGAAATGTTCCATTTCTTGAAGGAATTCAAGTTAGTCAAGAGTGGTGAAAGTGTCCTTGGTTATTTAGTATGGTTCAGTGTAGTTTGCAGTTTCTATGTATTGTTTGTTTTCTCAAAACAAAATTTCAATGAGGAATGTTATAGAATATTATTTTAAAATGTGTTACATTTATTTATGCTATGGAACATTTGTTCAATGATGCAAAGTTGTGATACATTCTTTCATGTTTCATTTGTTTAACTCTGTGAAGCTATGTTACCTTGCCTGTCTAAAATATCTGATTGATCTAATAAAGAGCTGAACACCCAACAGTAAGGCCGGAGAAAGGATAGGCAGGGCTGGCAGGCAAAGAGAAATGAATAGGAGGAGATACCTGGAGAGAAGAGATGAAGGAGCGAGAAAAGAAGGGGTCAGCCACCCATCCACACAGCCAGACAAGGGATAAAGGAAAGAAATGATATATAGAAATAGAGAAAGGGCATTGGTGGCACATGCCTTTAATCCCAGCACTCGGGAGGCAGAGGCAGGTGGATCTCTGTGAGTTCAAAGCCAGCCTGGTCTATAGAACGAGTTCCAGGACAGGCTCCAAAGCAATACAGAGAAACCCTGTCTTGGGAAAAGAAAAAAAGAAAGAGAGAAAGAAAGAAAAGAAATAGAGAAAGGTAAAATTTCAGAGACAAAAGGTAGATGGGATAACGTAAGAAAATCTGGCAAGCAATAAGGCTGGGCATTTATAAGAAAGAATTAGCCTCCGTGTGATTTAGTTTGGGAGCTGGGTGGCAGGCCCCCCAAAGAGTAAAGAGTAAAAATAACCAACTGCAGTGGAACATAGGTCTTTACTACTATTTTAACATTTGTTTCAAAAGTGTTAGTTTTCCCTAATTTTGTAGTGGTTTTCACAGGTTAATTTACATGGAATTTGTAAAACCTTAGTCTATAGGCAGCACCTCTTCTTCTACTTTAGTAGACTCAGTAACCCACACTAATGGGCAAAAGGCAGTTCATATGTATAAGGACCTGGTCAGCACAGCACTGATCCTTTTCAGGTTCATTTTGTTACTTGCTTTTTAGACTAATACTTAATGCGAAGTTCAAAATACCCAACGTCATGCCTATGTGTTTCACATCTTTTCATTGTGGGTATGGGCCCTATTGATTTTTACAGCATTCCATTGAAGAGGTTCAGTGTCCCAGAAAAGAACCATTGGCGATGAATGTGAATACAAAATTCAATGAACAGAAAGGGTAAGGAAAAGATAGTATATGTGTTTTTGTCTTTGTTCTATTGCTGTGAAGAGATGCCATGACCAAGGCAACTCCTATTTAAAAACATTGAATTGGATGTTTGCTTACAGTTTCAGAGTCCATGATCACCATGGCACTGGAGCAGTAGTGAGAACTTTACTTCCTGACCCACAGGCAGCAGGGAGGGAGAGGGGGAGGGGATGGGGAGGGAGGGAGGGAGGGAGGGAGAGAGAGAGAGAGAGAGCGAGAGAGAGAGAGAGAGAGAGAGAGAGAGAGAGAGAGAGAGAGAGAGAGAGAGAGAGAGAGAGAGAGAGAGAGAGAGAGAGAGGGGTTGGGTCTGGTGTAGGCTTTTGAAACCTCAAAGTGTGCCTCCAGTGAGACACCTCCTCCAAGGCCACACTTCTCCAACAAGACCACGCCTCCTTACAATTCCACTTACTGGAGACAAAAGACAAAGCATCCAAACACAGGATGGGGATCGTTCTCATTCAAATCATAACAACATGATGATTGCCTTAAAAAAAGGGTTTCAGACATTTTTCATAACTTGTAATATGTATTTTATATTGGTATTATAACTTTATAATGGCAGTGAGTTGGTTTTGGTTAATGTTGCATTTCTCATAAAAGTTATCATTTCTTTTTTACCTTTGACCTCTTATCACTGTTAGACTTACCAAGATAAATTGTGCCTATAAATAGGTCAGAGTTTATTCACCTTCTAAGTAGGGAACTGTCTGTCCACACTGATTACATTTTTATTGAATTAAAAGCATTGTGCATCTTAAATACATACGACCTTCACTGTTGGGTTAGTCACTGTATTTTGTCCATTAGGGCTCTGATGTGCACACTTTGCTGCTGGCACAGGACTGTTTCAGGGATGGGTGAAAGCAGTAGCAATTTTCAGAAGTTGCAACTTGAACATGACTTGTAAATTTTTAGAATTTTTGAAAATTTAGGGGCTTGGAGGACATATGAGCACAGGACCTGAAGTTTAGGTGCCATTGTGAGAAGCAGGGTGTGGTGGTGGCTCACTTACAGTCCTAGTGCTGGCTAAATAGGCAGAACCCCAAGACCTAGCGGGCAGCCAGCCTAACCTAATTGCAGAGGCCCTGCCCCCAAAACCAGAAGGTACACCTCCTGAGGAATGACACCCAAGGTTGCCTTTTGGCCTCTATACATACCCGTGCTCACACATACCATGATGTACACACTACACACACACAAATAATCTTAGAATTGTCTTACTATCTCAGTCTCTCTCTCTCTCTCTCTCTCTCTCTCTCTCTCTCTCTCTCTCTCTCTCTCTCTCTCTCTCTCTCTCTCTCTCTCTCTCTCTCTCTCTCTCTCTCTCTCGTCTCTCTCCACCTCCCTCCTTCCTTCCCGCACTCTCTCGCCATAGTTGTATGGGAAGAGGAACCTCAATTGAGAAAACTCCTCTTATCAGATTGCTTGTAGATAAGTGTGTAGGGCATTTTATTGATTGATGATTGCTGTGGGAAGGCCTAGAGTACTACCAGGGGGTGGGAGTGGGGAGGATACCACCCCTGAGCAGTTGGCCCTGAATTATAGGACAAAGCAAACTGAGCAGGCCAGGAGGAGCAAGCCAGTAAGCAGTTTGACTCCCTAGTCTCTGTTCAGCTCCTGCCTCCAGGTTCCTGCCCTGGCTTTCTTCCATGACTGTGCCCTGTGAGGTGAAATGAACCTTTTCCTTGCCAAGCTGGTTTGGTCAGTTTTTATCACAGCAGTAGGAACCTACGACACTTGATAAGAGCGGTAACATTAGACTCTTTCCTAAAATAAGATCACAGATTTTATTTCTATTTTGAATATTTAATACAAACTTCTTTGCTTTTGAGATAGGGCCTCACTATGTATATATACCTGCTGTCCTAGAACTTCGTTGTGTAGTTCATGCTGGCCTCAGATTCACACTCTTCCTGCTTCTGCTCCTTAAGTGCTGGGATAAAAGTGCTGTGATACCCAGATGAGACATTCTTTCCTGAGGTGCTGTGGACTGTTTCTAGGGCCTCACACAGGCTGGACAAGCTCTTTACAAATGAGCTATGTCTCCTCTCCACTAAAGAATACATTTAATGCCCTCTGATAATAACTACTAGAGATATTTGTATTCTTAAACATTAATCTTGACAGTTTCGAGTTTATTAACAGATTCTGGTCTGGGTAAAGTGCCCCTTATTCTGTGGAACTGTGGGTCATAGCTAACCTCATGTCCCCTAAGTTCAGATTGTGTTTTTGTTGCTAAGCAATCAGTGCCGCTCAAGCTGTGTATTGAGTCATGGAGTGTTTGCTGTTGTTTTGAATCTAATTGCTATGGAGACCAATGTAAACATATTGTGATTCTGAGCTCTGCATGGCAGCACTATTAGAGGAGGGGTTCTTAGGTGGCAGAACAGTAGTTCACATGCACTGTAGAAACGTGAAGACTATCCTGCTCCTAATCACTTGTTTTTATTTGTAATATTATTGAAGCCTTGTCAAATTCTGAACGTACCATTCCTCATTCACTTTATTTAGATGCAAATTCAGAAACTTCTAGGTAGGAATTTTTATTTACTATACCATTTTGAAATCCTGTTTTAAAAATAAGAGAATGAGTGGATATCTCCTGTGCCAGTCTAAAATAATTGCTAAGTGTTTGTACTAAAAACCAAGGAAATAAGCAAAAAGCAGCATAGGCACACAGTTTTGACATCTCAATTAATTATTTACAGATTTTCTTATGCTATCTGTGCTTTAAAGACATATGGAACTGTGGTGGGACAATCATTTCAGGCACAAAAATAATCAGTATTAGATATATTAAAATAGTATTGTTCCTGCTCATCTTCTGACCCCTCATAGCATAAAAAATGCTTTTAGTTCATTTTAGTATTCTTTTCTTCATTTTGCATTACTGGGTGTTTAACCTAGAGCCTCAAGCAGGCTAGATAAGCTGTCCACCACTGAGCTATATCCTTAGCTCAGTACCATGAGCTGGCCCAACCCAGATGAGCTTCTGAGACCAGGTCAGAGAGACCAGGCTGAAGATTGAATTCTCTTCAGGTTTATCCAGTTTGTCTTTTTAATTCTTCTACAAAGGTTAAACTGAATGCTTAGAAGTTTTGCCGAGATAGAAGGAAAATCCGGTACAATTTCGCTATAGAAAAAAACGCACATAATTGGAATTGATCTCCTTGCTAATTGTTGAAAGTAAAGCCCAATGAAGTTGTATTAAAACAGACATCAGTTGTGATGTCTGTTTTCATAGACTTATCATATTAATGCAGTTTTGTATTTTCTGCTTTTTTTTTTATTTCATTTTGCATTCCAACCACAGTTCTTCCTCCCACCCCTTCTCCCACTCTGCAGTTTTGTTTTTAAGCATGCTCCTTCCTCCCAGCCCCCCTCCCAGTCCCCACTCTGTTCCCCAGAGAGGGTAAGGCCCTCCGTGGGTGGGTGATATTCATAGTCATTTCATTCAGGGCAGGGCGTAGGCCCTCCCCCAAGAATCCAGGCTGAGTGAGCATCCTTCATTGTGGGATGGGCACCCAAAGTCCATTTGTATGCCAGGGATAAATGCTGATCACTACCCAAGGCCCCATAGATTTTCTAGGCCTCCTCACTGACACACACATTCAAAGGGTCTGGATCAGTTCCATGCTGGCTTCCCAGCCATCACTCTGGGGTTCAAGAGCTAACCCTTGTTCAGGTCAGCTGTTTCTGTGGGTTAAACCAGCCCAGTCTTGATCCCTTTGCTTGTCACTTCTCCCTCTCTGTCACTGGGTTCCAGGAGTTCAGTTCCTTGTTTAGCTGTGGGTATCTGCCTCTGCTTCCATAAGTCATTGGATGAAGGTTCTAGAATGGCATCAATCTCATTATCAGGGAGGGGCAACTAAGGTAGCCTCTCCACTATTGCTTAGTTTGCCAGTTGGTGTTATCCTTGTAGATCCCTGCTCTCTATTCTTCCCCCAACTCAACCTTCCTGCTCCCCCATGTCCTCCTCTCCCCTCTTCTGCACCCCCTCTCTTTTTCCCAGCTCCCTCTCACCTCTCCCCATGCTCCCAATCTGCTCAGGAGATTCTGTCCCATTCCCCTTCTCTGAGGTACCATGCATATCTCTCTTAGGGTCCTACCTGTTTCCCAGACCCTCTGGCAGTAGGATTGTAGGCTGGCACTCCCCTGATCCATGTCTAAAATCCATATATGACTGAGTACATATCATGTTAATTTATAAAATTTTTTTGCTTAGAAAATACTGGGAAGGCCAGGTTGTGGTGGCACATGCTTCCTTAATCCTAGCACTTGGGATGCAGAGGCAGGCAGGCAGAGCTCTGTGAATTCAAGACCATGCTGGTCTACATAGTCAGTTCCCTGTCAGCTAGGGCTACATTGCCATGCGCTATTGAAAGAAAGGAGAAAGAGGGAAGGAAGGAGGGAGGGAGGGAAACAGAGAGCAAGAGAGAATAAATGAATCATTTCCCAGTAATTGTTTTGTTCAAAAGAGACCAAAGAACTTGGTTTGGTCTTTAATTTTTAGCTTAGTAAGTATTTTGTTATAGTTTATTATAAATGGAAACTCTGGTTTGTTTGGAAATGAAGTTCTGTGGTTTCATGCTAAATAATGATTTTAAGTCATTTGTGTTGATAATTTTAGAATTACACGTTTTTATCCTTTTGTTTTCTTAAGTCTATTTTCAATCATTAATGGTAGTCAACATTTTATTCTAAGTCTGTATGGTTAATAAGGATGATTTTGCAGCCTCAGGCTCAGATCCTTCAGGAGCTAGGGCGGCTGTTCTGGGCTGTAATGTCATTGGTGGGAAGGACCCGCGCAGACGTTCACATGATGGGTGGAGAGCCCTGAGTAATCCAAAGACAAAGAGTGTCCAATATTTAGATCATAGGCGTCTAATTGTTTTGGGAGTTTTTTTTTTTTTGCTGTTAATTAATGCATTTTCTATTTGAATGTTTTCCCACAGAGCACAGAGTTCTGAACTTGGTAAATCTTCCTTGGTTCCACCGCTCATGTCCCATGGAGCCCCTGCTACTTCACAAACACCTGTTCCAACACCTCAGCCACCTCAGAGAAATGAACACAGGGTTCATTTTCCAAACTCTTCTGATTCTGTTCAGCAGATGCTCCAAGACGAGATGTTTAAATTAGTTCAAGTGAGTGTATGGCTATAGAAGTAAGTCTATACGTGATAATTAGTTTAAAATAGCAAACTAGTCAGAATGAACTAGTCAAAGTTCAATTCCATGTATTTCTCTGCTCTTACGAGTCATTGTATGTCATTCAAAATTTCTATTCTGAACCTATAATCTAGACACATCTACATATAGTTCAGTAATTTATTTTTCTGGACATTTTGGGTAAGGAGTAGTTGAAATCAGATATGCAAAAGTCTCCAAATGTATTTTCTCTACAAGCTTTCAGACCCAATTTTGACTTGAACTGAAAGTTTCTCTGGTATTTCAAATGACTGTTCACTTTGACTTCGTCATCTTTCTGTGTACATTGTTTTCTTTCAACCAAGTTTTAGATGATATATCCTTATTACTTTTTAAAGCCATATTGTTTTTAATTATGTGTATGTATGTATGTCTGTGTGAATATATGTGCATGTGAGTGTAGTTGCCTGTGGAGGCCAGAAGTGAGCATCAGATGCCTTAGAGCTGGGGTTATAGATCAGCTGTGATTTGCCTGACATGGGTTCTGGGAGCCACCTCGGGTCCTCTATAAGAGCAGCACATGCTCTTAACCACTGAGTCATCACTCCAGCCTCTCTTTTTTCCTCTTAAAACATTAATTTCTCTCATACCTAATCCTCTACTAATGTCTATGTTCACTTGGATATCTTTATATCTTTTTAAAAAAATTATCTATCTTTATTTTATGTGTGTTGGTATGAAGGTGCCAAATTCCCTGGAACTGGAGTTGCAAACAGTTGTGAGCTGCCATGTGGGTGCTGGAAATTGAACCTGGGTCCTCTGGAAGAGCAACCATTGCTCTTAACTACTGAGCCATTTCTCCAGCCCATATCTTTATATCTTATATGCCATTTTGTATTGATTCTTGGTGCTAATTTCTCTCATTGAACTTAGGAGTCTTGGTGAAAATACTCTTTCAGCATGTCCACAGTTCCACCAAACCGACTATGTCCTAATTCTCCCCAATTCCTTCCTAACCCTTCATTTAGGAATGCTACCTGCTCTACCAGCTTGAAGTATGAAAAGTATTTTTTCAACTGTCCTATGTCCTTTTGTCACAATTGCCCCACCCCAATTTTTTTGTTTTTGTTCTTGTTTAGATCTTCATCTGTGTTTATGATATCCTCTTGATTGTTTGATCCCCTATATTATATGTGACTGTAGTCTCTTTTTTCTATATCTCTAGTCAACCTTAGATTTTTTTCAACATAATTAGTTATCAAGTAGTTTATGAAGTAGCAACAAAAATAATTTTATGGTTGGGCATCACAACAACATGAGGAACTCTATTAAAGGGTTGCAGCATTACCAACCCTAGATTCTTAGGATTTCATACTTCCATATGTCTTATATATGTGTGTGTTTTGTTGGACATTCTTCTGGTTTCACTTTAAAATCTTCACTAAATCTCACATAAATTTTACAAATATTATATGCTGTCAGTCTTATTTTAAAGCACAAAAAAAGTGGCCTGCCGAGATGGTTCCATGAAGCCCTTCTGTATAGGCATGAGGACCTGAGCTTAGCTTTCCAGCTCACATCTGTAACCCCAGTGCTCTCAGAGGCATAGACCATCAGATCCCAGCCAGTCTATCTGAAACGGCAAGCCTCAAGTTCAGTGAAAGAGCCTGTCTCAATAAAGATGGAGAGATCAGGGAGACACTGGATGTTGACCTTTGGCCTTTACACATGCATACAGGGACAGGTCTCCCTGCATCTGCACACACCACATACAACACACACATGTACATGGATAGATAAATAGATAATTCATTCAGTATGGAGACAAATTGAAAAGACAGACACAATAAGGTTAATGTTGTTATCTTTGAAGACCAGATTATAAATGTTATTTTCTATTAATTTTCAAGTTAGCATTCCAAGTGATGTATTTCATCAGATATTTTCTTTCTTTTTTTTAAAGATTTTGTTTATTTTGTATACAGTGTTTGTATGACTGAATGCCAGAAGAGGGCACCATCATTGTAGATGACTGTGAGCCACCATGTGGTTGCTGGGAATTGAATTTAGGACCTCTGAAGGAGCAGCCAGTGCTCTTAACCTCTGAGCCATCACTCCAACCTACCTTCCTTCTTTCCTTCCTCCCTTCCTTTCTTTCTTTCTCTTTTTAAATTTTTTTCTCTACAGAGCTTCTCTGTTAAACAGCTGTGGCTGTCCTGGAACTAACTCTGTAGACCAGACTGGCCTCAAACTCACAGAGACCCTCCTGCTTCTGCCTTCCTAGCGTTGGGATTAAAGGCATTCACCACCACCGCCTGGCTTCAAATATTTTCTTTTTAGACTTAATTATTTTTCTTGTAATATGTTCCTCTGTTTCTTTTTTAAACTCTATATTTGTGTGTGCGTGTGTATGCATGTGTGTGCATATCTCTGTATGCATGTGAAGTTCAGAGGACAACTTGCAGGAGTTGGTTGCCTTGGTCGACCATGTGGGTCCCATGTGGGTCCCTTTGGTGGCTTGAAAAAAAAAAATGACCCACAAAGGGAGTGGCACTATTAGGAGGTATGGCCTTGTTGGAGAAAGAGTGTCACTGTGGAGGTGAACTTTGAGGTCTCCTTTGCTCAAGATACGCCCAGTGTCTCAGAACACTTCTGTTGCCTGAAAGTCAAGATGTAGAACTCTCAGCTACTTCACCAGTACCATGTCTGCCTGCATGCCACCATGCTCCCTGCCATGATGATAATGGGTTAACCTTCTGTAAATGTAAGCTAGCCCAGCTAAATGTTTTTCCTTTATAAGAGTTGCTGTGGTCATGGTGTCTCTTCCCAGCAATAGACACCGTGACTAAGACAGTCCCAGAGATCAAACTGAGGTTGTTAGGCTTGACAGCAAGCACCTCTACCTGCTGAACTATCTTACTTGCCTGCCTGCTTGCTATTTCTTTCTCCTCCATCCTCCTCCTCCTCCTCCTCCTCTTTTTTCTTCTTCGTCTCCCTCTGCACTGGGGATCAAGATCAGGGCTTTGTGGGTGTTTTGCCCAGCTCAGTATTCTTTATATTTGGATGGAATCCATACATTTCTAAAACTTGTTATGCTGCCCTGTTGCTTTGTTTCATCAAGTAGGAATTCTTCTACTGGTCTAGAAAACCCTACAACCAGCCTTTTTCTTCAGTATTTTTTCACTATACTTTTGCAAGTCCAGTATATTTCAGAGTTGATTCCTGGACCCATAATGTGAACACAATTTAGATCTTAGGAATTAAAATTCTAGGAGCTGAAGAAATTGTTCAGTAGTTAGATCACTTGCTGCTCTTTGAAGACCAGGCTTTGACTCCCAAAACCCAAGTGGTAGCTCACAAACATCCCTGATTCCAATTCCAGGGTGCTGGTGACCTCTTCTGACCCTAGTTCTGATCGTCAGACTTCTGATACGGATGAGATGTGACATGGTCTTCAGGAATTTTTAATGCCACTGAAGTGATTGTTGTGTTCAGAAAAGTCTGGAACCACTGGTGCCTGCTTTTACCCCTCATCCAGTCAATCCACACTCTTCTCTTGTGCTGCTCTGCTCTTTCCAAAGCATACTTACCCTGAAGCATCATCTCACTCCAGTAGGTCCCTTCCCCCCCCCGATATCTTATGTGAGTTAGTTGTGCAAATAGTTCCCCTTCTTTCCTGAGTTAGAACTCATGTCCCAAGATGACAGGAAGTTATACTTCTATCTCTCCCTTTAAAAAAGCCTTCCTGCTTTAGTTCTCCACTCAGCATTTGCGAATGTGGCTCTTGATGATATCTTAACCTTCTTTTGATTGGATTTTGTTTTGTTTTTGTTTTTTCAAGACTGTTTTCTCTGTGTAGCCCAGGCTATCCTCCAACTCAATCTTTAGACCAGGCTGGCCTCGAGCTCAAGAGATCCACTTGCCTCTGCCTCTCAAGTGCTGGGATTTAAGGCATGCACCGCCACTGTCCTGCCTTTTCATTGTTTTTAAGGTATCATTTGTTTTATTCTAGCTGCAACAGATCAATTTCCTGAGCCTAATGCAAATAGTGGGGCCATCTGTTGCTAATCTCCCAGACATGCATCGACTCCTTCAGCAGCTTCAGCCTGTGCCTTCTGGGGAAAGTCAAGTGCCAAAGCCTACAAGGAGTGGTTGTACTGAAGCCAACAGCAGACAGAGGTTTTTTGCTAACCCAGACTCCATGGGAGAGTGCATCAGGGAGCCTGGCAAGAATGGCCCACTGGACCCTGGAGGAATCAATCAGCCTGATCAAGACAATAATGGAAGAACACAGGTAATTCACACAAAGACACCATTAGAACTGAGAAAACAGCTCAGCTAGCAAAATGCTTGAAGGCTCGAGACATGGTGGTAGCAACAAATCCCTGTGCTCCCCATCAAGCTCTCTTAACCTACTTAGTGAGTTCTTGGCCAATGAGAGACCCTGTTTTAAAACAATAAAACAAAACAAGACAAAATCAGTAGATGACACTTGAAGAATGATAGCCAGGGTAGTCTTATGGTCTCTGCCTGCACATGTACTCTGGTTTTATTTCTGTTCCTGTTATAAAATAACCAAAAAGGAACTTGTAGGAGAAAGGGTTTATTTCACCTTGCAGTTTCAGGCTATAGTCCATTAGTCAGGTCAAAGTAGAAGAAACTTGAGGCAGTAATCATATCACATCCACAGTCAAAAGCAGAAACAAATGAATATGAGCCTTACTTTCTTGCTTATGCTCTGTGCCGTTTCTCTACTTTTACACAGTTGGGAACCCCCATGCCTAGGGAATGGTGCCACACACTATGGGCTGGGTCTTCCCATGTGAATTAATTTAAGAGAATCTTCCACAGGCATGTCCACAGGCCAACCCAGTATAGACAGTCTCTTATTGAAACTGTTTCCCCAGTGACTCTAGGTTGTCTCAAGTTAACAGTAAAAGCTAATCACACACACACACACACACACACACACACACACACACACACACACACACACACACAGAGTATTTGTGTCCTACTTGATCATTGGCTTTTTGTTGTTTGAATAAATGTATTGCTTTAGCAGTTTTTTTACATGCTATCTGTTCACTTCACATGAATATCATTTATAAAAAGAAATTTGTACTATATTCTAAATTTACATAATACTGTTTTTCTTTCAGGATCTTCCACATGGGAGTATTCCCTTGTGTCAATTAGATGGCCAGCCTAAGGTGAGAGGTCAAACTGGAGCAGCTCAAAGCTTGCCAGCCACCTCATGTTCTCACGCTCCTGCTGGAGACCCTGGCCTCCAACTTCTGTTCCCGCCTGCTGCTGTCCAGAAGGCTCCTCAGCTGATCCCACCTGCCAGAACAATAGCTCCTGGGAATGGTTTTCCTTTGCTTCATTTTCAGCCCAAGTATGAATTCAAGCCCCTTTCCTTACCTCTAGGAAGAATTCCAGAAGTTCCTTTCAGACCTCAGACCCAACCAAAAGAGGCTTGGGGATTATCTGATCCTCGCCTACTTCCTCTGTCTCAGAGAATAATGTGTGCCACTTCATGCCATTCAGATTCGAGCCACCATAATGCTAAAGCCATGAAAAAGGCAGACACTGTCCTTAGAGATACTCCGAAGCATGTGAACTTGGGTCAATATGGTGGACAGCAGTACTCGGCACCTCAGCAGGATTCTTCAGGGTTTATAGGGCCAGAAAGTGTGTTTGATGTTAAACCAGGGCCCCCTGAGACAGGTCTTCAGAATTCTGTTGGACTTCCTTTACTACACCTCCAATTTAAGCCTCCTTACATGTTCTCATCACCATCGAGAGCATCAAGTAGACTGCCCTCAGTACCTCCCCAATGTGGCATAGAAGAAAAGAAGTATCCACAGCTATCGTTACTTCATTCATGTCTGCCCCCGGAGAATACGGTAATGGCTTAATGTGTGGTGATTGAAAAGCTGTTGCATTTTCCCATGCTGTAAATATGGTATGTTCTGTGAGAGCTCAAGAGCATGTCTTGAACATATACAAGGACATATACATGGGTATATGTCTTATTTAGGGCTACTATTGCTGGAATGAAACACCATGCCCAAAAGCAACTCAGGGAGGAAAGGGTTTATTTGGCTTACACTTCCTCATCACTGAAAGATCACCATTAAAGGAAGTCAGGGCAGGAACCTGGAGATAGGAGCTGATGCAGAGGCCTTGGAGAGGTGCTGCTTCCTGGCTTGCTCCCTATGGCTTGCTCAGCCTCCTTTCCAATAGAAGCTAGGACCACCTCCTCAGGGATGGCACCAGCCACAATGGGCTGGGTCCTTCCACATCAGTCACTAATTAAGAAAATGCCCTACAGGCTTGCCTATAGCCTGATCTTAAGGAGGCATTTTCTTAACTGAGGTTCTCTTTTCTCAGATGATTTAATGTTGGGTCAGGTTGACATAAAACCATCCAGCACAGTGTACACACATGTGCATACCATGAGCACATGGTTGAACGTTAGAGGACAGCTTGTGTAGGCTACTTCTTTCCTGCCTTATGGGCTCTGGGAACCAGAACAAATCATCAGCTCAGTAGCAAGCGCTTTACTGCTGAACTGTTTGTCAGCCTATTTCTTAGGATAATTCTTCTGCTACAATAGCATAAAATTCAGGTTTAAAATGATTTTACATTTTAAATAATTTAGGTATTTTTTATTAATACCAGAATTTATACTCTATCGTGCATTTTTTGCATATGTAAGATATAAATAAAATAAATTTACTAGGTAGAGTGTTGTGTATGTAGCAAGTGCACATGGTGTGCTTGAAGTTTCAAGCAGTTGTGATATGATCATCTTCAAATCTGTTTCAGATAAAAGGTTTTTTTTAAGATTTATTTTATTATGTAACAGTGTTCTGTCTGCATGTATGACTTTATGCTGGAAAAGGGCATCAGATCTCATTACAGATGGTTGCGAACCACCATGTGGTTGCTGGGAATTAAACTCAGGACCTCTGGAAGAGCAGCCAGTGTTTATAACCTCTGGGCCATCTCTCCAGCCCCCGATAAAAGTTTTTAAGCACATGCTAGTTTGTCTGTAGCTTTCCATGTAACAAGACAGTAGCTTTATAAATTCATCAGATCCCTTGAAAGATACTATCTTTGACTATGGAAATTCAGATTTAGCTTCTAACTTTGTAAGTCTGTAGTACCATATTAGGATAGTAATCGAATAACGTATTCTCTGCTATACTTCACTACTCACAGGTGCTACTATGGAGAGGAATGGTTACTCATTAGAGGAAGTGTTAGCCACGCCCCACGCCTCCTTTTCTGAACATACTATAATCAGAGAAGAAGGGATTAAAGATGTGGAATTTTAAAGTTTTTTTTTTTACTAGAATAATGTGCTGAACCCCAAGTTCTCCTGACCATGTTTAGGGATTATCAATATGTGCTGATAATGTTCTTTCCAACTACAGTCTTCAAGGACTACATCCTGCCTCTTGTGTTTATAGTTAATTAGATGCCACACTTCAGTTCCCTCACAGGGAGGAAGATTTTATAAGGAAATGCAAGTTAGAAGATAGGGACTTTACTTTTGAAACAAGGTGACTTATTTGAGGGCAGAGGTTGCAGCTGAAAGGCCGACCATTGACGTAGTATGCTCAACAATGAGCCAGTCTCCAGGGGAGAAAGTAAAAAAAAACCTATATGAAATTTAACAGCCCTCTCTAATTGTCTAAAATTAGACATTCTTTGTTGAGTTTGATGTGTTCTGTCTCTTATGTGCCTTAGTTTAATTTAAACAAATATTTCCTTTGTTTTTTCTACATGATTGTGTATTTAAGTTGTTCTGCTTTCTTTCTGTAGTACAAGAAGCCCCAGCTTATTCCACTTGAAAACCTCATGGCATTTAAAAGATGCCAACAAAAAGGAGCATATGATGCATTTGAACAAGGTGATTCTGGTCAACTTCAATTTCTAAAGGTCAATGTGGAACCATCTAAAAGAACACAAGGAAAGAAGAGGCAAGTTCTGAATGAAATGTTATCTGTTAACGTGGTATGCCAAAGTAGTGAGGATGGTTCTGCTCCAGTCCTTTCATAGTAATGTAGTTAGTAGTTTCCATGTCTGCTACCATGTGTTTAATCTTATAGTGAGGAAAGATTTTTCCTATTGTGAATGCTATCTTTTTCCCTCTCCATTTTTCATAAGGTTTTCTTTCTTACCTTTCACGGGCTGGAGCGTTTTCTCCATGTTTCTATGACAGAATGAACAGTTATGTTCTGTAAATTCCATGAGCAGTTCAACACTTTGAACCAGTATTTATTTATTTTTACTCGCTTTACCATATATCCTTCAAACCGTTACAAGGTAGCAGGAGAGTAGGTGATGACATGAAGTGTTTCAGGGCACTAAGAAATGTGCATGTAGAAAAGCAAGGTTGTCCAAGACTAACTGAAGAGCACCTATTATTACAGACTTTGACCTGCGGTGTGTGTCCAAGATGTGATGATTGGAATGTTATATGTGTAGAGCACATGTTTAAATTTACCAGTGCTATCCTTCCCACTGTTGAACTCTCCTTGCTGAGGTTTTTATTTAGCCTCTTCAAGGAGCTTAGTGGAGGTTTCCATGGGTTTCTGGCACCAACTTCTAATATGCAACAGAGTTTGAAAACTGCTTGAAAGGTATATCTATCCCCACATTCTAGTGACCAAATGAGAATACTTAATTCAGTGTTACCTATAACTGTTTGTATTCTAGAAGAAGATCTTGTTAATTAAATCTTGTGAAGTGGATTTTCAGCAATTATTTTCAAGTATCCAGACACAAATGAGAACCTAAAGTTATTATAAGGAAAACCATGTTCTATACTATTGCTTCTACAGGCAAAGCAGACGAGCTGAGAGAGAGCTACAAGAAGAAAGAGCTCAGAAGCCAAGAAGAAAACCAAGTGTTAGTTTCCGACCAGAGGATTCCCTCATTAGTAACGGGCCAGAAGTCATCGTGGAACCCAAGGTACAGAACAACTACAGTAGATTCTTCCCTAACTTGCATGGAACACTTTGGTATTTCTTTGTGACTGTGTAGCCCTGGTTGCTGGAAGTTTCTGGCCATGGTTTGGAGGGTCTGGTCATCATACTACAAAAGAGCTCTGCTGATTCCCTCCACAAATGGATACTCAGTTATGGATGTGAAAAACAACTGGGAGGCAAACTGAAAACTGCAGCTTAGAACATCTGCCTGGTGACTGATGTGTATGAAGTCACTCTGGGTTTTTCTCTGTCGTAATGACATAGTACATGATGTTGTCATTTCCTCTCAAGGGTTATCCAGGTAGATTTGCTATATAGTCCTCATGAGTATGTCTAGAGGCACTAAGTGTCTTTTGAGTCCATTAAAGACGTTGGCAGGATAGGGGTACAGTTTGAGTGTCAAGCCTGCCCTGCTATGGAGACTTGTTTATAATAACTAGTTTATAATAAGTAGTAAGTTGGTGTTAAATTGGTAATACCATTTTTATTGTTTGACTTGTGGATTTCATGAACTCTTGTACAGTTGTTGCTTTAACAGATTTATTAGTTAGGCCTAAAATGATGGAAATTGAACCTATAACAAAGAATTCAATCTTCATAGCTCTTAGGTGTATTTTTTTCCAAACTGATAAATGCTTTTCAATTATTGATTGTTTGGCTCCATTTAGGAACAACTAGGACATTGTGATTCTCAACCTTTGGAAAAATTTGACATTCCTTATGGTATGTATACACATGATTAATGTCTAAGTTTAGTGTTAAGTCAGCTTTTTAGAATGAAATATATAGTAAGGCTGGGTGGTGGGGAAGAGCCAGGAGAATCTCTGAGTTTGAGGCCAGACTGGTTTATAAATCAAGATCCAACATAGCCAGGGCTATGCAGAGAAACTCGGTCTTGGGGTGGAAGAGGAAAGAAATAAATGTAATATAAAACTGAAATTGAATTACTGTCTTAGTGTTCTGTTGCGGTGAAGAGACACCATGACCACAGAACTTTTTTTTTTTTTTTTTTTTTTTTTTTGAGGTGGGGCTGTCCTGGAACTGACTCTGTAGACAAGTCTGGTCTTGAAATCAGAAATCTGCTGGCCTATGCCTCCCAAGTGCTAGGATTGTAGGCACATGCCCCCGCCACCTGGCAAAGCAACTGAAAAGAATGTATTTAATTGGGCCTTGCTTACAGTTTCAGAGGGCTAGTCCATTGTCATCATGGCAGGAAACATGGTGGCAAACATGGCTTTGGAACAGTAGCTGAGAGCTACACCCTGATCTATAAGCAGAGAGGGGGTGACAGAGAGAAAGACTGGGCATGGCTTAGGCTTTTGAAACCTCAAAGCCTACTCTAGGTGGCACACTTCCTCTAATGAGGCCACACCTCCCAATCCTTCTAATCCTTTCAAACAGTTCCACTCCCTGATGACTAAACATTCAAATATATGAGCCTTTGAGGGCCATTCTTAAGAACTTCTAAAGGTGTAGAAAGTTGCCTGGACCTAAGAACAAAGACCAAATATGTATTTACTACACCCAATTGTTTTATGTCTATGTTATTATACCCAATTTATTATGTGTAATTGTTATTCTCTTATTCCAGCTAGTCTTCCTAGGTCATCTCCCCGGTAGAATCTCAGTCTAACTCAGTCTGCCATGATATAGTTAGGACTTTGATTCTGCTCCCGCAGAGCTTCTCTGCTTGGGCATAAGACCGCTTGTACGTCAGTGTCTTTCCTGCCCAGACAGTTTTTTTTTCCCTTTTATGTTCTTTGTCTCCATTTATATTAATATCAATAAAAAAACAACCCCCAAATTCTGCCTTTTACTTCCCCTTCTTACCAGCCAGTAACCGGTCCTATCCTTTTTTACCTCCTTTATAACCCAGCTACAGAAGCCTTATCTGATTGTCTTCAGTTTTGTTCATTCAGCTCTACTTTCCACATGTGGGGTAGATTTTCTACAATAACAATCTGATCACATTGTTTTCACTGGATCTGGATCTTCATTAGCTGGAGGAGAAGGTTCTAGGTTTCTGGGCCTGACATACAGTGTCCTCTACAAATGTAGGTTTGATTCACTGTCTTTAAGATGTAGTTTATATAGCACCTCATGTAGAAAATGCACTTTAATAACATCCCAACACATACCTCTAGTTACTGTGCTTCCAGCAGCATGTTGGCTCTCAGTGATTGTTTTCAGTATTTTGTTATATTTAAGAAATGTTAGAAGATGATGTGAATACTTCGGCTGGACTGCACTTCATGGCCTCTGTACGAAAGAAAGCTGTGGGAAGTCAGGATGCAAGTACAAACACAGACCCAGGTAAATACTTTAAAAGTTAAAAAATTCATATGTAATAGCTGGAGACAGCTCAGTAGTTAAGAGCACTTACTCTCCTCTAGATGCTAGAGTTTCTAGCATCCATGTTGGGCAATTCACAAGTGACTGTAATTCCAGCTGCAGGGAACCTGACATATCCTTCTGGCCTCTGGGTATCTGTACTTAGCCAGCATGCATATTTATTAACACATACACATGGTTAAAAAATAATGTCTTTTATAACTTTTGTAAGGTATTTTTTTTCTTTAAGGCAGTGATTTAAAGGGAATTTTTAATTATGTGATATTAGTTACTTATCCATCGTTCTCCTTAATTTCCTAGGAAAAATTAGGAGTAGCATTTATGGTAGCCTGGAATAGCATTTGTGATAACCTGAACTGGTAATGTAAGTAAAACATAGAGATTTTGATTGCAAACATGTTAAAGATCTCAAGTGAGTATAAAGAATGTTTTGAATTAGACTCTCTAGACCCTGAGATTCCTTCATTGGAAATGTAGACCTAGAGTGAGAGGTTTGGGTTCTGACTAAGTGAAGTTGGCAGGAGAAGACTACTAGATTGTGGTTAGTCTGAGAGGGCAAGTGACTGTCTGTCCTTGAGCATAAAGAGGTGTACAGAACCTTTCGAAGTATTCATTATACGTCTTCTGATTTTGTCCTCTTGTAAAATGCATAATTACTCATTGATATAATATAGCAAGCTATGAGATATGAAATCATACATTTCATATAACTAGGTACAGAGCATGGTAAGAGTGTCCTTTCATACTATCTGAACTCCTGGTCTCTGAGTGTTTCCATATTCCTAGCTTTTCCCTGAGAATGTAACTGTCATGTCCCAGTGTTGGTTTCTCCAGTTACCCTTAGACTTTTTTTTTTTGGTTTTTTGAGACAGGGTTTCTCTGTGGCTTTGGAGGCTGTCCTCTTGTAGACCAGGCTGGTCTTGAACTCACAGAGATCCACCTGCCTCTGCCTCCCAAGTGCTGGGATTAAAGGCGTGCACCACCATAACCTGGCTAAACACTCTTATAATGTATCTTAACAGGCTATTTCTTTATACTGTATTTATATCACATTTGCAGCAATATTGAATGTGATGCATATGTGTAGTCAATATTATTGCATAGTTCATGCATACCGCATACCAATAAGATAAATGCTAGTTCAGTGGTGTTTAAATTACTTTGTATTGAGTAATAATCCTTAATATGATGTTAATTAGTTGTTTAAGTCTGAGAAAATTGGGTGGCATGGAACATCCTTTTTTGTCATGTAAAATAATGTTATAGTTATGTCATATCTGAAAATTACCAACTAGTGTATTTACAGAACCTCATCTCCTTTGATTTCTACTTACATTAAACATTGCCAAGAGTATTCTATAAGGATATTCCTTTTGCAGTTGTACCATAAAATATTTAGCAGGCTTCTGACTGTTGAGTACATTGTGTGTTAGAGAGTTCTTAAGAGTTGTTTTCTTTCTTCTCCTTTTTTCTTTGGGTCCTGACTGGCCTACAACTGGCTTTGTAGACTAAGATAGCCTTGCACTCACAGAGATCCTCCTGCCTCTGCTTCCTGAGTGCTAGGATTTAAGGTGTGCACACCATTTCTGATCTTTCTTTGCTTTTTTTAGGATTAGGATTTTAGCTGGCATGGTGGTTCATGCTTTTAAACCCAGAACTCAGAAGGTAGTGGCAGGAGATCTCTGTGAGTTTGAAGCCAGCCTGATCACCATAATGAGTTCCAGGTCAGCCAGGGCTACATAGTAAGATCATGTCTCAAAGTTAAATAAAATAAATTCTATAGTCATATTATATAAAGGTTAATTTAAGCTGGTAATCTGTTTTCCTTACAACTTTTACATACACTATCTAATTATCTGTATTTATATACTGTGTTTGTGAAATTATTTTTCTTTTTTCCATCATCTATTCGAATTTACTACAAGAAAAGGAAGGTACTTCCCAAGATAAGGAAGGTACATCCCAAGAACTTAATTCTGAAAGTGGTAAAAATCAACAAGTCATTTCTGCTACCTCAGGTATGAGTTCTTTGTTCTCCAAGATTAAGTTTTTTTTTTTTTTTGGTTTTTCGAGACAGGGTTTCTCTGTGTTGTTTTGGAGGCTGTCGGTCCAGCCTGGCCTCGAACTCACAGAGATCCGCCTGCCTCTACCTCCCGAGTGCTGGGATTAAAGGCGTGCGCCACCAGCGCCAGGCCCAAGATTAAGTTTTATTTATTAAAGTTAGTTGGCATAATGTGAAAACCAAAGTCACTCTATCCCTTAGAAAATAGTCTAACCAAGCAAGTGGCTTCATAGAGATAGGATGACAACTTAAATGTTTTTCTCTCAGATTTTAACCCTAACCTATGATTTAACTTCAAGCTCTTTTAGCAGTTTTTCAGTAAAGTCAATATGATGTAAAGTTTATTTCACATTTTAGAGGTTTTTTTTTTTTTTTTTTTTTTTTGGTTTTACGAGACAGGGTTTCTCTGTATTGTTTTGGAGGCTGACGGTCAAGCCCAGCCTCGAACTCACAGAGATCCACTTGCCTCTGCCTCCCGAGTGCTGGGATTAAAGGCGTGAGCTATCACCGCCTGGCTAGAGTAATATTTTATTAAAAACAAAATGCTAGAAAAGTAGATTTGAGTCCTAGAACAAAAGCACAGAGTTCAACTGTGTGCCTATCTCTGAAGTGAGAAGCCTTTTTACTTACTGCTGAATAAGAGGCAAATAACTAATGAAATTCAGATGCTAAAACATTTTAGTTATTTATTTTTAACTTTAAAAAAGATTTATTATTATTTTATATGCATTGGTGTTTTGCCTGCATGAATGTCTGTATGAGGGTGTCAGATCCCCTGGAACTTGAGTTGCAGACAGTTGTGAACTGCTGTATGGGTGCTGGAAAGTGAATCCTCTGGAATAGCAGCCAGTGCTCTTAACTGCTGAGCCATCTCTCCAGCCCCCGCATTTTAATCTGTAAAAGTTAGAAGTGAGCTCTGTGATTATCCTAAATCCATTTTAAGAGTATGAATTATATATCTCAGTAAAACTTAACTATTAAAACTTTTAAAAATGTAGCTAATGTGTGTTTTTCTTAAGTAAAATAATTTAGTATGTTTAAAATAGAAATGGGAAATTAGAAAATTTTTTTACAAAATTTATATATCTTATTGTCCATGTAGTAGACAAAATGAAGAGTAGTCCTTTGTCTTTGGTTATAAATTTCCTTGTAGAAAATTACCCTTAGACTAGAATTGAATTTTATTTAATATATTTATACCTAGGAAGCATCTATTTATTTTATTTTGTTTTGTTGCAAACTTGTTCTTAGAAAATTAATGACTACAGACATGTTTTACATTTCTGATTTTCTTTCCTTAATTTCCAGGTCATGAACCTTTGACTGTTCCTCAGCTCTTGATTCCAGATATATATCTAAATGTCAAAGTTCCCACTGGAATATCAGAGAAGCCCTTGTCTCCTTCTCTACCTCATTTGGTAATAGCCTTGGTTTGTGCATTGAATTTTAATAATATCCTTGTTCAAACTTACTATGTTCACCTCTACAGTACCTCATTTTGTTGGTGACATAAGTATAAAGATACGCATAGGTTTGTAAGAAAAGACAGAAGTTACTTCGGTGCTCTGCCCTATAGTGCTGTACCGACATGCTGCTGCTTCTTCCATGTTAGGCATTCGGATGCTTGCTCTTTAGTAACAAGAAGGACAACAAATTAACACTACCACCCCTTTTATAGTCATCTAAAATTACAGAAAAATTATTACTATGTGTTCAACTCAGGCTAGACACACTTACATAGATGTGATTGACATTGAAGCTGATGATCTGTTGGAATTACCTGCTAGTGAAGAGCCTTCAGATGAGAATGTTACCAAGCAACAGAGCCATCCTCCAGAAGTCCCTTCATCTGCAGAGTTGCATTGTATGGCAGCTTCAGTTGTTAATGCCGTTCCTACTCATGCTTTTGAGAGTCAAGGTAATTTTTTTTCTACACTAAAATAAACACACTGTATTTAGCACTGTTATCCTTGCCCACAGTATCCTAGATCTCTAGATACATGCTTGTGTTGACATTTAGAAATGTTCTGTTAGCCTCTCAGTTGCCTGGCTTGGACATTTACAATATGTGTTTATATATCTTTTATGTTCTTGAAAGAATCTGCAAGTTCTACTATGGGTTTAATTTTAGAGCCTGCAAAAGTGACTCAGCCCTGTCTGGATGGGAAGAGCTGGAGAGCAAGTGCTATAGAAATGAAGGAGCCTGGGATTCCCCCAGTAACGCCATCGGACAGGCAGCAGGACAGAGGTAGGCAGCCAGGATGTGCTGCCTGGCCCTCCCTGCTAGATTCCTGTTATGTAAGAAGAAGTGTTGCTGCTTGGTCATTTCAAAAGTACTTGAAAGAGAAAGGGGAAAGGTATATAAATGAGGTGCAGCCATGGCTCCAAGCCTGGGACCCACAGTAGTTTCCAAGAAAGCCTCAGATTTGCTTGTACATGTCTTTCCCCAGGTAATAAGACTGAAAATAAATGTCTTGTCAGAGTCCTTTCTCATATTTGAAAAGGAAAATTCAGTATCAGTAAAAGCACTTTCACTCTTAAGTCTGATAACCCTAGTTCAATCCCAGATCCATGATAGGAGGAGAGAACCAGCTCTTTGAAATTGTTCTCTGACTTCCACACTCATAAGGTGGCACACACTCTCCCTCTGTCCTACCCATCACACACACACACACCCCTGATAAAATATATGTGTAGGAAATTCTGTAATAGCACATAGTAAATACATGGGCATGGTAGCCAACTAGGGATTTTTTTATTATAATAAAATAATATAATCATATAATTTTTCTTGCTATCCCTTTTCTCCCTCCAAATATTCCCGTATACCCTTCTTTGCTCTTTTTCAAATCCATGACCTCTTTTTTCATTAATTGCTCATGCTTATGTATATATGTAAAAGCATATGCATTCTTAAACGCAACCTGCTCCTTGCCTTTCATGCCAAGGCCATCCTGGGTTTCTACTGTACTTTCTCCTTTAAATCTGTGTGCACCAGATCTCTCCTGAGGGTGATTAAAGGAGACACTTCAGGCTGCTGAGAAACAGGGCCAATAGACAGATAATGAAGACATGTGAGAGTAAGCTGAAACAGGGTAAGGCAGTATCAACACTGACACCATCTTCTCCTGGGAAGGCTCACCAGGACCAGGACCAGGACCAGAAACTATCAAAAAAGCTCTCATATTTCAGAGCACTTTGTTGCATAATTTGATCTTCATAAAACTCCTATGAGCTAAGTTCATTGGGCAAAATAATCTGTTTTTGATGGATTTCTCATTCTATAAACATTTAGGGACCCAATACTAGGAGTGAAAAAGTAGTTGCAGGTTGTCAGCCTGTGGGCAGTGACTGGGGAAAGGAAGACAGATGAATAAAGGGATCATTAGGATACAGCTTGTAAATGCTGCAAGGGCTGGGTGAGCACTGAGCAGCACAGCATCTAATCTACTTGAGGGGACAAGCCATTAAAGAGAGGTAGCAACAGTGATTGTTACAGGGGACTTGGATCAAGGGAGAAAGTGTACTCAGCCTGGGGATTGACTGCAGTAGTGCAGCTGTGTGGAGCCTGCTGGGTTTGGGAAGTTGGGATTTGTTGAAAGCAGTAGCAAGAACTGACGTCATGTAGGTGGATGGAAGACTGCCATTGTTAGACATACTGAGACATTTAGACCTTGAATGTGAGGCATTAGAGACATGTGGAAAGGTTTTGGGGATAAAGTAGCAATGTAAAATTTGTGTTTCTAATTTGTCCTAATAGGCACTGTGGAAGATAAACTACACAGGAGAAAAGTAGGATATTATTTGAGGTCTAGATTCTGAAAACACCAATGAAGGCAGTATAGGAATGGAGACAGAGGAAGGAGGATCACCAATACTTGATGTTACTTTGGAATATGAAGGAGAGCAATCCTCCCTTACCCTCAGGCCTCTGGCTGGGAAACATAGTGACTAATAGTGCTGTTCCCTGAGCTGTGGACCAAGGAAGAGGCAGCCAACTAGAAGAGAAGCAATGAGTTGGTGTTCTGATGTTTTCTGCTTGGCTCACATTCTGCCTGGAGTCTATAGTAGCCAACACTGAATCTAGCTTTTACTGTGTAATGTCATTGGTTGTCAAAGGTTGCTTTTTGATGCAGTAGCAGTTTTTAAGAAGATAAAGGTGACATTCAAATTGCTATGTGTGTAGAACTTTGTGGTACTACATTGTTCAGGTCTTTAATTCACTACAGAGGTAAGTTTCAAGCAGTCTAGAAACTGAAATGAATTTGTAAATTTCTTAACTATTAAGACTTTTGGAAACTAATGGCATATTAGCTTAAGATGAGATTGTCCTTATCTACTTTTCCCTTAAGTAAAATTAATGCTGATTTTTCTTTGATTAATGTTTAGATCCGCTAGAACCAAACTTCCAGTTCAAGGAACAGAACACAAAACTGGATTCTGGGAGAAAATCTATGCTTTTGACACTGCTACAAGATGTCCATACTGCTTGTCCCACTCCAAGCTCTACTGCTCCAAAGTTAGAGCATCTTACTGCCAAGCTTCAGAAGATGGATGAGCAGCTGTTAACAGTACAGACCATTGCAGAGAATATAGAACAGGACTTCCCTGCACCAGAAGTACTGAATCTACACTGGGAGAAGGTATCCGTTCTTATTTTCTAGTGGTTTTTTATTTTGTGTGTGAGTGTGCATGTGAGCCTGTGGTGATGATGGCCTCAAGTCATTAAATATATAGTATGATTAGTATGAAATAATTTTAGATACCTGACTTTGTTAAATAATGGGGAAAATTTTTAAGCTAGAATTTTTAAAACTCAACATTATTGACAAGCTAGATCAGTGGTTCTAACCTGAGGGCTGTGACCTTGTGGGGGGCAAATGACCCTTTCACATGACTCTCCTAAGACCTTGAGAAAACACAAATATTTACATTAGGATTTGTAACAGTAGCAACATTACAGTTATAAAGTAGCAATGAAAATAATTTTATGGTTGGGGGACACCATAACATGAGGAACTGTATTAAAGGGTGACAGCATTAGAAGGTTGAGAATAACTGGTCCAGATAATTATTTGTTTTTCTTTCTTCTGTGGTTCTGGGATCATTCACATACTAGTCAAGTGCTACCAGTGAGCCACACTCCCAGCTCCAGATAATTCTCTGTCTTGACATGCATTTGCAGCATCATGGTCTTCACTCACTAGGTGCCCATAGCACAGCCCAACTGATAGCAGTCAGATTATGTTTCCCCAGACATTATGAAATGACCCTCAAATCGCCCCCAGCTGAGAACAGCTGCCTTAAGCTTTTAAGTAGGGAACCCATGCTCCCACAGGGAGAGAAGTGTGTGAGCTATAAACCAGAATGTGACTTGAAAGTACTGCGTTCAGGGTCATTTTTCTCCCAAAGATTTTTCTTTTTTGTTTTGTTTTTTGAGACAGGGTTTCTCTGTATAGCCCTAGTTGTCCTGGAAATCATTTTGTAGACGGGACTGACCTTGAACTCAGAGATCTGCCTGCTTCTGGCTCTTGAGTGCTGGGATTAAATGTGTATGCCACCACCTCCCAGTTTATGTGGTAGTTGTTCTTACCACAAACTTAGACATGGCCAAATGAGTTTTGAGCATCAAAGTAGTTATTGATAGCCTTTTCTTCAAATACCACACATACACACTCCTAAGTTTATGAAAGGTTCCTCTAGGACTTTTTCAAATATCCGTAATGTTATCTCTACTTCCTCATTTCCCCTTCCTCCTTCATCTCCAATTTCCAACACTGTCATTTACCAAGTTTAGCAAAAGACTTTGCAGGCCTAGAGATACAGGACTACCAGGACACTGGACAAGCTTAGGTTGAATTCTGTGACCTGTCACTGTGAAAATGCTTATCCGCTGGGCCTTGTTTCCTCATCTGGATGTAGAAGACTTGATCACGATGGTGGCTAACCTTCCCTCGCTACAGAAATACATGAAGTCATTTCCTAATCCTTGTGAAAAGTCTATCAGTTTGGCTACAGATACTAAAACTTCCTTTTCATAAACTTATACTATATTTTATTCGATTTCTTTCATTTTTGTTGTATTTTTAAAATGATTAAGATATATATAAAATTATTTGAAATTTTGACATTATCAAAAAGCATAATGTTTACAGCAGTTTTACTGTGCTTATTTTCTTCTATAGGCTGGACTGGTAGATCACGTTGAATTGTCTTCTCACCCTGAAATTGAAAAACCATTAACTTCAAAAGCCAGTAGCATTTCTGAAGAAGGTTTGTGTTAGGTACCTGGCTGGTATTGAAGCCTGGCTTCAAAAAAGAACTAGAAATACTTTTTTCATGTGAGGTGAAACTGTTGCTCCCCACCCTATTCCCAATCGTTTATTTTTTATTTTTATGTTATATGGGTGTTTTTCTTACATGTATATGTGTATACCACATGTGTGCATCCTGTATCTGTTTCTTTAAATATTCCATCTCCCCTTTCCATTATTAGTTCTTTCCAAGTCTGTGAGTGGTCAATTATCTTTGTCTTTGAAAACAGCTTAGCTTTACTGTGATTTTTTTAGGTCATAGTGTATAGCTGGCTGCAGAATTATCATGTTTTCTCTGATTCTAGTGTTTTCTTCATTATTTGAAAGACATTATTCCGGTATTTATTGGTGGAGTCTACTCTGCCTATATATACTGTTAGTTTCGTTGCTATCTTAAAAATCTCTGGCTGCTTTAAAGTTTACTTTTTTTGTTTGTTTGTTTTGTTTTTTTTGAGACAGGGTTTCTCTGTATTATTTTGGAGTCTGTCCTGGAACTTTACTCATTTTTCTTTTTTGATACAATGTCTAAGTATGAATTTCTGTCTTACATCTGAGTAGATTCTTCAGTTTAAAGGTTTAATGTTGAGAAGTTTATGTTGTTTCCATTGTCTTTTTTCCCCCTATTCAGTCTGTTTGGACCTTGTTAATATGTTTTAAACCTACGAGTTTATTTATTTTAAACCTACATGTTTATTTGTTTGGTGGTGGAAATAATGCATGCCTGGAAGGCACAGGACAACTTGAGGTTCTCCTCCTCCTATGTGAATCCTTAGATCAAACTGAAGTTGTCAGGCTTGGCAGCAAAAACATCTGCTAAAACACCTCACCAACCCCTGTTGTGTTTTCTGTTTGTTTGGTGTATATGTAGGGTTAATGTTTCATGATTTCTTCGTCTTTGGGGTTCAGTGCTGTATTCACTAGCATTTCTTTAAGTCTGTCTTTTAATTTACTAAATCTGCTTTGTCATCTGTTGTCCCACCTATTGACTATTACTTTTATTTGGGCGACCATTTTCCTATCTAAAACTTTGTTTGCAAATCTGACCGTTCCTGTTAAGGTTTCCTATCATTTCTTAAACATATTTGCTCTTTTACTTTATATTTATTAAATTAGTTCACTGTGCTGTAGAGAGCTTTCAGGTTGTACTGCAAGCATCCCATACATGAGTGTCTCATGTGGAAGTATGAGTAGTTGCTGCACGTTCCCTTTGTGTTTTCTCTTAATTGTATGTATGTCTTGGATTAGTGTGCTTCCAGACTCATGAGGATGTGGAAGATCATAACGATGCAGAGGAAACTTCAGAGACGGAATTTTCAGGAATGGAAAATCATTCTAGTCAGAAAACCTACGCATGCCCTTCTGCGGGCTCAGCTGTCTGCTCTTCCATGGACTGGAGTATCCCTTCTCCTGGTACTCTCTTTACTTCTTAGGTTACATGTTGATTAAAGTGTTACTCCACTATACCTGGGAGGATACAGTGATGAAAGGGTGTGAAGTAAATACTCTTCAACCGTGTACTACACCTCTAACATTTTAGCATTAAATCTATAGTAATTGGAATTATACTTGATTTTTATAAAAATTGAAGAATTCAAAATGCTAATTATTAGATTTTAAATTTTAATCTGTAGCAGTACTGTTGGTTATTTGTTGAGCCCTGCCATGTACATTGCTGTATTTCATGCATGGGCCCTTTTTAAGGTTGACTGAGGTAGGAACTTCATTATTCTCATTTCAGAGTTGAGACTGAGGTTTAGAAAGGGTTAGTGCCTCTGTTGGTTTGATTCCATTTGGAGATGCCTTGTTCATACAAGTGCTGTTCTTGGGTCCTGAAGGGACACTTAGTCATATGAATAGACATAGCATTTCTTTTGTAACCATGTAAACATGGATAAATTGAAATGTTTTCCTCTAGTATTTAATGTATGATTTGTAAGCTTGAAAAGAAATCATATTTTTTAAACAAAATATGAATTTTGATCCCTTAAGTAGGTTTCTCCTTCCAGGCTGGCTTCTTGGAAAGGTATAGTGTCATTTCCTCACTTTTGCAGTCATAATAGCTTGGAGTTTTCTCCTCTACAACTTCCATTTCTTTTTAAAAAAAAAGGTTACCGGCAAATAATTGGTCAACTGAGGTTGGATTTAAATCTTGGAAACAGCCATAAGATTCCCAGAGACCCTGTTTGTGTAGGAAGATGACCAAGCCGAGTATGACTGTTTCACATTGTGAATGGAGAATTACACTAAATAACTGCTGAATTTCCCCTGAGGCCATCCCAAAGGAAGAGTTCCAAAATAGGGTTAGAACAACAACTTTAAAGTGTTTGTTATGGGACTGGAGAAATGGCTGAGTGGTTAAGAGCACTGTCTGCTCTTCCAGACGACCTGGGTTCAATTCCTAGCACCTATGTGGCAGCTCACAGCTGTCTGTTCTCCAGATTTGATACCCTCACAAAGACATACATACAGGCATTTTTAGATCTCTGAAGTTTAAAAAGAATTGACCATGGGGCTAGGGAGATGGCTTGCTCTGCAGTCTTGCTAGTTTGGATCTGTGATACACACACAAAAATACTGACCTAAAGCCAGGTAGTAGTGACGCATGGACTTTATTGCTTCATTTGCAAGGTAGGGATGGGAGGATCTCTGTGAGTTTGAGTCCATCCTGGTCTACAGGTCAAGTTCCAGGACAGCTAGGGCTACATAGAGAAACCCTGTCTGGGGAAAAAAAATACTGACCTAAAAAAAATTTTGGAGCCTGTCCTGACACTCACTCTGTAGACCAGGCTGGCCTGGAAGTCACAGAGATCTGCTTGCCTCTGCCTCCCCAGTGCTGGGATTAAAGGCATGTGCTACCACCACCTAGCAATGATCTAAAAATTTTTAAAACTGTTTTTTATTGAACAGTTTTTCATGGAATATATTCTGATTATTGGCCTATATCTTTTCATTAACAGTGTCTTTTTTTTTTTAAGGTGTGAATAACAACAATGAATTATTTGGAAGGTAAATCATTTAAGAATTCGTGATTTTAAAGTTGTTACGTTTGTTAATGTATTATGGAAGTTTTACTGCTCCTATGAATGTAGACTTTTACATTATACTTTTTTCTTCCTTTTTTAAGTTTTTTTTTTTATTACAGGGTTTCTCCGTGTAGCCTTGTCTGTTCTGGAACTGTGTAGACTAGGCTAGCCTTGAACTCCTAGAGAGCCACCTACCTTTGCCTTCTTAGTGCTGGAATTAAAGGCATGTGCCATCACCACCTGGCTATATTACAGTTCTTATAGTTTAAAGAAGTTTTACAAATTTCCATTGCCAATGAGTATTTTAGGAAACTGGGGAGTGTCATGTGGTATGTGTGTGTGAGCGTGTGTGTGTGTGTGTGTGTGTGTTGGTGTTTTAGAATTAGGTAGTTAAAATGTAACAGTAATTAAAATGTAATAGACTGTATTGGCTGCATTCTCTTACATTATGTGTTAAGCTACAGCAGTTAAGACCTGTAGCCCCTTGTAATGAGACATAGCAACACCATGTGCCTCTGTGTGACCATAGCATTTCTATTGTGACATTCTTGACAAAACGCAGCCTGATTTTGACCAGGAGCAGAATGGAGGAATACCAAAGAGTAATTTATGAAGTGACCAGCTAAGATTTCTCAAAAGCATCAAGGTCATGTAAAATACAAAGGTAGAAGTTATTTTAGATTTGAGAAGACATATGTCATGACAACTAAGTATATAATACCAAAGTGGATTCTGGGCAGAAAAAGAACATTAGTGAAACAATTAGAAAAATATAATATAGTCCATAAATTAATAATAGGTCAATTCTACAATTTTGATATAAGATGAAGATTATGTCAGATGATCACATTTGAGGAAGGATATGTTGGAGTTTTGCTATTTAAAACGTTTTTTTAAATTATGTGTATTAGTGTTTTGCCTGCATGTGTGTCTATGTACAAATTGTGTGACAGGTGCTCAAAGGAGGCATCAGATCTCTGGAACTGGAGTTACAGTTGTGAGCCTCCGTGTAGATGCTGGGATTTGAACTGCTGAGCCATCTTTCCAGCCCAAATTTTGTTTTAATATGTCTATGGGTATGTGCAGATGGGCTCAGATGCCCACTGAGGCCAGAAGCTTGGAGCCCTGGTGACTGCTGTAGTTACTGTGAGCACCCTTAACCACCGACCCATCTCTTCAGCCCATTTTGCTGCTTTCTTAAAGTGTGAAACTATTTCAGATGAACTGTTCAATTTTTCACCTGGGCTTAGAGCTCATTTTCTTAGAGCATCTATGAAGTCATTGATAACTAGGCTTTTATGCTGAGTGATCCCAGAACTTAGAAGACTAGGCGTCCCTCATTTTTGTTCTAGGAAAAGTGGTTACATACTCATTTCCATTTAATTTGATTAAATCATAGATACTAACTCATTCCTGAAATTTTATTTGCAAGTGTTTCAGAAGATCAACTCCAGGTGACTGGATTGACTGATATTGCCGACATTATTGATGACCTCATAACTAAGAGTGGAGTTTCCAGTGAAGAGCTTGGCTTAACAGAAAAACAAGCTAGAAATATATCCAGGTAATCATTGAAAGCGTGTGCGTGCCAGGCATCAGACCCTGTTGTGTTGTGTGTGTTTGAGACAAGATCCAGGGTCTCACTGGTATTAAGTATATACTCTACCATTCCCAGCCTCAGAAGAATCTAATCCACATAAAATAATGCAGGTTCAAGAATATTTAAAATTTGCCAGATTTTAATTTAGTTTTATGAAACAGATTTGAAGCTCAGAATAGATGTTTTCCTCATAAATGCTTGTATGATATGTATGTTTCACTCTTCATCTTCTCTAATAGCATACTCACTGTTATATTTACCTCAATACATCTCTGTTCTGGGATCTTTCCCCTGGACTCGCTGTCATAAACATATAGTGAGTTCTGTTTCCTAATAGAAATCATTAATGATTAACTCATGGTACTTATCCTAACTGCTAACACTTAGAAACATAATAGCATTTCTGTGGAACTTTAGTGTATTTTCTTCTCAATCTTTCCTACATAGAATCAAGGCTGACTATCCCAGCATGAGTATGTAGTGTTCTTCAAAATGGTACAGTGTTTTCCTTCCAGAGCAACAGTATTAGCTTTTCTCTTCTGGAAAGCATATGAACAAGCCAGTGATCCTTTCTTATTTTTCAGGATTCAGCATCCTACTGGCAGATGCCCCCAAAGATCTGAGAAGGAGAGAAGAGAGATTAAAATCTGGATGAAAAGAAAGCGAAAAGAGAGAATGACAGAGTATTTAAATCAGCTGGCAGAAAAGAGGGGACAGGAACGTGAGCCTTTCTGCCCCAGAAACAGTCCAGTGAGTCTGTGCTACCCCAGGAAAGGGTGTTCCCTCTGTCCCAGAAACAGTAATCAATTTAACTTGGATGTTTTTTTTTTTTAATTGAGCACATGTTAATGAGTTACCTGAACAAAGTGTGTTAGGATATTGTGCTCTACTTAAGGACTTTAAATATCTTTATCAGGCTAAGTAAGGCTCTGTCATTATAAACAAACAAGGAGGTTGAATGGGTGGCTAGTTGGAATTGTTTCTTTCATTTTCAGTGAGACTTATTGGTAACTAATATGCCTTGGCTGTTCAAAGACATTTTTGAAAGTTAGTTTTGGGGGCTAGAAATGACTCAGTGATTAATGTAGCTACTGCTCTCGCAGAAAACTCAAGTTTGCTTGTTAACATTCAATCAGGCAGATCACAATCGCCTGTAATCCAGCTCCAGGGGACCCAACACCCTCTTCTGGACTCCTTGGGCACTGACACGTCTATGTGCCCATTCAAACAAACAAATATGCGTAATAAATACTAGCTTTTAAACTTGATTTTATATATGTAAGGTATCTACAAAGAATTCTTTTTTTAGCCATGTGACCTACAACTCTGTATTTTAGATCCAGCTGTCTCTGTCTCCCAAGTATTGGGACTAAAAGAGTGTACTTTTAGTACACCCACTTCATTCAACTCTACAAAGAATTTTCTAAAATAAGGACAGTGGGGCCAGGGTCAGGGTTCTTGGATAGTTCTCATGGCTAGATCCAGGAGAATTTTTTATTTCAGGGATGAGTGGGCTCAACCCCTAATACTTCACCAAAACAAATTAGAGCTTTGAAGGTGAAACAAAATAGTATTGCTTTGATAGTCATATCACTATGAAAGCAACATGTGGATTTAGAGTATAGTCCATTTTGAGTACTAGATTTAGAGTATTAGAGTGTATAGTCTATTCTTTTGTAATCTCAAATAAAATATAATATTTTAAAGGATCATTATAAAAGCATCATTAAAGTAAATTATGTAAGTGAATTTTTAAGATGGTTGTCATGTTTAAACTAAATGGTTCAAAACTAGGTGAAACTCTCATCACCTAAAATTTGTAATTTGGATCAGCAACATGGCAAAGATACTTGCTGACACCTTGAATTTGTTCCCAAAACCTACATGGTGGACAGAGAGAACTGATTCCCACAGGGTGTTTCTGACCTCTGTACATATATCATGATGTGTACATATCCATACACAGATTCTTACAAATGAATAAGGAAAACCTGCTGGTGTTAATGTAACACTTTCTTTTTTTACATTATTTTATGTGTGTAACCATTTTGCCTGCACGTATGTTGTGCATTATGTGCACGCCTGGTGGCCACTGAGGCCAGAAGAGGGAGTTATTGATGGTTGAAAGCTGCCATGTGGGTGCTGGGAATAACCATAACTGGATGTTCTGTTGAGTTCAGCCAGTGCTCTCAATCGCTGAGCCATCTCCAACCTACTAACACTTCAATGAAATTGGCAGGCAGAATTGGAACTTTCAAGTCTATTGACCTTTATAACCAGAATCTTGACATGCATGCATGTATGTGTTCTCTCTCCCACTAAAGGGATGGACTTTAATATCACCTTCACTGTCAATCAAATATAAAAACCAAACAGTTATGTAAGTTTAGAATAAACTAGCTGTAAATGTATAAGAACCACTTTTGATTTATCATGAAGAGTTTCTTGTCTAGTATGGGAAATGAAATACTTTTGTGGCATTCTCAAAGACAAAGTTTGATGAAAATCAATAATTGGCATACAAACACACACACACACACACACACACACACACACACACACACACACACACACACACACACACACACACCACTTTTGAGAGTCAGTTTTCTCTTTCCATCATAGAATTCCCAGAAATCAAACTTGGGTCTTCAGATTTGGCAAGAGGTGCCTTTCCCTACTAAGCCATCTTGCTGGTCCTAATGTATAGAACTTGAAAAAAAAGTCATAATGAACTCATTGCATTAGGTTTTTGAAGACAGGGTCTCTCTTTTAGTCCAGACTACCATGAAATTCATGATCCTCCTGCCTCACTCAGCTAAATGCTTAAGTTCATGGTGTTTTAATTTAAGATTACATTTTACACTGAGAGAAAACTTTCTCAAATATGACAGTGTTTTGCACCTTTGTAAATGCCGGAAGAATGTCTAGTGCTGTAATTGTTTGGACTGAACAATAATGAACTAACTGAACATTTCCTGTGCAGTTTTATATGAATTCAAGGCAGATCAGGCAAAGACAGAAGATGAAACATGAAAAAGATAGGTAAGTCTGGGAGCTATACCCTCAATATGCTCTGTAGTGTGCTTGTGTCTTGGGAATTACTTGTTTCCTGTCAGTTAACAGGGTTATGGGCGATACCATTAAAAGAAATGCTTGGGCTGCGCGGTGGTGGCACACGCCTTTAATCCCAGCACTTGAGAGGCAGAGGCAGTTGGATCTCTGTGAGTTTGAGGCCAGCCTGGTCAACAGAGTAAGTCCTAGGACAGGCTGCAAAGCTACATGGAGAAACCCTGTCTTGAAAAACCAAAAAAGAAAAAAAAAATGAAAGAAAGAAAAGAAAAGCTGCTTAGGAATTTGCTTTCAGATATTACTTGTGCCATTCAATTTTTCTGCTGGCTTCCCACCCAACCTTGATTCATTTGAGGTGTCTGAAATACCTCAAAAGCCTAAAGTACAAGCACTTTTATTTTGTTATCAGCATCATGCTGGTTCTTTAAGCCAGGGTGTCAATATGTACCCAGGCTGGCCTCAAAGTTGCCATCTTCCTGCCTCAGTCTCCCAAATTCAGAGATTATAAAGTGTGTGCCATTGTAGTGTCCTGCCTCTACAGGGTCACAGCAATGCACTATGCTATCCAGTGACAGACATCTGGTAAGCATGTGTTCCCTCTAGAAATGTACAGGAAAATGACCTTTAGTTTTCTGTCTACAGATTGCTGCTGTCTAACCACTATAGTCAGCGGATCTCACAAGCATACCATCTGATGAATGAACTGCTGTCTGACTCAGTACAACCTAACAGATCCCACACTGCTCAGCATTACAGACATCAAGATTGCTCTTCTCCAAGGAGGTAACACAAGCTTGGACTGTCTCTTGGCAAAATAATCTCAGGGCCCATAAAAATATAGCATTGAGGTTTGTTTGTTTTCAGACAGGGTTGGCCTTGTCGTTAGTGATGACCTTGAACATCCGATCCTCCAGCCTCTACCTCCCGATGATGGTTAAGATTACAGGCGTGAACTACAAAATCCTGCTAATGCAGTGCTGTGTTAAACACAGAGCCTTATGCATGGTAGACACTCACTCTACCCACTAAGCCACATACCTGGCCCCAAATGTAGCACTTCTGTGTCACAAGTTCAGTGTATCTTCATCTATGCTACCTTGAGTCATAATAAAAAATTAGTGTCATAATTATGAGTTCTTATAAATTTATAGAATAGCCAAGAAAAAGGCAAAAATGGAATACCTGAAAAGGGGTGTTTGGTATCTATTAAGCCTTTTTCTTCTTGGTTTCTATGAAGAATTGCTTCTGGAATTTGCCTCTTAATTCCTCTCCTCCCCCCACCTTGCTATTTTCATTCAGGCAGGAGCAGCCCCCCCCCCCCCATCTACACATCTCCACCCTGGCCAGTTGTGCCCATCCAGCTGCAGCTACTGCGGAGCTCTCCATAAATTAATTTCCTGCAGTGGTTTTAGATATGAATCCAAACCTTTATTAAGTAGAGAATGCTGCTAACGCTCCAGGTGTAAATTTCCTTACATGTGGCCAACAAACATACAGATATATTAGTCATTTATATAACTCATATTTAGAATATCAAAGGTACCCAAGAATTTTCTTCAAATAGATTAAGTACATAAATAAGCTGCCACACATATGGAGAATTTGAAATGGGTAGATATTAAAATTTGCTTGTCAAAATTCACATTTTTATGTCTAAGGTAACACTGCAGTACAGAATAAACCGTGTTATCATTTGGAATTTTTAATAATCTTGTGATTTCTACTTTAGAGAGAATCCACATGTGCAGAATTTCCTAATAAATCGACCTGGGGGAGGCAGACGTATTTCCAGATTGAGTCATTTACAAAAGGGGAAACCCTTGGAGCAGCCCGAAGGCTCATCTCAGCGGAGAGGTAAGACTTGAGGCCCCTTGTCTTTTGTGATTTGACTGTGCTCTTGGAGTCTCCAAAGTTGTTTTCTTAGTAAAAAGAAACTCCAATTCCAGCAGAGCATGTTATCGAGAAACAAATTTATCGATCCCAGGATTTTGTTCCTTTGCCTTGAAACGGTAGTTCTCCTACTTTACTGTCCCAGGTACTAAGATTACTAGCCTGAGCCACCACTTCTGCCTCGTGGCTTCTTGATGTCTGAGGAAAAAGTCTTAGAGTCCATGGAAATACCATCTTTTTATATTTATGCTATTGGCTGTCATCCCTGCTATGTTTTGGTCTATTTCATCCGGCCCCTGCAGTGGCTCACACATCCATACAGAGGCACTCAAACCCTCTCCACAGCACCAGGCCACCTTCCACATCTGCCCTGCTTTTGTAACAGCTGGTTTCCTATCCATATGCAGGCTTTTTGTGCTCTGTTCCTTAGTTGAAATCCTCTCTTACACCTTACATGTCTTTGAAGACATCCTTACCTTTTTAAGATTGGGTCTTGTTACTTAGCCCAGAACAGCCTCAAATTCAGTCTTCTACATCAGCCTTTTGAATAGCTAGGATTATAGACAGCCCTAATCTTTTTTTTTTTTTTTACATTTTCTAGATTTATTTATTTAGTATACAGCATCTGTGTGTATGCCCATGGGCCAGAAAAGGGTGCTAGATCTCATTACAGATGGTGGTGAGTCACCATGTGGTTGCTGGGAATTGAACTCAGGTACTCTGGAAGAACAGTCAGTGCTCTTAACCTCTGAGCCATCTCTCCAGCCCCGACAACCCTAATCTTAATCCTTTATGTATTCTAATGTATGTTCAGTTTTAAATTTATGTCCTCATTATGAATGGAAGTTAATACTTGCACAGTTGCTATAAAGAGGCTGTAGTCTACAATTAACACTTTGACTGTACCACCACTTTCTTCCTCATCTTTGTATTACCCCTTACATGGAACAAATGAAGTAACTGAATAACTAGCTAAGTAAACTCCATGTGGCTATTTAGCTTTTTTTTTTTTTTTTGCCTAAAAATGTGTAAATAGGTTCTTCTTTTTTTGTTTGTTTGTTTAACAATATTAACAGGAAAGTATGGTATGGAAATGAGTACTTTGTATTGGTATGGTTTTTCATTTATTGATACAAATTTAAGGTCAATTTTGTGATATGTATATTTCTCCTCTTGTTTAAATATTGTCTTTATACTGATCTTTTAAAACGTAATGCATAATTAAATACAGACTATAGATAGTTACTTATAATAGTCAGAACTTATAGTTAGGTTAGTTAGGTTTTCTAGATATACAGAGATATATTTGAGATAGACAGATAGTCTTCAAACCTTTCAAAGACCTTCAGAAAATGGCATTTTAAAATGGTTTAGGGTTTTTCTTGACAATGAGAAATGTCTGCTCCTGGCAGCACCAATTACGTCTGAAAGGAAGATGGGCATTGAAGAACTTGTTATGGAGTTTGCCTTCAACATGGCAAGAGTAGCCATTTGGGCAAGAAACTGCTCTTGCCTGGACTGCTTGACTCACAGGAAGGTGACTGCTGAACTCAGTCTTATAGGGTTCCTGCTTCATAGAAGAGTCTGCCAGACTTTCTGCAGGACACAGAAAATGACTGATGGACTGCCAATGCAGATGTACTGCTTGAAACTTCCTGCTTTGCTGAGAAGTCTTCCAGACACACTGTGGCCTATGAGCTGAAGATGGATGCCCCAACGTTACAGCAGAACTTCTGGTGACTGTCCAGGTAGCGAGATGTCTCTGTCAATCCTAGTGTTTATATATTATCCTTCTGTGGTCTTTGATGGAGTTGAAGGCAGATAGTCATAATCATAGTTTTCCTTAGTTATGATTAAAGATAAGCTACATATAAGTCTTTAGATTCACTAAGATAGGATAGATGATACTTTCTTTAAATATTACTAAATGTTAATGAACAAAATATTGTAACTGTTCTTACTTGATAACTGTTCTGTTATATAATTTGACTGTTAAAGTTAAAACCTTTCTTTTTATTTAGACAGAAAAGAGGAGATGATGGAAGATGTAATTCTGTAAATCTGTCTCTTATTGGTTGTTGAATAAAGCACTGTTTGCCAATAGGGAAGCAAGATAGGTGGGACTAGGAGTCAAGGAGGATTCTGGGAAAGAGAGGCAGAGTCAGACACAATGTAGCCTGCCAGAGGAGTAAGAGGTCCGGACCCTTTTCTCCAGTAAGAGAAAGACTTAATTAACAATTATGGGTTAAATACTTAAGACAGAGCTAGCCAGTAAGAAACAGCAAACGGCCAACAGCTTCATAAATAATAGTGTCCTGTGAGTTATTTGGGGGTTCAGAAATTGCAGCAGGGCCCAGGTGGATGGCGGGGAAGGCTACACTCTACAGGAAAGTATTATAGTATGTATATACATCCCCTGTCATGTCAGATACTACCAAATGCCTGGGCATTGTCTTTGTTTCAAGCATTCTACTTTGGACCTTCAGGTCTATTATCAAAACCTGATTGCACTCTGGTGTGGAGGCATACACTCAGAGTCCCAGCATTTGGAGATAGAAACATGGAAGAATCAAGAGTTCAAGGCCATCCTTGATTACTTAGTGTGCTTCAGGCCAGGCTGGACCACTTGAGACTGTCTTAAAAGTATGGATAAGTAAACAGTAAAGCTCTCCTAGTGAAGCATGCATGGGAGTCCCACCTACTGGGAGGTTAAGGCAGGAGGGTCATTTGAGCCCAGGAGTTCAAGACCAGTCTAGGCAACATCCTGAGAGCCTGTCTCTTAATACACAGGTGTTAAAAAGTTATTTTTGGAATCATCTGCTGGCAAGATGGTTCCGCAGGTAAAGATGGCTCCTGCCAAGCTAGTGACCTAAGTTCAACCCCTGGAACCTGTGTAAATGTGGAAGAAGAGAACCAATCCTGCACGTTGTTCTTCTCTATGACAGGAGCTCATCCACACACATCATAACATTGCTGAGGATTTAAGTATGGCATAAAGCATGGTTGCTATTAATCTTTGAGCTTACAAAGCCCTAAACCTTGTCTTAATAAAAATTTAGCTTGCTGTTTTATCTAGGACTTTACAGCTAACAGACTTCTGTGTCCCTGGATTTCCAGCTCCTAGAGGTGTTGTCCTTTAGAGGACACCAAGTTTAAAGAGTTTCCCTCTTTCTTGAAAGGACCGTTTTCTTATTTCAAATCAGAGACTGATTATTGGGGATCCTAGATCATCAAACTGACTGCACTTGTGAGGATGCAGACAGGCAGCCCAACTCAGAGTAAGAAATTGGGTGTGACTCTAGCTAGCAGGACAAATGACAGAGAGGTTTTTTTAGGGGACATGGAGGTGACAGGGTAGTTCAGGCTGATGATGCTAGATTGCAGACATTGTTTAGCAATCTTTGTTGTATGGATACTGAGAATTGTCTACTCCCAACACAGTATGTAGTTTGGATTTCTTTTGTAATTCTTATTTTTTTATGTGTATGGGTGTTTTACCTGCATGTATGTGATCCATGTGCCCAGAGTCAGAAGAGGACACTGGATCTCCTGTGTCCTTTGGAAGAGCAGCAAATGCTCTTAACCACTGAGCCATGTCTATAGAACTTGGTAAGATTTCTTGTTGGCCTGTCACTTACCTTTCACATTGGAAAGCATTCATTGACACACAAAGTATCAAGGTCACAATCAACACATGAATGAATGAACTGGTCAGTTCCTGTGTGTTTCATTTTCCCTCTAAAGGTTCTAATACTCCATGTCAGAGGCTGCAGCACACGAGCAGCCGTGGGGCTGTTGGAGTGGTTCCTCCAATGAAGCAGGTGTGCATAGAGTATGAGAGAGAAGAGGCGGTAGTGAGTCCCTGGACCGTGCCTTCAGAAATCCACAGGATTCTTCACGACAGGCCCAGGGATTTTCTCCAGGTGAGTCTGCCCTGAGTTCTTCAGGGTTCCTGCCTCTTTGTAAGATTTGAAAGTAATGATCATTTTGACCATTTTGAAATTGTCTGTTTCATTTTTCTTCTATGTATGTATGTATGTATGTTTTGTTTGACATAGAATCTCATGTGACTTCTATTGTTTTGTTGTTGTTGTTATTCATTTTCTTTGAATCCAGTGATAAATTTCCAACATTTTCTAGTGCCTTCTTCCTTCTCCTAAATAAGTATCTTGGTTCCTCTGATGCTTCTTGTATGGATCTCTAGACCTCTATATATCTGTTACCTCTGAATTCATCACTATTTCAGTGAGTCTTTTAATTTACCTTCTATGTTGGATAATCCCCATCCCTTTTTGTTTCTTCTTAGTTGTATGTTTGTGTGTGTGAATATGTGGTGTGTATGCACAGGCCACTACCCCATTCCCTTGAGACAGGTTCTGCTGTATTAGCAGGCTAGTAAGTCTCCTCCCTCATCCTTTCTCTGCTGGGGTTAAAAGTGCATGCAGTCATGTGCAGTTTTTCTCCAGGTACTGGGATCGAAACCCAGGTCCTCATACCTGAGCAGCAAGCACTCCTAACCAAGGAGCCATCTCTCTGGCCCTGGTTGAGAAGTCCAGACTTGGGTAAAACTTGATGTGAAGTTGAAGCCCTCCTTGAACTCCCACTCCTCCACTGCTGGAGTGCTAGAATTGTAGGCATGCCCCCTACGCCCAGCTCCTAGGGTTTCAAACTCTATCCTCCCATTTAGCTATCAGAATTCTCCTTTTCTTTCTAATTAAAAAACAGCATAGAAGAATAGATTACTGTACTGTAGGTATCCGAACCCATCTTGCTTGTCCTTCAGATTTTAGGCCCACATCTGTGTCAGTGCCTTGTCAGTGCAGACCTCAGCAACCCCACTCAGTTCCCACATCCCTTTGCCTCTTTACTGGGTCACAACTGTCTTTGTAACCCCACAGGACATGTCACCAGCTGAAGAGGAAGAGCCTGAGCCCTCTTTTTTGGTGGGTGGCATGGACAGCGTGTCTGAGAGCACTGGCAGCATACTCAGTAAACTTGACTGGAGAGCCATAGAAGACATGGTGGCTGGCGTGGAGGAGAAGAACCAGTCGGGCCACTGGTCCTCAGACCAGTAGGGCCTGTATAGCACTCTCTTTCCAGGCCCTGGCCAGCATCCCAGTGATGTGGTTCTGAGACTGGGTCTAAGGCTAGAAATAATGGAAATTTATAACCTGCAACCACAGGGTTCCCAGGGTTAACCATTGCAAGAAGGAAAATAAACATGTATCAGTAATATTGCCTTTTGGGGAAGGGTTGTTTAACTAGAGAAAAGTATTATGTTTTGCATGTGATTCATCGTTAGATATAATTTAGACAATACATACATGTAAAACCAGGTTTTCACAATATTTAAATTACTTTGAATTAAAAAAAATCTTGTATCTGCTTCTTCCTTTACTACTCTGTTTCCAGACATTGCTTATGTGGGGGACCTCACAGGAACCTCCTGTCTCTGGGAGAACATCACTGTCTGCTTGAAAAGGAGATCTTAGCCTACAGATCAGCTGAGCAGGCTCTGGCTGAGTAACAGGAGCTGTCAACTTCATACGAACCTTTGTCTTGTGCTCTGTGACTTGATAGGCCAGGCAGAGATGAGGATGTGGCTTCGGAGGCAGAGGAGAATGGAAATCCTGGCTGTCCAACACTGGTCTTGTGTGTGCATGTGTGGAGGTCACAGGACCACATGCAGGAGTTGGTTCTCTCCATGTAGGCCCAGGGCTCGAATTGGAGTCATCAGGCTGCAGGCACCTTGTCTGCTGAGCCATCTCTCTGTCTTACAACAGTCATCTTAATCCTGTAAAAACCATCTGTCCCAGGACTGGAGAGATGGCTCAGAGGTTATGCTCAATTCCCAGCACCCACATTGTGGCTCACAACCATCTGTAATAAGATCTGGTGCCCTCTTCTGGCCTGCAGGCATACATGCAGATGGACTACTATACATAATAAATCTTTAAATCATCTGTCCTACAACAGTTTCTTAACCTTGTAAAAATCTCAGGAAGATTTTCAGAAATGATGACATCCTAAGAACCTCCACAACCCTTGTCATTTTGGTGCCTTGTCAAAGAATCCTGTCATCCCTATCTTTGTGACATTCAACCAAAGCATCATTTAACCTTGGAGAGAGATGCTAAATATCAGAATTGTATTCTCCCAATTTTTTAAAGGTGCATGTATTATAGGGCTGAGGATGTAGTGCAGAAATAGTGTCTGTCTACTGTGTGCATGTGCTGCCTGTGATCCTCAGCACCACAGAACAAAACTAAACTACCACAAAATTTCCGCTCAGTATGGGGAAACTAATCCCAGGTCATGCCAGAGGGATCTGAGGGCTTTGCCACTTAGCTCTGCACAGATGGGTGAGCAGTTCACTTCATTAGTGTGTTTTGTTTTCTGTTTTTTTTTTTTCTTTTTCTTTTTTGGGAGGGTGTTCGAGACAGGATTTCTCTGTGGCTTTGGAGGCTGTCCTGGAACTGGCTCCTGTAGACCAGGCTGGTCTCCAACTCACAGAGATCCGCCTGCCTCTGCCTCCCCAGTACTGGCATTAAAGGTGTATGCCACTACTGCCCATCTAGTGTTTTGTTCTTTTACTTAATTCCACTCTGGCATGTTGTCTTGTGATGTTGCTTTTGTCTGTGTATTGTTCAGTTATGTCACGGGTTGTTTTTTTCTACACCTAGTTCCAATCCTCAATTATATCTCGTATAAATCCCTTATTCTTGCATCTTTACTTATTTCTTTTATCTTCCCCCTATTTCTTTTTACTCCTTAATTAAAGCTTTTCATAGTTTTAACAATCCCTAAAATTCATGGGCCTTAACAGTGCCCCTAATTTAGCTCTTTTACCCACCTCAATACTTAATCAGTATACTCATTCATCTTACTCTCTCCCACTTTTAATTCTGCTAGTTAGTCTATATAGACATGCACACCCATACATATATAGACATACATACTTAGAGAGGATACCATATAGACATACATAGATGTAGACATACATACATAGAAAGGATACTGTTTACACATAAAATACATGCAATTAGACATATAGCCAGAGATTAACCTTATTACAGTAGTGGGCAATTTTGGCACCCCACTCTCGCCAACTGACAGGTCTTCCTAACAGCAACAAAATAGGTAAATATGCTAAGTTACAACATAGATCAAATAGACTTAGCATCCATCTATGGGACATTCCATCCAAACCCACTGTTTTTAGCATCCAATGGAAGTTTCTCCAGAATAGACCACATATTAGGACACAAGTCTCAACAAATACAGGAAAATGGAAATAATTATTTGTATTTTATCTAATTGTAATGTAAGTAAATAGCAAGAGAAACGCTTAAGAAAGAAAAAGCACAAACTCATGGAGATTAAACAATACACTTTTGAATAGTAAATGAATCCTTAAGAAACAATTCATAGAATCTGAAATGGAAACACATCTTCAAACATGTGGGATCCACTGAAAGTACTCTAGAAGGTATATTTATAATTTAATGCTTACATTAGGAAATTGAGTCTTGATTCCTGTCTTGGCCCTCCAGCCTCCAGTAGAGAGATAAGTGCCAGGGGATCTTCCAGCCCACCTTTCCCTCTTTGAGTACCCTAATCTGTGGCCACCAGACCCTTCCTGCCACGGGATCCCCCAGAAGGCAAAACAAAGCATCCAGTATCAACCACCATTCCTGTCTTGTCCCTGCACCCTCCGATAGAGAGGAGAGGATAGAGCCTTGAACCTATACCCACCAGGAGAGGGAGAGACCCCACCTGTACCACTGGAAGAAGAGATGGGAAGAAGACAGTATAAGAATATATCCAACAACAGAAACACTTATATGACACCAGCAGAGTCTAGGGATTCTACATCAGCAAGACCTGAACATCCCAATGCAGATGAAGCAGAAGAGAGTGACCTTAAAAACAACTTCATGAAAATGATAGAGGCCCTCAAAGAGGATATGAGAAAATCCCTTAAAGAAGTGGAAGAAAAAAATAAATCAAGAAATAACAAATCTAATAAAGCAAGGAAAGTCAAGAAAAAAACAGATGAAGGAAACAATTCAAATAGACCTGAAAACTGAAGGAGAGACAATAAAGAAAACACAAACAGAGGGAATGGTGGAAATAGAAAAGTTGGATAAATGATCAGGAACTACAGATGCAAGCATAACCAACAGAATACAAGAGATGGAAGAGAGAATCTCAGGCACTGAAGATAAATTAGAGCAAATAGATTCATCAACCAAAGAAAATCTTAAATCCAACATTTTTAATTGTTTTTGGTTTTTACAAGACAGGGTTTCTCTGTATTGTTTTTGAGGCTGTGGGTCCAGCCCAGCCTTGAACTCACAGAGATCTGCCTGCCTCGGCCTCCTGAGTGCTGGGATTAAAGGCGTGCGCCACCACTGCCCGGCTAAATCCAACAAATTCTTAACTGCAAACACTAAGACACCATGGATTCCATCCAGCCCAGACTGCTACACCTAGCAAAAGTCAATTACTATAGATGGAAAAAACAAGATTTTCCATGACAAAACCAGATGTACACATTACATATCCACAAATCCAGCCCTACAGAAAGTTCTGGAAGGAAAACTCCAACCCAAGGAAGTTAACTACACTCACAAAAACAGGCAATAGATAACCTTGCCAAAAGCCAGAAATGGGGAAAAACTCACAATACCACCACCAAAAACAAATTCAAAACAACAAGAATCAACACTCAATGATCATTAATATCCCTCAGAATCAATGGTTTTCACTCACCTATAAAAAGACACAGGTTAACAGAATGGATATGAAGACAGAATTCATCCTGCTGCTGCATACAAGAATCACACCTCAACTTCAAAGACGGACATTACCTCAGAGTAAAGGGTTGGGAAAAGATTTTTCAATCAAATGGCCCTAAGAAGCAAGCTGGTGTAGCTATTCTAGTATCTAACAAATTAGATTTCAAACTAAATGAAAAGAGATGAATGTCATTTCATATTCATCACAGAAAAAAAATCCATCAAGATAAAGTCTCAATTCTGAACATCTATGCACTACATACAAAAGCACCCACATTCGTGAAAGAAACATCTGGTGCCCTCTTCTGGCATGCATGCAGAACACTGTATACAGAATAGTCTTATATATATATACTTTTTATTATTTTAATTTTAAATAGTTTGTTTTACATGTCAATCCCAGTTCCCTCTCCCCTCCCCCTGCACTTCCCCACCATCCCCCCCCATCCTCCTACCCTATTGCCAATTCCTTCCACATAGGGGATATCTAGAGTCTGTCATTTCACTCAGGGTAGGGGCCAGGCACTCCCCTGTTAGCTGTTGGTTTACTGTATATTGCTTTTATTATATTCAGGTATGTTCCTGTTATCCCTGATCTCTCTAGTACCTTTATCATGAAGGGGTGCTGGATTTTGTCAAAGGCTTTTTCAGCATCTAGTGAGATGATCATGTGGTTTTTCTTTCGCAGTTTGTTTATATGGTGGATTACATTGATAGATTTTCTAATGTTGAACCATCCCTGCATTCCTGGGGTGAAGCTTACTTGATCATGGTGGATGATTTTTTGATGTGTTCTTGAATCCCGTTTGCTAGTATTTTATTGAGTATTTTTGCATCGATATTCATGAGGGAAATTGGTCTATAGTTCTCTTTCTTAGTTGTGTCTGTGTGTGGCAAATCGAATCCAAGAACACATCAGTAAAATCATTCACCATGATCAAGTAGGCTTCAGCCCAGACATGCAGAAATGAGTCAACATATGAAAATACATCAATGTAATCCACCATATAAACAAACTTAAAAAGAAAAAAAATGATTATCTGTAAAGGGAGGCCAACAGCTTCATAATTAATATAGCCTCCTGTGTGTTTATTTGGGACTGATGTGGCTCTAGAACAAGGCTGGCGGGAAGGCTTCTCTCAAGGAAAAGGCTTCCCTTTAAAATCATCTCATTAGATGCTGAAAAATCCTTCAAAAAAATTCAACACCCCTTCATAATAAAGGTCTTGGAGAGATCAGGGATAACAGGAACATACCTAAATATAATAAAGGCAATATACAGCAAACCAACAGCCAACATCAATCTAAATGGAGAGAAACTCAATTCCTTTAAAATCAGGAACAAGACATGGTTGTTCACTCTCTTCATGTCTCTTCAATATTGTACTTGGAGTTCTAGCTAGAGCAATAAGACAACGAAAGTAGATCAAGTGGAAAAAATTGGAAGGAGGAAGTCAAAATTTCACTATTTGCAGATGGTATGATAGTTTATATAAGTGACCTGAAGAATTCTACCAGGAAACTCCTACAGCTGATAAACACCTTCAGCAAAGTGACAAGATACAAGATTAACTAAAAAAAATCAGTAGCCCTAAT